GAAGAGAGCGTGCGAATAAGAAAGTTTGGCAAAACAAAATTTGCTTTCAACAAGAAATCTACGTGGTCATGAAGGTTGAACAAATGACACTGAGTATGGTATGATGAATAATCTACTCTTAGAATTTATTTCTTTACATTTTTTGTCTTTTTTTTCTTTGATTTTGGTATTCTACGACATTGGTATCGTTTTCCGACTTACGGTATATATTTTCTTATTTTGCATCTGTTTTGTACGATTTACAGTATGGTTGGGAAACGGCCGAAAATTCATGCGCGCATGGATGACATCCATATAATCAAATCGACATGGCCTAAGTAAGAAGACGACTTCCTGGCGTCTGCACTGCAATCCTTCATGCATAATGTATCCAGGCTAAGGATAAAGTGCTTCGTGACTCCACATAATCAAATTTCATACTAATCATGTCAGGCACATGCGCTGATACGGCCCGAAGTCAAGCAGGTTAATGCGAAAGAAGCGAGAGCAGTGCAATTTCGTTTGAAATGATATGTATTATCTACAGATGCAACAGTAAAAGATAAAGCTTGTTATTCTTTAATCTAGATTCCTTAATCTACATTGGATATCTCTTCCTCCTTTTGTAGTGCATTAGAGAAAGGTGGAATCTAATAGAAGACATGATGGGTTTTCTGACTCTTAGATCTTACAAACTTATCACATAAGTTTACAGCAATTGCATAGGGGAAGGTATTACATGGTTGGTATACCGGTAAATAATCTAAACTGGCTTTATGGTGTTCTTTTTCCATGAAAATTCCACAATATTGTACTCAAATTGTTAAGAGTCACAATTTCAATATACGTAATGGTTTAGAGAAAAATAGCCGCCAACTGGGCGATGTTAAAATGTAAGATCACAGTGCAAGTGCAGTTTGCTGCTCCCGAGCGCTCGTTCTCTTTCGCGGACCAACTCCCCTGACATTTTATCTGTCCTATTTGGCCAATGGGCTGGTAGAGGCTATATTTCATTAACAAAAGTGTACTAAATTTTCGTCATTTTCTCTATTTATCATGTTCATCTAGTCGGTTAACAGCATTATCAGTAGCAGTGTTAATCATAGATAATGTTACAATGATTACTTACTAATCAACAGTTAAATAAATTTATATTAAATCTGAATTTTGTTCTGTGAACGAGAAGACCTCTAAGCCGCCGAAAATGAAGACCTTCCAACAATCCCATAGTAAGAATAGCTTTTAAGAACTCACCCTCTTATTGCTTGGTGTTGCTCAACCTGATATCATCTAAATGCAGGACCAACGAACAAGATTCCTCAGGGGCAAAATGGACAGACGACGTAATTTACTGGTATTTACGGGTCAGCAACGCTGTAGTTCGATATTCAAATCACTAAAATGACGTCAAATGATATCACATATCGTCATATCTGAGCTAGAACTAATATATCGATCCCAATGGGTAGATAAATGTTAAGAATTTTTAATAACATCAGAGAGAGTTACGAATGTTGGAACTGATCAAAACTGACAGGTATCCAGGCACTGTGTAAGACTGATGTCTTCTGACATCTTCCTGAAAAGACATGGCAACGATTCGACCGCAACGTTAACGCAAGTGTAAAAAGTTACAAACCCAGTCAACAAATACGGGATTTGGTCTCGTGTGAACAAGGTCACGTGTCTGTAACCGTAACTCTCGCGAGTTTACGATTGGTCATTAATTATCCTGATGAAGGCGACAGTGGTCATTAAAAATTTGGTAATTCCTTACTTTATTACTTTATTACTTTATTAGAATAACCATTAGCGGCGTTGGAATAAAGTTCGACATTTTACTATGAAATACGGGACTTCAGAACTTAAAAACTTTCTAATGATGCTTCATGCATGTTCAGGCTCCCATGTTTCAATATATAAATCTCCAAGCAGCTCCCTTTCGGTGGCAAAAAGACAGTATCAAATTGGCCAGGCAGTATCCATTAGCCAGAGAAGGTCGCCAGCCACCGACAAAAAAAACGGTCATATATAAAAACCTAACTAACGATCATTCCCCCACAACCTCTGCTTGGAGAGTATGTTTCAATGCTAGAGCGTACGTACAGGGTTTTCTTTATTGATTCCCTACACTGAAGCGGAAAGAAGGACATGGTCCGTGGCCGGAAGATCAATGGAACCCGCTGTCCGACAGCATTTGCAATTTGTGGCTTATCGGTCATGTATCACACATCCCAGTACTCACACAGCTGAGCCCCTGACCGTTGGGAGCAAAGGATCACGGGAAGGGCACATTTGAAGCCACTTGTTTTCATATTTTTGATCTTTCCTCGCATAGATATTTTGAAACTCTGATTTCAGCAGATGCCGCTAAGGCCACAGCAAGTAAATTTTATGGAAGACATCCTCCGCATACTCCAAATCCAATGCTATAGGGCGACAAAAACAAGACGGGACAAAAAAAAAAAAACAAGATTCCTACATTTTGAAATTTAACATAATAAACAATAAAATAGCGCCTTATCGTGTCTCCTGTCTTTATATTCATTTGCCATCCACGTTCCGGCACGGCAACAGACATCTTTGCCCATTTTCGGCACGTTGATCACTTTCAGCGGGCAACAAAATGTCTCCCCCCCCCCCCAAAAAGCAGGTAAAAATTTATGCGCGCTGATGTTATCCATAAAAATTACTTGCTGTGGTCTTAATGCAGGGACTCTTCATAGCAAGTGATGATAGGGGCAGCACCCATCCGGATTATCGGAGACATCGGATACATGTAGAAGACATCAGTAGGGAAACCTGGAACTGATGATAAAACGTGTCTGCCCCATGTTATCTGATAAAAGTGTTTAGTAACTAGGTCAACTGAAAAATTGCAAATTTGCCTCTTGGGGGTACGTGCCAATGTTTTTAGCTTAACAAAATCATCTGATGAGTCACTCACGATTTTGCCCTATATCTATATGTCTCAAGATATAAGAATTAAAACTGGAAAGCCATTTCTACATTCAAGCAAGCAGAGATGATGTGATTTGTGTGAAAATCGTTGAGGCATGCTTCCGTAAATGCAGTACACGACCCTGGCTTTAACCACCACCAAACGTTAGTCCACCCGAGTGTAATCTTTTATATACAGCCAACGTATATAAGAAGATCCATCCATTCTGTAACTGCCCCGCAAGCGTGGAGGGACATATTTTGTTTGTTCTCAAGTCACGGTCCATCTGTAGCGTTAATAGAAGTCATCTATAACAATTACATACGGGAGACGGGAGGCTCTCTCCGTACCGCTGGATAAATGTGACTCTCCATTATGTCTCATGTTTCCGATGCTTCTAGCAAACGCTCACGGCGTTTTAATGGACTAAATGGCAGAAAAAAAATCAAGCTGCCATTTTGCTTGTCGAAAGCTAAGCGTACTGAGCTCAAAACGATATATCAAAGGGTCGATATACCTTTCTTTCTTTGAATGGATGGATTTTGAGTGGTTAGTAGTTGGGGGCTTTTAGATAACGTGTTGTACAATACGGTAACTGGTGGACACTGTCGGATTCACGGTCATCGGCAGTAAATAGTGTGAACTGAAACGAAAGCGGCAAACGTGCGCCGCCTGGCGATTTGTGCCTGATTTGCTTGCAAGTGTCATAAAATCATGAGACAGGAACGCTAGTCACGCACGTGGTTGATTCTGGATGATTAATCATAAAAGAATGTATTGGTAGCTTGGTTCTATCATTATGTTCTATTAGCCTATGTGACTATTGTCAAAGATATAATATAGCATATTGAAAAATCAAATATAATGGCAAGAATATGACAGCATATTGACAAAATGGGGAGTAGCAAAACCAGGCTCGAAGGGGAAGGGAGAAGTCAAAATTCTTTGGTCTGAGATGCAGTTCACAAGCAATCTGGTAGAGGGCTCTTCCCTAAAGCTGTTTCTGCTGAAGCTGGTGAAACCTGAAGCCGGTCACCACATTGTAAGTAAAAAAAAATGAGTAACAATCGTAGACATGTTTAATGTTAAAACTTTTGTTCCAACACAAAAAATTCTCTCACCTAGAGCTTTCGACCAGTCACTCTGGTCTTCCTCATCTTCCTCTGTCTACAACCGTTGACATAGGTAACCAGAAACTTCGTTTGTGTGGTACGGCACTGTTAAAATTATTAATCGAGAAATTACTAACAGAGAGGGGAAAATCGCTCGGTACACATATCGCTCTTTAATAATTGCTTTATAAATATCCAGTACCGGCATGATAGCATCATAACTTCCGTCACTTCCGATTGAGACAGATAGCTGACAGGTTTACCTTACAGGGCGAAACCATTTCAGGGGGATTTTTAATGACCAAAGTGTTGCAGGCAGGAAATTATGATCGAGACAACCCCTCCCCATAGGACGCCTGAAATGGAATAGTCGAATACAGCACTAAAACAGATAAAGCAAAAATATATCTAAAGCAATATGTTGTGTGATTGTGAATGGTAAGGGTTGAGGTTTATAGCAATGATAAAGCCACTTCTAGAACATAAACATGAACACAGTTACCCTAGTAGCCGTGCGCTAGCCTGATTACCAGACCTCAAATGACTTGAAAGAGCGCTAGCCTAGCCTGGTTACCAGACCTAATTTAGCTCCCGAGTCTTTTAATATCCTCCCGGGATACTGTAAATCGCGATTTTTTCAGTAAAGACTCGAGTGGGTACAATATATATAGGTCTGGTAACCAGGCTATCATAGCGCTCTTTCAGGTCATTTGACCTAAATCTGTCAACACCCAAGCCAGGCGTTCAAAAAGCATCCGCACGGTAGCAGTTTCTCAGGCCTGGTTTGAATTAGTGGGAGGATTATAACGTATCACTTGCAGGTGGTCGCTGAGATAATGATGATTTTGTTCCTATAGCCTAAAACCGGATCGCCAGTCTTAATTGTCTCCACCAATGAGCAGCCGAATCGGAGAACTCATGTTTATTCATGAGCACAAGTCACGTGTACGTAAAAAGCCTATAAAAATGGTGTCCTGGACTGACTTCATTGTCGGTTTCTACGTTCTGTGTGCAAAAAATGGACCTCCGGCGATTTTCTCTGTAGTAATTTTCGGTGGAAATTGGTCATTAAGAGGCCATCGCGGGGCGAGCGCCAACGACGAAAGAACGTTTCCAGCTGTACTGTATTCACGGTATGTTTCCAACTTTCACCTTATTCTCTAAAGGTTCAACTTCTCTCCATTCGGTATGAACTATTTAGTGGATATAGAGAGTTATTTCAACACTTTCCAACGGTATGTGTATGTGTGTATTGACTTGATGTTTTCATAAAACAGATGTTATGTGTAACGCAAAGGAGTTTCGTAGGAGTTTCTTTTGAAAGCCATACAATGGTATCTTGAAGTGATGATGTAGTTTCACACTTTTGCATGTAAAACGTCCACCTACAAGATAAGGATAAGATATATACACCGTTCTCTCCTATGATGATGACTAGAACATGCTGTTTAAATCAGACCCTGGGCGTAGTCATCCATGCTCATGAAGGTTTCATATTCTCCATACAAACTCTGATACAAACTCAAGACTTTCGGTTCTTGCTTTGCTTTGCAAGGCAGAACAGTAGTGGACAGTGTGTATTCAAACTTGTTTGTCTTGGAGAAGTAAACAGTTCCGAATGCCCAAGAGATGCCAAAGGCTGTCACACATGTGAGGGGGGGGGGGTGCGTACCATATGGGGTCCTGTAAAGGATTTTAAGAATGACAGTTATCAATCACAAATAACTTATCTTGTAGTAGTGATATTGCTGCAATGTCCAGAACTTCAGAATCTGTCCAGAATCTAAGCCGATTAGTTCCTTCTCTAAATAAGGCAGATTGTTAAAGCTCGCTATAACCCATAACCGAATCTTTGCCTCGAATTCTGGACTTTGTAAAACAGTAAAACAACGACAGCAGCATGTGTACAACAGATACTGTTACAGTAGTACATTATGTTTGAAGACTACCACTTGTTGATTGTTTCCTTTTTTCTTTCCAGGAACCTTTTAGTAAAAGGAACGATACACCACGAGCACACGGCACCACGCAGTTTTACCGACCTTACAAAATTATCCGGGCTCGATCAGGGCTCGATCGCAGCGACCTCTTCGGTTTTAAATTTGGGTCAGTGATCCACAGGGAGCCCACGCCAACGATAGCCCAACAGTTGTGAAAGAAGGACCAAGAGCTTCGACACAGCAGGACTAAATTGAAAGACTAGGAGAAGAGAAGAAAGATGGTGGACTTCGACAAGGTATTGGACCGTATCGGCCATTTTGGTCGCTACCAGGGCCTTTTGTATGTCATGGCGTGTTTTCCCATTTTGTTGAACGGGATGCATTTCTTGGCGGTTGTCTTCGTGGGCGACACGCCCGAGCACTACTGCCGGGTTCCGGGCGACGTACAGCCGGCTAACATGGACAGGATGTACGGTACGGGCAGCTGGTACGGCATCATGAACCAGACTATCCCCATGGAGAAGTCAGACGACGGGAACATGGTATACAGCCAGTGTGAAAGGTAACATGAATAAATAACCTCATAAATATCCTTAGTCAGAGTGAAAGTTAACCCTGAAATTAGAGCCCATATACGGGGCTAACAAGGAAATAAACTTTGTCTCAGCCCCTGAGGATTATCCTACAAGCTGATCTTTTGTTGGCTGCAAAGACAGTATCAAAGTATATATATAAATTGGCCAGGCAGTATCCATTTGCCAGATAGTTAGTTACTGCTTGGAGATTCAACCCGAGTATTACACATTGAGGCCATTGAGGCATGGTGGTCCCTGAGCCGAGGAGCCAGCTTCCGTATATGTGGCTGCAGCTGTAGGCACTTTGGCAAGAAATTTCGGGAAAACAATCTGAGTTCCTGGCGCTACTTGAAACTTCATTCTGTATTGGTGACTTAGCTCTATATGCCTGTCGTAGTATACAGGCTAAGGATATTGAAGAGTTTATTGAAAGTAAAAGTAGGGGTACAGTGTAACACCACAGTAGCCTGGTTACCAAACCTATTATAGCTCCCGAGTCCTACATCCTCTCCGCGGAGAGGATGTAGGACTCGGGAGCTATAATAGGTTTGGTAACCAGGCTAACACCACCGGACAATGCAGGATGTGCTAGCAAAAACTGCTCCGACGACATTTTTTACTCATCACGAGGGGCTACCCACAGCTACCCGCAAACAAAACACAAATCTCACTATGTGCCACCGTGCACGTGAACATAGAACAGGGACCCCTCCCGGTGTTAGCCTGTGTGTCAGCCTTGTTCTTGTTAGCTTTCGTCCGCTCCCCAAGGTCCGCTCTTCGTTGGCGGGGAGCGGACGAAAGCTAACAAGGCTGACACTCACCCGGGCTATCTCCGTGTCTGACACAATGACAAAATGTCACATAAGATAGATGCCATCAGCCGCATTTGCAATTGGCCACAACTATTTGTGTCGGTAAGTGACGACTAACGATGAATTGAGTAAAGAGTTCTGCCAGGGTTTAGATAACGAACGAGGTCGCTGTGTATTCTTACAAGTTGGCACCTCCTAACCCCCAAGAAAGAAGGAAGTCTGCACACTTGACAATTTAGTAAAGGCTGAATTGAAAAACAATTCAATTACGGGATGTATGGAATGTATATTATCATGACAACTTTGTTTGGTTGTTTGTTTATTTGTGCTTTTGTTGTGAATAATGTTTTGGTACCTGTTACAGGTACAGTTCCCCCGAAAACAGAACGTCCAAAGTGCGGTGTGACGGAGGATGGGTGTACAGCAAGGACCAGTACGAGTCTACAGTTGTCATGACGGTACTCGTATTAAGTTACGTAAATTATAAAAGATATAAAAATATACAGTTCAAAGTTTCTTCACTCTATTTGACGACCATGAAATGTAGGAATGTATACTGTTGGGAAAGACGTGGCTTTTTCTCTTCTTAATCTGCCTGAAAATCACAACACAAGTTGGTGCTTTGTATGGGGTATATTGTTTCTAAACAGAGTTGTGTCGCCTATTGTATTTTAAAGTACGGCCAGAGCTGACAACAGAGACCCGGTTGTACATGTAGGGAATGTCTTGTATTTGGCAGCATATCAATCAGGATTACACCCACTCTCTATATAAATTGGTGACGATAGTTTGATTTGTGTACCACTCTTGTATAAGTATCGTTTACAATACTGTCAGAGATATATCATATATGATATCTATTTATTGTTCAGTTTCGGGGAACAACCTTCGGGTGGTATCACGTCTCTACATAGAGCGGGTATGATTTACATTAGTGCATAAAGTGGCTTACATGAAACTTATACATACTGGAAATTCGAAACCGAAGTAGGATTAATTTTTTTTGCGCAATTCTATAAAGTACATTTGTACATAATTCGAGCTTCAAATTGTCTAAATATCATGATATACAAGTAACGTTTGCTTCAACGTGAACGCAATTGTTACCTTTAAGTAAAAGGAGGTAATGTGCTATTATGTTCACTCGTTCACAAAATGGTGATTATTGTGTTAGGAAAATGGGTGAAGTCGTGTCGTGTTTCGTAGTCTTTTGAGACAACATTTGCTTGTGCATGTGTTTGAAACGGCCTCCATGGAAACTCAGCGGCTAGAGGAATAATCATGTCGTTCCGCCCAATTTGTGCCGATTGCTTCCCGGTTGAGCGGCGCTGTGTGCCTGACATATCCGCAGTTACACAGAATCTCCATAATGTAAACGTGCTTTATGGGTCAAGTGGTCATCATATATGATTCAGCAGCATTTGTGAAATGTGTTATGGAAATGAATAAAAAATACTAAAAATACATAGCATATGTAAGATAAATTATGAAAAATTGTTTACATTTACTGTATAGCAATTTTAACTTCGTACACATTGTTATTAAAATGCTTCAATGAAAAAAGGGGAATCTTGAAAATGGAAAATATCGGATTCGGTGTTTTACTGAAATCCGCCATTTTGTTCCAGTGGGACCTGGTATGCGACCGGAAGTGGATGTCCCGTTTGAACCAGGCCATCTTCATGTTAGGCGTCATGTCCGGTGCGGTGGTGTTCGGGAACCTTGCTGACAGGTACTCATCAAATTACGTAGTCAGAACTTTAGATCACTTGAGTTCACCTAACGGAGACGGTGGACGCTATAAACTCCCTGGCACTATTGATCAATTGCTGACGTCACGTATCCGTAAAGTCTCGTGTGAATAAGGTCACGTGACTCTCGCGAGTTTACGATTGGTCATTAATTATCCTGATGAAGGCGCCAGTGGTCGTTGAAAATTTGATCTTCTTTACTCGTTGGAACATTTGACTAGAATTTTAGATCAATTATATTGTGTTGCTAAGTTCTCTAAGCGTAACATTGACCCATCCCATTTTATACAGTACATAATAAGAATGAGTAATAAGACTGAAATGTTGTTCTTTTATATCTTAAGGTTTGGCCGGAGAAAGATCTTTATCGTCTGTATGGTTGGGGAATGCCTGTCCGGCATTGTGAACGCGTTCCTGCCAAACTACGCGGCCTGGCTACTCTTCAGATTCCTGGTCGGCTTCACTTCCAACGGGAGTTACGTGGTGGCGTTTTCCTATGGTAAGTTTGACAGACAGATGAAATATTGTTGACCAACTCTCTCTCGTTTTTCCTTTTCTCTCTCTCTCTCTCTCTCCCCCTCTCTTTCTCTCTCTCTCTTTCTCTCTGCCCATAAAAATACATAAATGTCACGTAGCCTGGTTACCAGACCTATTTGCAGAGGATGTAGGACCCGGGAGCTATAATAGGTCTAGTAACCAGGCTAGATTTTACGGCGATCTCAGATTGAGATCTTCTATTATTTTCCATCCACAGTTATGGAGATCGTGGGAGCTACGAGACGAACCATCTGTGGAATCTTTGTTCAGATGTGGTTCGCTGGAGGCATCATGCTGCTGTCACTACTGGCCTACTTCATACGGGAGTGGCACATGCTGCAGCTGACCATGACTCTACCCAGCCTCATCGTTATTGGGTACTGGTGGTAAGTCTGAACAGACGTGCACTTTTTAGTAGTCGTGATGCGGCAAAATGCATTGAAGAAGCTCATTGAAGATATGCTTGCAATCACGTGATCTAGCACCCGCCATGTTGGTGGGTTAAAGACTCGTGTGCAACGCCACGCCAGTGACGTAATTAAAGAATTATTTTTTTTAATCACTCTGAATACCAAATACAGGTTGCTCCATTACATGCATTCTAACCCTCCAAGATAGCGGCGGCAGCTATTTGCATTTTCCAGTTGTAACGTCACGTCATGATAAAACATTCAGAAGTAGCATTCTTCAACACATAAGCTGGACATTTCTAGTTGCAAAGCAAAGAAAATATTGAGAACCGATAGTTGATCGTAATCAACTACTTGCGGACTACTTGGGATCTCAACGTTATCTCACGACTTTGGCAATCGTGTAACATTTTGCCTGGTTGACCAAATTAAAAATGGCACCATATTGCAACTTAAACTACATGATTATCATGAAAGTTCATCTGTGTTGGTAGTAATCATAGTAAAAGGTTGAACTTAAAATTTATTCCAACACACAGTTTACAGAGATCAAATTTCCAGCGACCACTGTCGCCTTCATCAGGATAATTAATGACCAATCACTTCACAACGTGATCTCTCGAGATGAATTAACGTTTAAACGACATGAATTGGTATACAGTCATACACTTCCTCTTGTGCTTCTATAACAGGTTCTTACCAGAGTCCCCGAGGTGGCTGCTTGCCCAAGGACAGACGGAGGAAGCAGGCGAGCTCATCAGCAGGTATGCCGAGAAGAACGGCGTACAACTGGAACCCGGCTTCATCAATGAAGCTATTGAGCTACATGAACCCACGGTAATACATCATATTGCAAGTAGTCTTAAATGCTAATAGTATTTCACAATTCCCTGCATTAAACTTGTAGATAGATCTAGGTCTGATCACACATTCATCTGTATGGTTGAGTATACAATTATAGCCTTATCGGGCTTCGGGAGGCGGCTAGAAAGAGTAGAAATTGGCCAAATAGAGAGATAACAGGGGAGTCGGTCCGCTAGGAGTACATGCGTGCAGTTTGCCGCGCCCGGCATGTTCTTTCTCTTTTGTTTGGACAACTTCTACTCTTTCCAGCCGCCTCCCAAAGCCTGGTAGAGGCTATACAATCATGCTACGTATTGTAATTTCTGATGTAGTGTTCATTCCTTGGCGTTTAATGAATTACCTTGCTATCTTTTTTTCTCTGTGCAGGCAAAGAAGAGCGAAGACCAACACAGTCACCGAAATTATGGCCTTTTGGATCTGGTGCGGACTCCGAATCTACGGAAAAGGACGCTAAACGTTTGCTTCAACTGGTAAGCAATAAATCTATGTGATGGTCACCAAACGTCATTTAAAATTAACACTGACATTTTCAATCTTCTATATGGATCAATAATTCCCCAAACAATCTCTCACATGTGCTCTGACACCAGCTTCTTGCTCTGAGAATCAACTCTTTTTATTTGACCGGTGCAATGGGTAAGTGGGTACCCGGGTAGTGGGTAGAGTGCTCGCCTTGCATTCGGTAGGTCATGAGTTCGATTCCCTGCCAAGTCTTTAAAAAATGGTACATACTACTTTCTTTGCTTAGCATTTGAAAACTCAGCATTTGAGAAAGAGTATGGAAGTTAAACCACACCACTACCAGTGGACTAGCCCCCTACTGTAGTGATTGCAAGTTGTGTGGACAAAGGGCTATAGAAACGGAGATTGACGCCGCCATATGCGACCATGGCCATGCTAAAGGTTGCGGGGAGGACTTTAACTTTAACTTTGCTTTTTATCTGACGTCTTTTGTCCGAAACAGGTTCGTCAACAGTCTGGTGTATTACGGACTATCTCTCAACACCTCCAACCTCGGAGGAGATGATTACGTCAACTCGTTCACTTCCGGTGCCGTGGAACTTCCGGCCTACGTGGTGACGGTCATCCTGATGGAGAGGATCGGCAGACAGAAGACCCTGTCCACGGCCATGGTGATCGGCGGCGTCGGCTGCTTCTGTACCGTTGCGGTGCCGCTCTCGAGGACAGGTAAATATCCTAGTTATTAACGTTTAGATGCGGTCAAGACGTTTGAACAAGATGGCCGACATTGACATGGCATGAAACAGAAAATTGCGCTGTAAACAGGAGCTATATAAACAGAAGACAAGTGCATGGCAATACGACTAAAACTATATTTCTTAGTCAAATTCTACTTTTACTAAGTTATTTTGTTATATCTCGACTCCTCGAACAATAATGTCTTTTTCTACTCTTATTTAGACTTGATTCCAGTGCGCACGACCTTGGCGATGATTGGCAAGTTCGGAATCTCCATCTCATTCGCGGTCATCTACAACTACACTGCCGAGCTGTACCCCACAGTCATCCGGTAGGTGGCGCTTTAGCGCGGACGTCATCGGTCCATAAAAATGACTTGGTGTTGCCATATCCTCGAATAAGTTGGTTGCGCCTGAATTGATTGACCTGTTAAAGGAGTACCAAAGGGCAAAAGGGAGTGCTTTTTCCCTATAGAGTGAGTTTAAATGAGTACATTATTAGCAGAATTGTTACCATATTTCACTCGCGCGACTTGTGCGACGCGTGTTTTGCAAAGCGATACAAGTAATACCGAAGTATCATTTTCCCCCATGCGGACCCTCTGTTGTTACAACCGTTCAACAAACCTCTGTCTACAGGAGTGTGGCGGTTGGTGTAGGGTCTATGAGCGCCAGGATCGCAGGAATCATCGCTCCCTTCGCCATCATGATCGGAGATCTCTGGAGCCCGCTGCCGCTGATCATCTTCGGCGCCATGTCCCTGGTGGCCGGCGCGCTGGCCTTGTTACTACCGGACACCACGGGCAAACCGCTCATGCAGACCATTGAGGAGGCTGAGCAACTGGGAAAGTAGGTTTAAGTGAAAATCACTATGAAAGAATACTTTGAAGAAAAACTGTCTGGAACAATTATATATAATATAGGTATATGTAGTACGGATCACAGTACAATGATATTTGTGATGCTGTGCTGCACAACCAACGTCTGATATTGTATTATATAATTATTCTATTATTATTTTTTAGTTTCTTAACTAGTTTCTCCTTCTGTTCTCCATATCAGGAAGACGCCAGCAGAGAACGGGATACTGGACGGCGTGCCTGATATAACATACCAATAACCAGGTTATTGTTGTATATGACATTGTTGTAGCACTAGTCGTGCCACAACAATGTCATGATATCATGAGCCACTCCACACCTAGCCATGTAAACATTTAAATGAGCAGTTATTCTGTATGCAAAAGTCGGTAAACGTGATGTTTTATATGAAATCAACATAAAATAACATCAAATTTGGCTTACAAGAAATCAAAAGCCGGCCTTTACAGTAAGGTAATTTTAGGTATACAACACAGAGCCTAGTTTTCTTTTAAATTCATTCTTCGTGACCTCAGTAATTTGACAATTCTCTATACAGCTCAATTTCTCGTAGTCACGTCCATTGACAAAATGTGTTATCGTCTCATTGAAAATACCTCGGACCATTTTCCATCTACATGTACATTCCCAATCATGGTACCACTTTGAAAATCACAAAGATATTTGAACCAAACGTGCCGGATATGTGAAACCTAATTCAAACGTAGCTTCTACTGCAGAATATCTAAGTTAATTTGTAAATATACTGCAAAACACAGGCCAAAGTTATTAATAAAGCAAAAAGGCCAAAGTTAGGTAGAATTGTAATAATGATGAAAACTACTAGTATCTACTTTTAGATCTTTTCCTGTCGTATTTAAAACTGGCAGTGTATAATTGGTATAATTTGAATTAAGTACATTTTGTATAAGAATGTTCACATCACGACAAGTCTTGGTATAATGCTGTTTGTAGAATAGGTCTGATCCGAACTCGATAGCTGTTGTTTTATGTAATAGAATTATTGAACAGATGTATAATATGCTTTTGATAGCTAGAGCATGCTTCCTTCAAGGGTCTTATCTTACTATGATGATATATTGGAAAGAAAATATATGGTTCTTACAGTACAAATTCAAACACAAACAAAAGTTGCCGACGTTTTGGTTACGCCTGCGCTAATGTCCGCAGGGCCTGGCATTACTGCTCCTTGCCGCATGGTGGCGTTTTAGCACGTGTGCGGCTCCAAACGTCTATTCCCCCATCGTCTTTGATATCGAATGCTTTCAAGTCATTTTGAAGTGAAAACTATCATTTGCTAGTTCAGCAATGGGTCCTTTACGAATCTGTACTTTTGTTGAAGCCGACTAGTCTCCATCAGACTCCTTTTGCAGGCGGAATAAATCGGCCTAAAAGGGGGATATGATTGGCCAGAGGTGCATTTTCCGCACAGGCAATGATACTATTTATTCAGCCTGCAAAAGAAGGTTGACGAAGGTTGAGTCTCGCCATGCTAAAGCGACATCTATGTAAAACATGTATTACTGCAACTACGATTTGCTTGTACATGAAGCAAACCTGTAACCTCGTCTACCAGTACACATAGCTGGTGGGCATATGTTGTCGACTTATTTGGGTGCCTTTTTATACTAAAGGGTAAGATTGCCTATCAAAAGTTATAATGTGACAATAAGATTATTTATTATGATATTTCATGTGGGAAACAATGAACTGGTTGCCTCTGATGATTGAGTATGTGTGTCGTTAAAAGATTACTAGTATGTATAAACTCCAACATAACATTATAGTATTGTCTAAATTGTAGAAAAAATGCCCATTCTATTCTAGATGTCAAATCGGAAGTCATACTTCAATGGTTTAGTCCAGAACTAGCTTGGTATTTCTAATGTCTGTCGATCCTAATCTCCAAGCAGATTCGGTGGGCCAGGCAGGGGACATTATATTGGCCGCCCGTATCCAGCGTTCGTGGAGCGGACGATGAATACAGGCGGCAAATATAAAGTCCCCTGCCTGGCCCACCGAATCTGCTTGGAGATTATGACAGTCCACCAATAACAATATCACTCCGCCCCGACGGAAGGACACACAACTGGCTTCACCAGAAACCTATAGCTACGTATCCTTCCGCCCACTTTTCTTCTTAACAACAAAAACCCGAGCTAACCACCGGGCTAACCTGGCGCCTGTGAGGGAGAAAAGACCACTGACTAGGTCTGACATATATCACTCCAAATGATAGTCATTTCTCCAATGCGATAATTACACACTTGTGTGCCACGGATACAGTTGAGGACTTGGTATGGGGTCACCTTTTGACCCTGGAAGCGCCAAACGTTGACATATATCAGACGTGATGACAGGGATCGAACGGTGTAGTCTGACAGAGGATTAGCCCGCAGTCTTTTCAATTGTAGTTTTAAAAACTGGAGCCACGGTGTATTATGTTAAGCCAATTTTTGTCGAAGGGGATTTTCACGTAGGGTATGACAGTAGCCCTTCTGAGGGTGGTGGCGCCTTGCGCCTCATGTATTAGCCTCCACAGCATGCCAAAAACTGGGGGTTTTGGGGGTCTTCATGGTCTTTGGGAGCTTTTATGTGCTATTTTCTGATTGCATATAGACAGCATAGCCGGCCTGGTTGAATTACCCCCGTTAGAACTGGGTTTATCAGAAAACAGCCGAAGACCACCAAACCCCCAGTTCATAGTATAAGCCTGCCACGGAGGCTGCTCATGTATGTGGTAGCCTCATACGCTAAACTTCTGTTGAACCCAACACACTTATTGGAAAGAGTAGGGGTGACCAATCCTGGTGTGCTTGGTTGTATATGAGAGCTGTGGCGAAGCTGCTGCATTGGGTACCAGCCATGGAAAAAAATGCAAATTTTATATCTGGATTTATCTTAGATAACGTCCGGTTTACTTTAAAAGTTTGCACACGTTTTGGATTTTTTAATGGCGAAAGTGTATCTATTCTTATCATCATAGCCCAAAACCGTTACTAACATTAAACTTCAGGTTTTCTTATACACCCTTTGAAAACCCACCCAACATTACATAACACACAACTTCTGAAATTTTATTTCCTCCGAACTCAACAACTTACTTTAATCCTGTTGTAAGTAAGGAAGCAATTTCCATAATTCCTAACAGAAATGAAACTTTAAGAGCTGTATAAAGACTTATTCCTCAATCTAAATCGGTTGGAAAACCAGTCACAGCGATAAAGTGTGCCCGCATTGACGATATCCGTCTTAAAATGGTTTATAGACTGGTTGGTAGACCTTTATTGGAATGCAAGCCTCTCAAACACCTGAATTACGAGTTTAACACATCGTGCCTATATTGCCATCAATACTCGAGCATTTCAAGTTCTAATTGTAGTACGTATACATACGTCGTTTTATCAACCAATCTCGTCATGTAGTATCAGCTATCTAGTATCTATCTAACGGTCTGTCAATCCGTGTTTGTCCCTCTTAAACATTCTGTACATGGAACGTCTTGTAAATAGTGGGGATGTATTCATAGTAAAAACTATAATTTTCGTAGAGACAATTCCTTGGTAGAGAGTACTGTCATTATTTGTTTTATGGTTGGTGAAAAAAATTGGTATATAAGCAGAGGGTTAATGTAACTTCAAAAGAGGAATAAAAATATTAATAAATCTCGTGTGTAGAAGATTACTGTCCATAATAACTAGGACTGATTTAATTTCCAATATTACATTTAAACGTTTTCTCCCACCCCCATTCATTTCTGGACATGGAATGATCCGCAGAAAGCAGTACGAAAATGTCACTCGTCGCGTGGGAAAAACGCAGTAAAGCGATACGTGAAACAGTAGACTGTAAGTTTCGTGCCCTCGAGGACCCCATCCGATCATTTGAAGTGGAGTTGTGGACCGGTTGTAAGCAAACGCTTTGTGTCCTATTGTTTGCCATGGTGAAACTGCCCAGAGGGAAAAAGTGGCATTGGCCCAATACTTCAGTGTTTGGGGTTCGCTTCTGCACTAGACGTTTCCCACGAGTTCGCTTACCCGTAGGCGAGGGGAGAGTTTCTATTTTGGGGCACGGCGCGTATCAGGTGATTTCATCGGCGATTCTTCGTTGAACCACGTTCGGAAAATAGACGGGGGACAGCGTGCGAATCGGCAAACAAAACAGGTGAGATTTTTGTACCTTCTTGAACAAGACACATGTAAATAGTATAAGGCGACAGGAATAGACAATGCACCAGTCCAGTACGTTTTACGAATAAGGGCCCACAGTCATATGAGTCGCGCGAATGTCGTACGAACCCAAAACTGAGGCATTCGTAGACGTGTCCTGTAAAATTCAGCTGCATGTCTTGCTACGAAAAGGCTGCTTTTAGATCCTTGTAATTGTCAACGGTTAGTTAGAAATAAAAAAAAATTCTACGGCATCAAAATCAGTCGCACGACGACCACCGACGAATGTGGCGGCGTAAGACTTTACGTGTATGTATCACAAGTTACGTGGTTTGTTGTGTTTTTGTTGTGGCAATGTTGACAGTGCGTTGAAATGTCAAAGTTCTTACCCTTCTAAAAAAGAACGCAATTACTGTACTATGATAAGCTGTGTACAGTCTCATTTCGTCTACCCAAACTGTGGAAAAATTGTCACAAATGCATGTATATACCTCAAATTAAGGGTTGTCGCAACAATTTCGTCATCTTTTTTAAGATAGCCTATACATAAGATGAGCTACCTCACCAGGTATAACCCATTTACCTTAATACACAGCAGACCCATTACCTCATTTATACTTTTGCTTTGTCATTGGGTGGTTTTGTATCAATGGGGCGAAATGCGATACGATCACATGATGACGGGAAAATACAGAAGAAACCCACCCGATAAATTTTAAGATTACAAACACAGACTGCACACCTCTTTTAATTTTCTCATATATGTTAGTGGAGCTATCACCAAAAATCAAATGTTTTTTTGTTCTATTTCTGAGAAAGCTATGCTCTGATTGACAACGCAACAAGGTAAACAATTGCGAAGAGAAGCACACAGAGTAGCTAACTACAACACCGAATTTCGGCTCTATTTTCACAACTTCGCGGCATGTAAAACGACACAGAAAAATTCAGGTTGGAATGTATTTAAGTTGTTGACACGAAATGGTAGCCTTTATGCCTAGTCTTCCTGAAGTATTCTAATTAAGTCCGTACCAGGCGAGGGTAGTGGATTGAAACGCTAACATTAGGAAAAGCTCAGGACGATCCAACTGTCTCCAAAACATTATTTGTAAAGCTGACATAATAACTGGTTAGGCGAGCGACAATGGGTTAAGTCTTGACCCGAAATCCTGGCTGCTTACCTGGCTACAATCACCACTGATCCGAAAAACATCGTATTTCCGGTACGTGACGTGACACGAACTTGTCTTTTTACTTAAAGATGTCAGAATATAAAAAGCAAACATTCGTAGAAACTCACAAAACCACATGTGATCAACGAAAAACCTTAACGTAGAATACATTTGTCAAAACATTTTTTTACATTAAGTAATTGTTCACCAAACGAAGCTACGAATATAGATATTTTCTTCACCTGAAATAGAAAAAAAAGTTGTTTTTCTTTTGAATTGAAAAAAAATATATAATAGTGGGATAGGAGAAAATGTGAATTTCTTCAAAGCTCAGTTTGGGCAAATTGCAGAGAAATGAATACCAGAAACGTCGGAAGCGGCCGGCATTCCTCGGCGCCAGCTTTTGACTTGTATCAACACTCTTTAATTACGGCATTTCTTGTAGTCTGTTACCTGTCGAGACGCACGCCAATAGAGACGGCGACAGGACCGCGGCGTCGGTTTAAATCGCCGGGCGCCGAGAAGTGGGCGAGGCCGGCTGGCGAGAGACTAAATAGGTAGGCGGGGTCTCTCTTCCCCCCGCCATGCTGTCAATATTTCACACATAATTGCAATCAGGAAATCACAAATCGGATTCTGAAATTTTTCTTTTGATTTAGAGATCTGCGTGTAACAACAAATGTAGGATTACTTTTGGATTGGCTTTAATCTGATACAATTGCCAGGTATTTTAGAAAGACCCCAAGCCATGAGGTTAAGTTACAATGGAATGCTGACCTACAATAAATTCACATACATACGTGCCTGGAAAAAAATTCACCCTGGAATGTTGCATTTGCTAAGTGATAAGACAGACAAAAAAAAGGAACAAGAACAACTTACAGTTTCATTTCATTTTATGTATCATTTTAGCTGCCACGGTAAAATACCGGACTAAAAAAAGACGGAAGTAAAAATTAGATTTATGTCTAAGAAATGAAATATAACAAAAATAAACGCGAACAAAATAACATTTTTGGAGGTGGTACGCCTTTTACTATCCCAAAGTACGGAAAATTGTATTTCTAGAGTACAGTTTTAAAACAGCTGGGTTAGATATCACCGAGAAGGACAAAATGGGGGGAGGGCAAAATTGAGCTCTGGCGACGGGTAGCACTTGTGATGTTGACGCTATAAACAACTGGGCGGGGAAACATGTCAATGGGCTTAACTCACGTGTACGCAAACAACTTAGAGCGAATAAAGATGGCGCAACAATACGGGGTCGATGCCTCACCAGATAAAGTCCACGATAGGAAGGATTTTCGTCTTTGTTTGAAAACCTTTTGTCAACTCTTCGTTTACAGCTATGGTCTTTCTGAAAAATGCTTCTAAAAGAACTTCTAAACTCTCAAATGAAAACAGTATAGAAGGTATAACACGTGTTTAACCATAAGATGTGTTTGGGGTGTTTTTTTTAATGATGGGCTAATGATGTAATTTTGTATGGCGGGGGTTTACACTATTAAGGGTCTTGCTATCTATTAGTCTGTTCGTCTGTTGTCTCTATACACCACTTATCAAAGACTACGGAATTTTAGCCCTGAAACCCATCTCAGACATCAGTCCTCAAAATCTCCGTTTTTCAAGGCGAGCGCGTCTCTACATGTGGAACATCAAGATAGCCCTCGTCTAAAAAAACACGACATGTCGCCTTTTAGTCTCTTGTCCGGCGTTTTTATGTAACCTCGGGAAGGGGGCTGGTCTCCCAAGGCTATCATATTGTCGTGGCTCAGAGAGTTTATGCTAATTGAATTAACTTTTTCGGACGCGCAGTTCAGTCGGCCTGGCCGCGACGTCGCCTCGGATGATTGTCACGCATTTAAAGCCGGTGTTTTGTGAGAAGGCGTTCACAGGTCGGGACAGCGGGCCACCTTGTACCGGACCCGCCCTCGCTGGACTGTTCCCAAGGACAGGATTGTGGAGAGGAGACCGTGGAAAATTGGCCGACCGAGAGCATTGATTTCGTCCGAGGGAAAAGGCTATCGCTGCACCTTTAGTAGCCAGTCTTGTAGCCAGTGTAAGGTCAATCTTTGTTTGTCCCCCCCTTACTAGCTTGAACGGACAGAACTGTCAAGATATTTTCTTTGAAAGCACTGTTAACGTTTTTTTTCCTGTCGTTGTACTTGCAGTCAAGGATCCGTGTCGAAACAGAAGAGGAGCGAATTGTTTCCATTCCTTTCGGATTATCCAGGATTCCGTAACACCACTTCCAAGAACTACAAACAGACTAAGGAAAAAGGGTGATGATATCGTCTTTTCTACCGGATGTAAAATAAAAATAAAAAAGAAGGAAAGCGAAGAACTAAAATCTGCTGTTTTTCCCGGAGACATAATTCGCGGGCGTGACTTCATCGGATGGCCTTTGAATTAAGCGTTGGCTGAACTCACCATAGAGCGGGGGAAAACATGATGCCCTGAACTGACAGGCCATCCAAGCGTGCGGAACCACCTATACACTCTGCTCATTCGCGTCCTGAAAGCGCTCCTTTGACACCAGATAGAGAAAGAACCTCATCAGTGATTCATCCAGCCAGCTGCGGCTTTCCTCCAGCACCCGTCTGTCTGACTACTCATCGAACCAATGATTGCAGCCGTACTAATTGCCGTTGGGTGTTGATGTTGTTGTTGCTGTTGTTCTTGTGTGAAAGACTGAAGACGACGACGATGTTATGGCTCGCCTTCTCGGCTTTGGCGGTCCTGACGCAATCGACGCAAGCCTCCGACGTTATAGAAAAAGGTACGTGGCGTTTGGATATTCTTTTTTCCTGGTCCGTAGTATCGTAAGGACTTTTCTGCATCTTATTTGAAAGCAACAAACGTTAATAATATGATCCTGCTGATAATTTGTATTGACTGGTTTGTCGAGTATTCAACGTGTGGTATGTAAAACTATGATATGATTCCAAACAGACTGGATAAAAAACGCTGTGCCATTTTTGTCTTTTATTGACGATGTAGCTTCAATCTAGATCTCACACCACACGAGAAGAAAGGATTATGCACTTTTAAAGACGTATACGGCGTCGTTAAAGTCATTGTTTCTGTAGAAAAACGGTCGGCTGGGTTGTCTAAATCTGCGGCGTGTTTTTGTGAGATGTGAGATTGGATTTTCCCATCTTTACTTGATGATCGATTTAATTGACAGCTGTCCAGTCCATCCCATTTGTGCCCCGCCCGTTTTATAGTCCAATAAGGTCGTATAACCCCCTGTTAACTTGATTAAGACCCGGAAATGCACAAAAGGCACGGAAAAAGCGCGACGCATTTTGCGGGGATAGGGCACCCTGTGGGCCCTAAACATCTAATGCGGTACGGGCGGGAGTGAGAACTACTGATGCGTTCATTAGGAGCGCAAATCCTGTTTCTCACGCAACACAGAGCCCGGCTTTTATCCCAGGTTTTGCACAAGTATAAAAAGCCGCGATTTTCTATTAGAGACCACAGCGAATTCAGGGTTAAAGTACGTCACTACAACAACAGAGTTTTCCACGAAAGTCCTAGGATGTAGCCGACACACTAGAGCACACGCACAAGGAGTTGTCATGAATAATAATGAATTAATCTCAGCGCCTGTTTATTGCTTCGCTTTATCTAACGAATTCTCGATGATGAGGGGAGCAATCGTACTGTTTGAGTCGAGTTACAAAACAATATCCATTTACGTTGTGATATAGGTGAAAAGTGAGGTTTTCCATTCGAGGTCCCGTTACCTACTAGTATATTAATCCGTTTCACATTTCTTAACTCAGAAAAAAATCATTAGTACGAAGAGTTTATGAGACGGTTATTTTGAAATTCATGAGTCATGTTGTAAATACGGCCTATGGTTCAGTCACATACGTCTTTAATACGATCGCCGTACGAACGAAATCGTATGGTATTCTTGCGATAGTCGTGTTTGTTTCCTGCAATATTCAGTTGTTTTTTTTTTTGTTACGGAAAATGCTACTTCAGATTTAATATTTGTCGACAGTCAGTCAGGCTATCACACCCACAGGTTGCTTAAAATTCTACGGCATAAAATATCGTGCAACGAGCTTCGACCAATGTAGCTAGCAACTAGCTTAACGTAGCCTCTACCAGGCTTCAGGAGGCGCCTGAAAAGAGTAGAAATTGACCAAATAAATGCCGGGGGAGGTGGTCAGATAGAGAGTACATTTTGCCGCACCTGGATATCTCTCTATTTGGCCAATTTCTACTCCTTCCAGCCGTCTCCCAAAGCCTGGTAGAGGCTAGGCTTAACCTAATTCCTCTGAAATACTCAATCCCCAGAGTTCGCTCCTGTACACAAACTATAAACACGTCCGTAAAAACCAAACCGCTCCGACACAGTAAAACACAAAGAGTTTTTAGAATGATTTCCATCTCGATAACTGTCGGAATTACATGTAAAACGATCATAAAACGGATTTTTTATTCAAGCCTTGCGGTCGCCACGGAAGCGCTATGGTGATGACAGTTTACGACTGTGTACCGAGCAGTTACCGAGGTGGCGTTTAGATGGTCGTAAAAAAACACCATCTGTGGGACTGAAAGGACGGCAAATCACGGGGAAAATTGGAACTATTTAACGGCGACGACGCCTCAAAAGACGGGGTATGTCATCGGCCTCACACGTCGAAAAGAAGGAGGAAAGAGTTCAGACCTCTCTTGCGTAACACGGTTTACTGATGACAACCGTTTTACAGAAAGGCACATATGGAACATCGTTATAACGCGTTAACATGGCAGTAAAATCGCTTTCAAATCGAGTTAAATGTGGAAATGATATCACAGTGAGAAATATCGTTAAAACTGCATATGCTCACCCGTAAGGACTCTATGTAATTCAGGCAAATCTGCCTTGTTCAAATTGTTCGTTAATGTGGTATGTATTTTTGTTGGGGCCACATTCGTCGAACGGATTTTGTAGGATTGTTAGCGAGGCTTTCACATAGGGACCTTCTACAAGGATCTACGGTACATTCAGTCCGTAACCAGACACATATACGACAAAACTACGACAAATATACGACAATTCGCCATCGCAAGCATGTCGTACGGCTATATCCAGAATGATCGTCAGTAGGAAAGATTTACAAGAGATAGAAATATTACGATTATTCTATATAGTCAGTCGGAATTGCGTTTTAAACTCTTCTCCATAACTCCAGCACGTAAAACAGTGCACCGGCAAATTTACTTTTAGGTCCCGGCCAGCAAACTTATACGAGACAAATTGTTCTTGTTAAAAGTATTTTAGGACCGCGGTTTGCTTACCTGAACTTTGATGAACTCGAATAAAAGATTAAAGCTCTTAATATGTCCAAGCTACATGTGAAGTTAATACTGAAGAGGGCAAAGTATAGCTTACGTACGTAGATTTTCGTCTTTAGATCAGAAATATTCACGTCAAAGCTTAAGACGCAGTCTGGTACGGTTAGCACGTAGCATTAAAGTAAGGCTACGGCAGAATCGGCTGTCGACAAAGATCTATAATGTCACAAAGACTGCATGCCGACTGTTGCACGACACATACTCTTTTAACTCCATGATCACAAGAATGCCATCAGTTCGCTATATAGTAAACATGTCGCATGTCACAGAAGCTTAGGCCACATCAAGTCACTTTTATGGTTTTGGCCAGTTCCCAGCCAAAAACACACAAGAAATTCCACTTCTTGTATCTATGACCAAAGAGTCACGACAGTGGGATAAGGGAATATGTGATGAAAGGAAACGAATAGGACAGGACTACAACTGCTGTTCCACTGATGACTAGTATTGCTATTTTCATGACAAGTACAAGACTTGTTGGTTGTTACACTGTGTCCTTCCATTCAATTTGTGTCCCAACATTTGTCGTCTCTTAGTATATTTCAAATCTAGGCATCTTGCAATTGATTTTTTCGGTCCTTTTTGTTCACTCTCGCGTTAGATTTAGGGTTTCCAGAGGACGCCATCCATAAAAATGACTTGGTATGGCCGTACAGAAAATCCGTGGGCCATCAAACGGTGACAAGAAACAGATGCACAGGAAAAGAATGTTTCCAAAACAACACTAATTATTATTTTGTGTTTAAAAATGTGTGGCTTTTACCGAATGTCCCTGACACTAATGTCTGCCCTCGTGTAGATGACGTCATCCGGAGGGTGTGTGGGTTTGACGGGAAGGAGTACGAAGCCGGGGACACGTGGCACCCGTACTTACTCCCCATTGGCTACGTCTACTGCATGACGTGCATCTGCAAAGAGGTAAATGGCAATTTGTTTTTTTTTACCTTCGCCTTGGTTATGCTTTCCGTAGCTTAACATTTATGTGTGTGTGTCACGATGTGTGTGTGTGTGTGTGTGTGTGTGTGTGTGTGGTTTAGTAGCACGATAACTCAAGAAGCTTTAGATGGATTGTGATGAAACTTGGTAGGTGGGTAGGTCTTGATGACACCTAGAAATTATTAGATTTTGGGCCCCCTAGCGGCTTTCCTTGGCACTGCAGCAGAACTTCCGGCTTTTATATCTCATGATGTAGACATGCTAAGGTCACGACTTTTGTTCTATGTATGGAATGGGACTATAGTATACAGTTTGTGTTTTAACTTGTTATCTTGACGTATTGTTTCCATGCGGAAATGTAAACAGGGCATGGCTAATCTCCTGATAGGAAATTGACACATCCTTTGTCATTTATCTAATGTCATTTTGCCGCGATGATTTCATTCTCATACTCTCCAAGCAGAGGTTTGGGTTTTGGGTCATTTTTGGCGTGTTTTAAGCCTTTTTTTTACCGGGATTTCTTTTTTGCACTGGAATTTTTTTAGGGTGAAAAATAATTCCAGTGCAAAAAGAAATCCCGGTAAAAAAAGCCTGAAAACACGCCAAATATAATTCAAACCCAAACCTCTGCTTGGAGCGTATCCCTCTCACATCTACGTGATATAAACCAAGTAACAGCAAGGCCATTATCCTTGTTTACAGTAACACACTATCAATGTAGTTATCTGTCTCTCTCCCCACCCCTCCCGCAGGATGGTACGGTCAGCTGCCTGTCGGACTGTCCCAAAGTGACCTGTGATAACCCCGTGTACCTGCCGGGAGACTGCTGCAGACGGTGTCCAGGTAGGGAAGTAGTACAGTAGGCGCCGTCAATGTAATATTTCTGTGGTGAACTGCTTAGTGTAGAAAACATAGTAAAATGTACATTTTTAATCCGAAAACAAAGTATGGGACTTCTGGCAGCATTTGAAGAGGAGCATACATGGCCAATGAAATGTAGCATCCACCAGGCCTTCCTATGGGGGGGGGGGGTACGGATCATGAAATTCGGCCAAAAAAGGCAAAGGAAAGTCGGTCTGCGTAGTTGCGGAAAGGTTATATATAATTTCCCTGGCAAGTTATTTTCCGTATTCACGGGTCTCTCCAGAAATTCTTAGGGTAGAGGTGCTCCCTAATATGACACATCAATGAATTTCATGAAAATACCAAGAGAAAACCATACATTTGAACATTTTGAAAGTGGTGCTAGGATTTTGGGAAGAGGGGAAGCACTAGGGAAGCACCCTTGCTTCATTGCTTGGGGAGAGCCCTGCACGGTATTTGACTAAAGTTTACTGATTTTGAACCCGCGTTGTTGCCCTGGTGGTGACTTAAAAATCCAATGCCCTTGCAGAAGTAACTACCCCCGCCCCGACCACGCCACCCTATGAGGGCCAGCAGTGCTCGTTCAAAGGCCGGACGTACCAACACGGGGAGAGCTGGCGCAGTGACGGGCTCTTCATGTTACAGACGGAGAGCCAGTGTGTTCACTGCACCTGTACGGTAAGCACGGTGCCGATTTCTAATTCAAACCAACCCTATCATACGTCGGTGAAGGTTAGACATCCAGGTAATAAGATACGCCAAAAAAAAAACTGTCACTGACGAAAGGTAGTGGATGCTACCTGAAACATTTGAACGTTTCCAAAATCATATCCAGTTGCTTGAGTAACTTTTTTTTGGGCCCAACCGTATCATAATTAATGAAATCACTATGAAAATACGTTGACATATTTAGATTTTTGGGCCCAAACTGTAAAATATAAATAATTGAAAATTATAGCAACGATGTTTAAAAGAGTGAAAATCTTTTAAAGTATCGTTTTAATTTATATGTCTACATGTATGTTAAAATGGACTCTTTTCCCTTGTTTGCTTGTAGGAAGGGGACGTTCATTGTGCACAAAAAACTTGCGTCGTGCCACAATGTCCCAACCCTATCCAACTACCCGACTCGTGCTGTCTCCAGTGTCCGAGTAAGTTTGAAATTAAATATTTCTCTCCATCTTTCGTCACATGTACAACACAAACACTTTGTACTTGTTACATCTTTGACAAGTTGTTCTATTTTAACAACAGCTATGCCACGTATTTCCAAGGATTTTAAACCTCCTCGGTGCTAGTATTTCTCCTCCTTTCCTTTCTGCAGTAACTAAGACTTTTCCTTCCAACGTCTAGTTGGAAATATCACCTCCAACTCTCTTGCAGAAAAAGCCAAAACTCCGATCAGAGACGAAGAGGCGTACGAAGTTGAAGAGTACGACGACACTCAAGAGCAGAGAATCCAGAACGACCCAGAGGCTAATTTCGAGCACCCCCTACCGGAACAGAAGGGCGTTGCAGGCTCTCAGACCAGAGTCAACATCATCCTTGCCAACAACACCACGAACAGAATAGGGAGAAGTAAGAATTTCTTTGCTACCAAAATTAAAATTAAAAAAACACTGTAAAAATTTTGAAGATTGAAACAATTCCTACGTGTAATACATTGGGTTTGCAATATGCATATCACGATATATTACATAATGAATGTCTTTTATTCTAATTTTTCATTCCAGTTTGTGTATCGAGTGGACAGACGTACTCCCATGGAGAGAAGTGGCATCCAAACTTAGTCCCTTTTGGCCAAATGAAGTGTGTCATCTGTAACTGCAATGTAAGTGCCAGAGTTTTGCTTACAAAGGTTACACCATTGATGGGAGCAACTTCTAACATATACTGCTCTTCTGTATCGTATATCATATTGCTACAAAAGTAACTCACTTTACTATAATGTCATTTTTTTCCTGCCTATAGATAACAGAATTTTTCTCAGCAGAAAATGTTTCACCTAAAATATATTAAATATCGATATACAAATTAACACCCCCACCTTACTCCTTACATGGTTTAAACCATCAACATCTCCAAGCAGATGTTGGGAGGGAGGATCACATGTTGGTAGTTTCCAGGTGGCAGTATGTTTTCTTCTCTATTCCCCTCCCCAGGACAGCAAAACCACGTGTAACAGAGTGTCCTGTCCTCCTGACTCAGACTTACCCTGTCAGAACCCCAGGAAAGTACCAGGAAAATGTTGCAGTGCCTGCGTCGGTGAGATAATGTTGTTTTATTGCAAATTAATGCCAGAGGGCTAATTGCAAGTACAGAAGAAACATTTGGTATAAGAACAGGCAATTAATACACAAAGAACTACTGATAACTGCCAAAAACTACTGGGTTTGACTTCTTATTTGAAGACAGAGGAAGACAAAAGATCCCACTTTTTCTGTATGTAATTTGTGGGTTTTCAGATGTTATGACTATGAGAGTAAGTTTTCTTTTCATTTGTATATGTGTGAAAGTTAGGGTAGAATTTTGAGGCTGCGTCAAAGAGTGAGATAGAACTTTTATTCCTGAGAAGTCAAGGAACAAACTCTACATTGTCATATAAATACTTTGGGGCTGCTCCAGAAAACACAAAATATGGGGACAAGCTTAAGATGGCAGTTCAAAGAAAAGCACAATTGTTCGCTTGCTTTTCATATTGCCTTACTTGCATGTGTACCTCTGATTTATTTTTCCTATCAATTCTCAGTTTGACAGTAGATGCAAGTTTGCAGGAATTTTGATTGGAAACACTGCATATCCCCATCATTTATAACTATTCTTTACATTTCATATATTATCATTGAGCTCTTTTTATACTGTGCTAGAGGCTTAGAGCCTGGATAAAATAAGCAATACAAGATTCATAGTAACATGCATTGTTATGATGTTGTGGATAACAACTCTGATGAATTTTCTGTTAATACCTCCATAGAGGAAGGTGAGGCTGAAACACTTATGACAACAGAAGGTCCTGTAATTCTCAACGGAGAAACGCCAGAACAAGCCATCTTGGAAAGTCCGCCAAAATCGCGTGGTAGAGACGAGAAAAAGGGCACGAAGAGACACGGGACGAAGCCGTGCCTGAAGAGAAGAGAGACACACCTGGTGTACTCGTACCAGCCTCAGCCTGAACATGACACACAGTCTCACAAGTACGCACTGGAAAATGTTAAACAGGAGATGGTGGAACTACATGTATGGGAGGTTATACAAGGTGGGCACGTTAGACATACAACCTTATTATGTTTACCGAAGGAAATCATATTGTTTTTCTCAATTTCTTCCTCTTCTTCTTCTCCAGTGACCTATGACCTGACCAGTGACATGATTTGTTGACGCCTGTCACCATGGTGACTGGTGTTGGGTTACATAATGTTGCAATTTCATGGTCTGCTCTGCTCATGTCACCATATACATGTACTAGTAGTACATGTTTGTGAATGTGTTTGCGTGAGAATTAACAGAGCAGACCATATGCGAGGGTTAACATTATGCATTTGCTTTGCAAATGTTACCTTTCTAGTTTGGCTCTACATTTGTACTGTTTGTAAGGTAAAATAGCAACAAGAATCTTTGGTACCTAGTTGTTGCACGAATTCAGATAAAGGCGTATCTTTTTAGTGATTATTAGGCCACACCAATTTGATTTGTTGGTTATCGGATTTTTTCAGAAAAAATATGAAGTGATAAGGCGAAAAAAATAAAAACATGCCTAGGCATCCTATGATAGCCCCAAATACTATCATATGAGCCATGAAGTCAACATACCAGGCTGGTTTGTACTACAAACAATGAATTTCAAACTTTGACTGACACCACTGCATTGATAGATGGAAAAACTGTAACAACTCTGAAGAGAAGGGACTTCCTTCAACTGTTGGGGCCAAAATATGAGCATTTTGAAGTTGATTCAGAGCCTGAAATGTTTCTTTTTTTTTATTTTACAAATTAAAGTGGTGTGGCCTTACCATGATTTTAATGATAATCAAAAACATTTAGTTCTCTACAGAACATCATAAAAACATTGATACATTTCAATAGCACTAAAACAGATTGTTTTCTACTTTCAAGGAATCATCCGAATCTTTAAGATTGTGAGGCTGACAACTAAGGAGTTTGAAGAAATCCAGAAGAATGACAAACAGGGCCAATATAAACTACTAGGAGCTACTGCAGAGAGTATGTAGACACTTAACTATATTTTACAATGAACACATTTGCTGATCAAAGGCAATATGTACTTCACTTACCTCTTGAACAAATATACCTGTTAAAATCTCCAAGTGTTAATTATTACATCAATTATTACAGCTTATCTTAAAAGAACCTTTTAATTCCTTATAATGTTATCATCATAATGTCATTGTTCACTAGTTTTTTAATTTGTTACCATGTTGATCTTGTAATATAGATATAGATTTGTTATCATGTTAATCATGTAAAATGCGCAATTCAGCATCTTTGTACACAAATGAAGCTGCCATGTATTTTACTGAATTGTGAACGAAGTCAATAAACTCAATATATTATGTACTTTTGAAACAATTGGATGAGGGTAAACTTTCTTCTTTCCCTAACTTGACATGTGTTTTTCCACTTTTCAGAAAGCTCTTTTGGCAGCATTAGATCTATCTTGAAGTTCTAGCTATGCATACATGCCTACATGTACCCGTATCTTTTATGTACTGTTGAAGTCTTTGTCAAGGCTCCTGTATCAAAGCAATAATTGGTTAACAGTAACATCTTTTTCTCTTTTTCTTAAGGTTAATGGTATCAAGATACATATTAATGTTTTGAGAAACAGACTTTATAATTTTTTTTCTTTTTCAAAAATCAGGTCGAGTGAGAAAACTGAAACGGCGTGAGACCAACCTTCAGGACATGTGCACCAACAACTGTAAGGAGAGGATAGGCAACCTCTTCAAGATCCTCAAAATTAAAGACACTTCCAAGAGAAACAAGTGCAAGAATTAAATACTCGAGTGTGTATATTGGAGATATCCCCAACACTGTTTATCAATGCTATGGATGGAAATATACATGACATTTAGATAGACTTGGGGCAAAAGCCATGAAAATTGCCATTTTGTCCCCAAATCTTCCAATGTGACTGTAATTCCACATTGGAATATAATATTGACTAAGTGATTTGCAAAACATGGTGTAGATATTTCTGTTGGATCTGCATTTGTAACTTTTTGCTAGCATTATTGTAAAAACACTGGCATATATATCACAATCTAACCAGGCAGCTTTAGAACATAAGATACTTTTGACAGTATAAAAAAAAAAAAATATGCCAAATAATTCATCCATGTAGTTTTAGCCTAGGTAAAATACATATTTGAGAGCCAGAACTAATAATGAAATGACACTATCCAGTACATACACTCCAAGCAAAGTAGAGACAACATTCCTATATTATTCAATTTTGAACAAGAACCTACTTTCCACTACTAGTATACTGTTTCTCTGTTACAAGTTATGACATTGAGCATTGTAATATTCAAATGTAAAGTTCACATATTATATGTCAACATTTCTAAAGCAGGAGAATACAGGGTGTGATGTATAAGCTAGTTCATGGTTTAAACTTCGCATGCACAGTGGAATGTTTTATGGGCCTTATAGTCAAATTTCAAAGCCCCTGAGACGCAAACAAAGCATGTCTGTATCAAGTATGGTCTTAAGAAAAGTTTTGGGCCTTTACCTTGGACATCATGCATGCATACTGTGAACAGGCTTTTTGTATCTGGATTCAGTTGTTTTGAATGTGTGTGTAAATATTGATTTTCTTGTGTTGAAGGAATGTAAATTATTTAATTGTCATCAATATTAAAAACAAATATAGAGCATGCATGCATTCTTGAAGTTTTGCTTATCAAGATCGATGTACAAAAATATTTGTATCAGTTTTCTGTGATCTTGAAGTTATTAACATTGCTATCTAAGGGTCCTTTGCAAGTCACCTAATGTATAATAGGTCTGTATGGTGACACTACGTAACCAGACTAAGGATGCAAATTGTTGTGTTACTTCTACACAGAAGGAAACAGGAAAAAAAAAATTGACAGTAAAACATAAAGTGGTCATATACTTCCTGCGTTCTTTGCTCTCTCTCAACCTTATGTTGTCAAAATCTGAAACATTTTCTATCCTCAAGAAGTTAAACGATTGATCTGAGTAAATAATAAAAAAGGCATTCATGTACAAGTATCACTTAATCTGTTTCTGATGTCTATTGTGTTGTGGGCTGATATGAAGATAGGGTTGTACCAGGTAAGCGAAGACTGGGGAGGGGGGCAACAAACCACATGTAAGAGAATGGTTGAGTGAGACTTGATAATAAACATGAAAGCAAATACATGTAACTAAAAAAAATAGCTGGAAATGCAGGATCTGGAATTAAATAAGAAAAAAAAGAAATACTGAATATGTTTTCTTCAAAGTTTAATATAGAGGATATTAGGTGGTTTTGCTACTAATGTACAGGAATGGAAATAAGCAAAGTTTATCCATTATACCAAGGACATTATCAATCTAGGTTGTACAATAATGAAGTGACAAAGGATAAACTTACATCATTTGTGCTATTTATAACTTTTCCCTCTTAAATCACAGCTCACCTTGTTAGTATACTTCATACAAAATCCCCCTGTAACTACAGATGAGAAATCTAAATTTGTTTTATGATTTCCAGAAAGAAAAATTACATTCATCTGAGCATGCGCAGTGAAATGCCAGCAAAGCATTCATCCAGCCAGCTCCGTTCCAAAGTCCTCCTGACAGTGATGATGAAAAATAATATCTCTCTATGTGTGTACTAAATCGTACAATTCATGATCACATCGAAGTCAAAAGTAATTTTTTTTCAAAACTGGTAGTAAATCTATTTGTTGCAATCTATTCTCAAAAATAGAATGTTTGATTATTTTTTGACAATATTGATTCTTTCTTAGTATCTTTAATGTTTGACAATGACAAGCTTAACTTCAAGCTGCCTTCTTTTTAAAGAAACTCATGATTCCGGCCTGTTTGGTGGATTTTCCTACAGGAGATGCCTTCTTCTTTTCCGGAGAAGGTTGCTTGGTCTGAGTAGTGGTTTTGGCTGGTTTGACTTTGTCTTCTTCCACATCTGAAGCATCTGTGGATTCACTCTCCCAGACTTTCTCAGTCACTGAAAAAGGAAAACAAAAACATTAAAATGGCTCAGCAATTTTTTTGAGAGGGCTTTTACAGCCATTTTCTCGTCTCTCCCAACATTGCAAGGTCTTTAGCATTTAGTAACAAAGTGGAGTTAAACTATATTGTACTGTCATGAAAGTTCATCTGTTGGTAGTTACAAGTTTAAAGTTAAAACTTTTGATCCAACACAAAGAAGTTCTCTCTCCAAGTGCTTTCGACAAGCCTCACTGGGTCAGTCTAGTGAGGAAGACCAGAGTGACTGGTTGAAAGCTCTAATGAGAACTTAAAACATATATTGTACTGTATAAAATAGGAGAATTGTACTTAATTTTCCACGGAACCTACAGACGTAAAACTTACCCATGAATCCATCCTCATTGACAAACTGCTTAGACTTGAGAACTCTCTTGTGTTTCCTCCTCTTCTCCCCTGCACCATTCACAGCTTTGGTGGTCTTCTTGGTGTCAGGTTGTGGTGAGGGGGGAGGGGAGGGTTCAGGGGAGGGGGGAGGTGAGGGGGAAAGGGCACGAGGCTCTGGGGGTGGAGTTGGGGGAATCACAATCTCGTCTTCCGACATCTCTGCAGAATTTCATATTAAATCTAGTCAGACTAAATATGACAAGATTCACAAATGCATGTAAATATAAAGATATAAAAATGTACAAAAAAAAAATATTTCACCATTGTTTCTGGAGACATAAACTTTGATCTAATTACATATAGTAGCCAGTAATGGGTGACTTGCAAAAACATGAAATGGAATTAAGTACTGTAACATGTACCTTCCTCACTGCTACTGGACGACTCTGGCTGCTGTATTCTTCTCCTTTTCTTCTTCTTTGGGGCCAAGTCTTCATCTTCAAGATAATGTAAAAAGGACAGATTTTAAGAAAAAAATCTAAACCTTTTAAACACTGTTTGTAATGCCATTGACTGCTAAAGATTTCAAAATTTCAACAAGACTTAAAGTTTTAGTAGTGATGACATTTATTTCACATTACCTTCATCTGATGATGACATGTCTTTGATTTTCTTTGACTTGGCACCACTGCGAGAGAAGAAGTCATTAAGAGACAATACATGATGTTTACAGAGCTTACTATAAGTTTTTCTTAACAATCAAAAAGCTAGTCTTGCACATTTTGTTTACAAGGAGACACATGACATAACTAGCAAAGTAACAAACAGGGCAGTAGTGGTATAAATGGGCTTAAAAAGAACAAACTAACACTCACAGAAAAAAAACATTGGGATTGGACCTTTGACAACCATATATACATACATGTAGTTGCAACTTTCAAACATGTAAAAAATTCAATTTTGTACCTTTTTCTTGCATCCTCTTTTCCTTTTGCTGATGTTTTGTTTGTTTTCTTGCTTGTTTCTTTCTTTGTGTTCTCTTCCTGCTTTATCTTTTTCTCTTGTTTTCCATTTTTCTGCTCAGATGGTTTACTCAATTCTTTGGACGAGTCACTACATTTAACTGAAAGAAAAGGAATAGCAGTATGCATACAATGCATTTTTCAAATACAGAACACACACACAAAAAAACAAAGGTATGACTGAGAAATTTGATAAATATTCCAAACGATGAAATGTTTTCCTTACCAGTAGGATTTTTATTGATAAATGCCATCATTCCTCCCATTTTAGGTTTGGCTTTTCCACCAGTTGGTACATTCTAGAAAGCAAATAGAGACAAGATATAAGAATACAGAACAATACACATTAATTACTCTTGCTATTCTTGTAGTACAGTAATTCTTTAACCATTTGCCCTGCCAATAGCATTTAAGTATTTTATTTCACTACATCTTGAAGATGCCTCAGGGTACTGTATCTCTTTTACAGATTACCAAAATTGTCCATCATCATCAATTTCATACCTTGCTATCCTTGTTTTCCTTTCCTCCATTGTCTGTTTTTGCTGTTTCACCTGTCTCCTGTTCCTTTGTGGCCTTCTTTGTAAACATCTGAGCCATTGTGGTCTGTCCCTATATGAAAATAATAAATAGTTTTACCCTCAGTAAGTAAAAGTATGATGTTTCTGACATTAAAACATGTTTTTCTAATGTATATGCAGTGCTAATGCATATGTAGTGTATATGCAGTATTATGAAGGTTATTCCAACCTCTAAAAAAGTTCAACAAAAGTAGTGATGACAAACCTTGGCTTTCCCTGTCTTGGGCGGAGGTGCACTTGCTGTGGAAGAGGCAGCCTTCAACTGCTGGCTCTCCTTTTTAGGTTGGACTTTGCCAGTTACTGGCTGCTTGCTGCTAGACGCTTGTGAGCTGGACAGCACTTGTAACCTCTTCTCCTCTTCAAGCTGGTCAATTTCATCGGAACCTCGAGGTTGGGCTTGTGGACACTTAACACCACTCAAGCTATTTGTATAAATATGTACAAATGTTGTTGACTCTAGCAGGACCCAAAGTTGTGCCCTTACACCTATTTACTCAATTGTTCCTCACTTCAATCAGTAAAAATGAGTACCTTTTGGATGGCACATAAAATCCAGAAATCACAAGTTTAACCCTTGCCCTGCTGGCATTTTTTAAGCAATATTTTCTAATAATTTCATGTCTTACTTAGGTCATAGACCCCTGACTTTTTTAGCCCTGCGATGGCAAAGTTACGCATTCATTGCGTTTCGCTGCGGTGTGATGCGTTGCACGAGAAATACTCCCAAATTGTACATATACAGAGTGTTATATAGACGGTACTGTATGTGCAAAACAACAATTGTTGGACTCCGCAGGACAACTTTAAGAAGAGACACATATTGAGGAAGTCATCCATCTAAGTGAAAGTGGGTCACAACTTATTATACAGTCTGGTCTTATGCTGCTTGTATTTAATGATTTAGAAAACTGGTGTGTAATGCCTACAGCTTAAAAGTCAGTTTACAATTTATGTGACACAAACAAAAGCAACAACATATCAATGCTAGCACCTAAGGGGGAAGCAGCAATGAAAAAACAAACCAGTAAAATCAAACACCTATAGATGCTATGACAATACCTGGAGGACAGTTGTACGTTCTTGTTGATGTCATAGTCTGACATGTACAGGGGGTTAGAGTCCTTGAGGTCAGCTTTCTGCACACTGTACACATGGACACTGGAAACTGTGTCAAGGGAGGACTTCACAGCTACAGATAGAAAACATTAAAACAAATCTCATATCTGATTTTTACAATATACACATGCAAGTGACAGAATTTCTTTTAATGTTACAATACTTGGAATGAAAAAATTATATTTGCTAGCCTACTATATTGATTAATCACTGTTTAAGTCTAATATATGAGATGGTGGAACAATAACAAAATAAATGTTTTATCCATACCTTCCAGATTGCCTTCCTTGGCTACACAAACTTTGCACATCTGGAATGACATGATATAAAAAAATATGTTTCCTATCAACTGACAAATTAACTCCCAGTATGAAAGCATAGATGACAGTGATATATTGATGAATGTTAAGACATCCAAGTACACAAATTGCTCAAATCAACTATTCAAACTCTGCTACTGGATGATAATATGAAGACTACTTCCTAACAATTTGAGTCAGTTCAAATGACATCCATCAATCTACAAAGAAATGTTTTCTGAAGAAGGATAACAAATCTTACCATGCCATCTTCAGTCTTAAGTCTGCCATTTACCAGGTAGGTGACATGAACAGGCTTCTTCTCTTTCTGGCTCTTCTCCACAAAGCTGAACAACATTCTACAAGGGACGAAAAATTATCGACATCATAACATTACCTCAACAACTAAACATCATCCTTGTAGAAAAATACAACAAAACATGACCACTAAAATGTCTGGTGACAAAGCAGTTGCTCTCTAAGACTTAAATCCTGAGAACATTTTAGTATGAAAATCATCCAAAAGAAAATTTATGGGTACTTACTGTTTGGCTTGGTTGACGTGGACATTCAAGGCATGGCTCAGAGATTTATAGGTAACCTGAAAAAATTAATTCGTCATATCAACATATTTTTAAACTGTTTCAACTGTTTAAACTGTAAGAAGACTGTTTCTTGGTACATGTACTGTAAGCATGTGTTTCTTTCTCTTCCGACAAAATTTTGGAGGAGGGGGGGCACGATACAACTTCACAAATTTCCGTCGCGTGACAGTAACTTCCAACGGCAAAATAAGCAACAGCAGTAAGTGTAGAATCTTGTTGAGATGTCTAAAAATTGTAATGATGATACTTTACTCACCACTTTTCCTTCGTCGTGGACAAATTCGTCCAAATTCTCCAGATACATTCCGTCAACTTCTGATGCCGCCATTTTGTTTTTTCGCGGGAAAAAAAGTCCCATGGGATAAAGCTGCGCATGCTACATTACGATTTGCGGCTATCGTAAACAAGCAATGTCTTTGATTTTACGTCATGCCGTACATTTTGCGCACAGGTGGTCGTGGGGAACTTACAAAAGTTTCAAATAACAAATGTTAAAATTGCTCTTGTAAAAATTGCTAATAAGGTCAATAGAACACGCTAACAGTTCAGAAAAATCTACACATTCTTTCTGAACTTGCTGTGATTTTTATTAACATTACAGAGAGATACAAATGTATGATAACAGTGCCTAACTGTTTAAAAGGCTTTAACAGCAACAAACTGACAAAATTGAATGAAAAGTTTTATACGGGTCATAGCCTGGGTGTCAGACTGTTGCTAGGGCCGCTATGGAGGCTACCTTCTGGTGCAAAAATCTGCCTTTTCATTTTCTACGACATATTAAAATCAAGAATCGTTATATCTCAAAGGATTGGTGGGTAGGGCTTCTCTCTGTCTTCTTAATTTAAGTTCTTTTTTAAATTTGAAATTTTCATTCATGTAACATATGGAAGCAAGCACAAGTGTAACTGAAACTTAAAGACAATCTCAAGTGTTATGTCTTTTGTTCAGATTTCGGTGGGGTTTGTTAAGGTCGTCGGGAAACAGGAAACACAAAATGTTTTTCCTAGACCCTGTTGAGTCAGGTTCTCCTCTGTTTGTTATCATACAGACATTCATACCTCAAGGTTGACGTCTGAAAATAACTTGCCACTACGCGCTGAGCTATATAAAGCACCTCATTGGCTAGTCACAAAGCCGTTACGTCATCAGAGGTTAAATGTCAACAGGTGTGACTACCTGTAGTCAGGAGGGTTCGCCTCGCTAAGTTAACTACCTTTAACCACCGGAAACCCGTCACACTCTCAAATAAAGAAGTAAAGGCGTGAATTCTACGTTTGAAACGCCCACAAGATATGGTTTGGGCTGTCCACTCGGTATGATTTGATAGCGAGTGTTGAAATCTGAGTCACAGCGTACAGGTTAAGCGTGCGTAGCTCGGTTCCTCTTCCGCGAAAAATACAGTCATCGAAACCACCAGTTCAACGGCCTTTCTTGGAAGCCCTGACGCCCACAGTGGCACATTTGATTTAGCAATCGTCTCACGTCCACACGCGCTACTCTACAGTGCGTTCTAACACTCCGTAATCTTTAAAATCCGTGTCTTGTGACTTGAAGACATATTACGGAAAGGTGAGGAATAGTGGGTTAACCCCCCGTGAATACTGACGTGACGTAGCTAAGGAGGAAACGGGACCGTGAGGGAAAAAATGGCGGCTGAGTGGGTCCAACTTGCCGTACTTGTCTTCTGTAGTACGACAATCACCGTTGTCACTACTAGTGCTGAGGATGGATTAGAGATTCCGTTACAAGGTAAGACTCGGTTCATTTTAAGTATGAACATGTAACCTTATGTGATAAGAGATCTTTAATGTTTAAGCTTAACTCACTACAATCTCTACAACTTAGTATAGCGTTTCTAAATATAGATCCCAGCATGTACCACTGATCAAACTTCACAGCAATCGTGACCTTCTGAGTGACAGTTCTATATGACCACCACCCTCCTAAAACAGACTGTGACAGGCTCGACGTTTTCATATGTGCTTAAGCTCTGTTTCTTACGATCCTTTATAACTATGATGCAACGATCTTAACTAAGTAGGAAGTAACTTGATGAGTATCGTGATTACAGTGTTGATAAAGGCACTGCCCCTCTATCAACACTGTAATCACGATATGTCTCTCGTCTTTTCGTCTATTAGACCTAAACTAAGAAACGCTTGAAGCTTGACTGGAGGGGGTCATTTTGTTACTAGCGAGTATACGTAAACAACGTTGTACAGACATGAAAACCAAAGTAGATCGATAATCGGTAGATTAATGATTGAGTATACAGGTAGTGGGTGGGTGGAATTTTTTGTGTCCGCCTGACCGAACATAACACCATGCATGACCTGGCCTGATTTGTAGTATCTCATCCCTGGTGCTTAGGTCTCTACCAGACTAACTACGCTGGCTATAACGTTATATAGGGAGAATATTTGCCAGGAGAGTTTGACCACCTTGGAGTTTGTTTGACTGACCGCGCGGTTAGGGAAAGCAGGGGTCTTCCCATAAATTGTTAGGGGGAGAGGTGCTCCCTAATTTGATGAAAAATCAGCGGATTTTCATGAAATACTAAGAGAAAACCTAAAGTTTGAACATTTTAGGAGGTGTCCTAGGATTTTGAGGAGAAGGAGAGCACCCTTACTTGATTGCTTGGGGAGAGCCCTGAGGAAAAAAAATCAACCCACTTCCGTGGACTGACTCGCTTGCTACGTTCCCGTGCAAGTTGCTGTAGGAGGCCTGGTGGAGGCTAGTGCGTCTTCCCGGAGGCAGTGTGGTCATGATTTACGCTAAGATAATTATACTAACAATAATCTAAAAATACCCAAGGACGTTACCGATTCGGAGAAACTGTACATAAACATCTTAAGGTTACGAGAATAAGAGTCCATCTTGAAATATCACGGAAGGTACTTTGGATTAAAAATGGATTAAGAGTTGGGATTAAAGAAGTCCCCCTTTTTGTCCTCAACGGATCTTAAGCTTGCTGGGTGCTTTATAAGACTACTAGCACATGAATAAACAAAGACCCAAACAAACAAACAAACAAACAAATAAACTAATGAACAAATTATGAATGTTGTTAAATATGGTCAATCTCCAGAAGATAGGTAGGAAATTCAATTTTACTTATATATGTTAGTATATATGTTTCAGTAGACCCACATATCTGTCTGCATGTCTACATTGTACTTAAAGACCTTACGAAAGTCGTTGTACTTATGTTGTATGAAGTAAAGTTCTCATAAATATATCTGTAGATCAATATGTGGTTTTCCTTTTCAGGACCACCAGACAAGCCTCTCAATGTGAGATTCGAGTCCGTCAATTTTAACCACACATTGAGATGGGACCTGGCACCAAACCACGACAACTCTACTCTCTTTACAGTGCAGTATATCGGGTGAGTACATAATTTTCATGTAACATACTATCTATGAAAATATCAGACACCTGCTATATACATACACATTGCTATTTGCTTTTATATGTAGGGAGCCTTACTGAATTTTTGTTTTGGACATAATTTTTGCGGCTAATTAAACAATATCTTAGTTGTTTCATTTGTCCTAACATATACAGTGATTTCCTGTACCAATACGAGTATTAGCTAGTAAAAGAATTCAAAGTCTATCTATGGAAGCCACCGCTATCACCAGCGTAACAACTGAAGCTAATGTGTTGGTGGTGGTTCACATACTGAAGCCTGCGTGACAAGAAAATTATGTTATGAATGGATGATCTTTGTTTCTTGACAGTTGTACATGGTACAATGTATGGCAAGGATAACAATGACACTAAGCAGAAAAGGGGTACTACGGGTAGTCTTCCAAACAGAGGATTATCACAGGGGACACTACCTGTTCCTCAAATGTACAAAGAATCTTTTGTTGAGTAAGTTCTTTTCACGACACAGCCAAGCAGAACTAGACCATGAATATTCAGACCATCACCTGTTGCTTAAGGAAGTATGGTGTCAGATTTCCTTCTTTGGAGATCCCGTATGAGCCATGTTTACAGAAGTATTGTTAATGTTCTGGGGTACTAGCTTTCTGACAAAATTGCTGACGGTCGACTAGCATTGTATACTAGGTGTTCAGTTACCAAAGGAACCAACGGAAAACATTGTTACAGCAATGTTTCTAGTATTGACTTTGTTCAAAATAATCTTCCTAGGGTTTTATCATATTCACACAGCTAACAATAAGTTTTTAACCTTTTGCTGTATACTGAAGAAACAACACGGAAGAGGCGGGTGGGGGTGACAACTTGAATCTGTACCTTTAAATGTGTGACTACGTTTAGTCCCGTCCTATCGATTATCGAAAGAGTTAGAGTAAGGACGTCAGGAACAATACAATGGTTCAAAACGCTTGTTAGCAATGAGAATGCCCTAAGATTGACACCATTCCAGTATTTGAACACTTGTTGCTGTGATTGTTCGCGTTTATATATGGTTGCAGTTTCTCTATTTTCTCTTGTTTTCATCGCAAGCTTTTACTATGAGGTAACCTTAGTAGTTGGTTTATTTATTAACATGGCTGTCAGTAAGGATTAGATTTAATCTTAAGTAGGCGTACGTGTACTCTCTCATGGCAACAATGGCTTCTCACTACTTCTTAGTAACAACACCAAATATGGAGCGTCTTCTAGGAAAAGAAATGAAGACTTAGCAACTGAAACAGGTTTAAACTGTCCATTCAGATGAACTTTCCAGCTAAGAATTAGTAACGTATGGTTTAGCAACTAGGGCTTAACTTGGTAGGGATACTGTTTCCCAACCACAATCATACATTTCTATCAAGTACTTGGATTTATAGAATTTAATTTTTGCTTTTGTTTCTTTTCAAATTTATCTGTCGAATAGGATTTACTTTTATTGATATAAACTAATGGGAGATATACTTTCAACCTCAATATTATACGCGGTTCTTGACGAAAAATAATTTTGATTTCTTAATCCAGCTTTGCTGGGGTTTAATTTATTGTGGCGTCGAATATAATGGTCGTGTGGCGGGTTAAATTCCTGCATTCCTGACTAGACGTTGTGTTCTTGAGAATGGCACTTTACACGAGCTTCCTCACTCGAGGGCAGCTGAGTTCGGGTTGGAGAGTACGTGAGTACTTTCTACTCCGCCTTCTAGCTAGCACATGTTCACGACACATGTGGAATAGCAACCTATACCCTCGATCAAAAGGGCTATGGAACAACATTTACCTTTACCTTCTGTCTGTATCTGTACCTGTTTCTGTATCTGTATCTGTATAGCCGGTATAACCGCCCGGCGTAACACACCAGCTTCGCAGGCACGCGGCGCGGCGGCAGCTGGCTACATTACATTCTCTCCCAGCAGAGGTTTGGGTTTGGGGTTATTTTTAGCGTGTCTTTAGACTTTTTTTATCGGGGTTTCTCTTTTGCACTGGATTTTTTTTTATGGAAAAACATCCAGTGTAAAAGAGAAACCCCGATAAAAAAAGCCTAAAAACACGCTAAAAATAACCCCAAACCCAAACGTCTGCTTGGAGAGTACACATTACACTTCGCGACTTGTTACACCTAACCCTTTAACATCTAACTCCAAACATTGTTTAACGCTATCTAATGATTAATCCTCAGTGCGAATCATCGGGACCCGTACCCGTCCCCGGAAGACTGGCAGGAGAAGGCGAAGTGTATCAACATCACTGGTCTGTGCTGTGTGCTGCTGAATGAGATAGGGAGGGACGGGAACTGGTGGGCACGTGTGCGCGCTATCAACTCCTACGGCACCAGCGACTGGGCGGAGAGTAAACTCTTCGAACCGTTCGAGGACAGTAAGTCTATTTTGATCGATTATATATACTTCCCGGGAGTATTGTTTTTGGTTACGTTATTTGATAGTTCGTGTGTTTGTGTCGAGTCCGCACATGCGACCAAAGGAATTGAACCATTTGAGGTTGATGAGTTTAATTTTACTAGAGTGATGAGGTCATGAACTCAGTGTGCCCGCCATGTCATAATAGAAAGTGCCTGTCGACAGTTTCCAGTTCGATGCTCTATCTTGTCAGATAGCCTTAGACAAAACTGGAGCCAAATGTTGGGCCTCAGGAGTTCGGAAGTCCTTAGAGGAGTGTGGTTTTGGTTATATCTGGCATTGTACTTTATCACAAAACACAGATACGTCCCATATTATTAATTCCATCAACCAACGTCTGAAAGACATCCATTTCCAAACTTTTCTAAAAGAAATACACAATGATAACAAAGGCGGAGTTGCTAGAAACAAATTGAGATCGTACAGACTGTTCAAGACAACGTATAATGGAGAAAAGTATCTAAATCTCGACAATATACGGCATAGGACCGCCACTACAAAACTCAGGATAAGCTGCCACAAATTACACATTGAAACCGGACGCCATAACCGCACTCCCCTGGAACAACGAATATGTAGGTATTGTAATCTAAATAGGATAGAGGATGAGGAACACTTTGTATTAGAATGTAGTTTATACAACGAAGAGAGAGCAGAGCTTTATAAACTATTGCAATGTATGTTTCCCCATTTCATACATCTTAGCAACGCAGATAAGTTCATATTTCTGATGATTTTAGACAAACCTTCGATTATAAAACATATCTGTACTTATATCTACATCATTACTAAGAAGCGAGAAGAAACCAAATTATCGTAATTATTAGACTATATGTCCATAGTACATAGAATTAGCACTAGCTTGTACATTGTATATATTCATTGCAAACTGTGACGTCTTTCCTGTGACCTGTACTGAACCCAGTGGGTATTTGCGTACAATAAAGGTCTTCATTCATTATAATGTGGTTTGAGGGTGACCTGTAATGTGCGAATACCGCACTATCTAAACCTTTGTATGTGATTTGTGTATTTGTATATTTGTTATCGTCCCTCTTTTTTATATGGGCCTTTGGCCTGAAACAAAGAGTAAATAAAACAAATAAATTTCCCTCTGATCATGATTTTATGCCGGCGACCGAAGAAAGCCAATAGCATAGTTTTATAATTAAGTTAAAACTATTTTTTTTTACCAAGAAAGGTACAATTAGCTACTCTTTATGGGATGCTCTTGCTCTTAATGTTTACACAAAATATGTTACTGGTTAGTACCTAGAAAAAAAAATGCGTATTACTAACGTACGTACTATATTTCAGCCGATTAACAACAGCTTTCTGTTGACGTGTTCAGCACTGATAGGTGCCCCGGATCTGGACATCCAGGCAGGTGAGGTGACGACAAACAGAATCGTCCTCCGCGTCAGAGCACCAAAAACGCCTATCTATGACAGCGACACCGGGCGGCGAATGCGCATTTCTAACATCTATACCGGCATCAAGTGGAACATCACGTACCAAGAAGTAGGGTCAAGTTTTAAGGTAAATACTATTCATTTTCTTTTGCAACAAACATACTAAACATGTTGTCTTATAATTACACACGAAATGACAAATCTTGAATAAATATTGCTTCTATTAAAATACAAAAGTTTTAAGACCTCATACCCAGGTCCCTACTCATCACCGGCTACTGAAGAAAACAGAATCAATTTGGATACTGTTTTTTGTTAATTTAGAACTTGTTTCGCCCTTCCCAAACAATCATTTTTTCATGCATTTTGCTACGTTTGCCAAAGCTTAGCGAATTAATGTCTGTACATGTATGTTCACATTGGATTTTTTCTCTTTTAATTGTTTGTGGGTGAATTCCAAAAAATAAAAAAGCCCTAACGCTTTCTCTGACAGATGGAGAAAATAACATCAGACAAAGACGTTGTGTTGGATCATCTGTACCCGGGGAAACGCTACTGTATCGCCGTGTATGGCAGCTACCTGGGCAGGAAAGGGGCAACACGACGGATATGTGCGGATACGAAGGAAGACGGTAAGACACAGTAACATACACGCATAATGATTTCCAGTATCTTGCCGGTTGCAGCTATACGTTCAACATGTGAAAATGGTTTCAGAATGTACTTTATATTATTAAACCTAGATATTGTCACGATGTCTTCCTTGATACACTGGAGGTTGATGGTGGAAGATCGTTTGCTTTTTGTATACTACCACACAAAAACGGACCATATATAAAAAGCAAACGATCTTCCACCATCAACCTCTGCTTGGAGAGTACATTTTTCAACTTCAAATCCAAGCCACTGTTTTCTTTTTTATGTGTGTCTTGCCTTTATCACCAACAGCGACATAATGATTTCCTTTTTCCCCCTAGTTCCCTCCTCCGGAGCCCGGGATCTGTTCTCCAGCGTGGATGACTGTACCCGGTACCCGCTTAGGAACGTCCGACTTACCTGGCAGGTACGGCCTTATATAGCTATGATAAAATGGCACCGATGTCATTTGGTATGTAGCCTTTATTCTATAGAAAATGTGGAATCTTTTGTCTTCCTCTGTCTTCAAAAGAGAAGTCAAAACCAGTAGATTTAGGAGTTACGGTAGTTTTTATTTCTTGTGTCTAGTTATGTATCACGTGCTTGTACTTTATCAATTGTTCCTTTTGTTTTGTGTTTGAAATTAGCCCTCGGGCATGAGTTTCCAATAACTTCAACAATTACCATATATTTATTAATATAAATGGTTTATTCGCAAATTGACAAAAAACTAAAACAAGACTTGCAGCCTAATAATACAATGTAAAAACAGGGCTGAATTGCGCAGTTTCACTGGAACACACAATGGAACTCTTGTCTTCTCTTGTCTTCTATTACTAAGTTTAGTTGTTCCTCAAGGAACCCAGCTCAGAGTAGCGTTTGAGGTTTAACGTTACAGAAGAGGAAGAAAATTACTGAGAAATGTTCTTTATACCTTCTGACAGCCTCCAGTGGAAGAAGATTGGAATGGCGAGCTCCTGCAATACAAGATCAGTTACCGGGAGATTGGGAGTTTCTCCAGCGAGATGACGCATTCGTTAGTCCCGGCAGGAGTCACCAACTTCACCATCCGGGACCTGTCGGCGTCCAAGCGGTACGTTGTGGACGTGGCTGCCTGCACTTCCGCCGGATGTAGTGAAACGCCTCTTCAACACGAAATGCTGAGGGTTGAACCTTTCCAAACAGGTATTAAACGGAATTATTTTTCTATCCTTTAATAAAGCTCTTTCCCTTTCCTTCCCCTCTCTCTGTTTCTCTCTCCAGGGGTGTCAGAGTATACAATGCAATTTTACGGAATACAGTACAACCGTATTAGTGCACAGTGCAATCGTATTAGTATACAGTGCAATTTTACTTATAAAATTGCACTGTATACTCTGGCACCCCTGCTCTCTGTCTCTCTCTGTCTCTCTCTGTCTCTCTTTCTCTCCGTCTCTCTCTCTCTGTCTTTCTCTGTGTGTGTGTGTGTGTGTGTGTGTTTGTCTTTTAGATGGCCTATATATGGAGTAAAACATGTTTTCGCCTTTAATTCCAAAATCCAGCTACATCGCCGCCGTATGCTCCAAACGTAAGCGCCTCGCCGCTGTCATCAACGTCAATGCAGATCAGTTGGAGTCCGCTAGAGGACGCCTGTGTGCAGGGGTACATGGTCCAGTACGCCCCTGGGGTGGAGCCCATGAATGTGGACTCCGGCACCACCGTGAACCTGACGGGTCTGTTGCCGGGGACGGAGTACCACGTCTGCGTGAAGGCGCGGCTGGCCTCTGCTGGTGCGCGTGAGTTCGGAGACTGTGCCAGAAAATCAGGAGTCTATGCACGGACAATGGAGTCAGCAGATGGTAAGGCAACAGAAGTTCCTCAAATTTTTGTAGTAAGAGCATGGTGCACGTGTGGTATGACTGGTTGTAAGCAGTATCAAGCCTTAGAGTCAGAACTCTCACGTATACATATCTTTTAAGCTATAGATAGATCTGTTCTTAACAGTATAATTTAATATACTTACTTCCATAAAATCAGTATTTTATTTTGTTATGGTTTGCCCTCAGTATCTTCTGTGCACATGTGATGTAAAAACGTCATACTCTTCTACGAACAATTATACAATTGGTTATACATAAGTGTGATAAATATGTACATGTATTTCCCCATAGATGCCAATATACTGGTACAGACTGTTGTGCCGATACTTGCCGTCGTGACGGTCCTGTTGGTTCTCCTGTGTTTCGCCGTCCTGTGGATGCGAGGCAGTCCCTTCCTCAGCATCAGCAAAATCAACATTGTACTTCCACCTGTTCTGGTAGGTGGCGCTGTAAAGGACAAGCGTTCAAATAAAGTGCATGTTCCCTTTATCTCCAAGCAGATCTTTCGTTGGCCGCAATTAAGACACTATCAAATTGTCTAGGCAGTATCCATTAGCCAGACAGTATCAATTGGCCACTCCGGTGGCTAATGGACACTTCTTTGGCCAATGGATACAGCCTTGCCACCCTATGATCTGCTTGGAGATTATGTTCCCTTGTTTTTATGTAAAAGAACAGTAAACCATTATGTATGTATATAGGATGCAGTCTATTTCATAGGATACCTTATCTGCCAGGCTATCGCGCGCGAATAGATATAGGATAAAACATTGTTTTGAGGTAGCGAATATATGATAAAAACGCACAGAAGTGCGTACACTATATAATATAGTGCGCACAATGTCATAGTGAAATCTTTATTTGAAACAACTAGTCATAGTGAAATCTGTATCTGAAATAACTAGTTGACTGCTGTATTAACTGGTGCAATTATTTCCCAATACGTGTTGACTCACATGTAAGCATTTATTTTCATTTTCAGGTGGAAATTAAAGAGACCAAGGACAGCGCTTGGGAGCCGATTTCTTCTTCCTCTAACAGTGAGCGCATGGACGATCTCGGTTCCCTTCGTACCAGCATGATTCGCCAGAAAAGCAAGTTCGTCAAATCCCTTCAAAATCTTCCCGACACCTTGACTCTCGATGACGACGTCTTCGCGGATGAGAAGAAGAGGCTGCTAAGCTGGAAGTCGGACAAGGACCTGGTGGTGAAGGTGGTGATTTCTCGGAAGAAGTGCGAAGACAAGGACGAGCCATCTACTCCGACCAGCACGGATTCCGGAAACGTTTCCGGACCGTGCTCGCTGATAACGGATTCCGGCGGCGACGACGAGGAGTCCGGATCCGGCGGTTCTGTCACAACGTATCACCTCGATTCTCCTGTGAAGAAAAATTTCCTCGACCCATCCACGGAGAGTCCACGGGATTCTAAAAAGCTTGTGGTCCCACAAGCCATGACAAGCTGGCCGGAGAACCAAACGTCCTCCTCGGAGATCGAGTCCTACGTGCGGGCCACCGACGGGACATTTGAAGACGACGCTGACGAAGTTTTCCCCGCAAAGGGATGCAAAAGTCAGTCCAACCCGTACGTTCTAGCCGAGAACCTACCTCTACTGGCTCCACCATTCACCCAAGAGTTCAAGCCTAACACAAACCCACGGGTCACCGCCGGCGCACCTCCACCCAACCCCCCGTCTCAAAGGGGGGTGACCGACATGCCAGTACCGAACTTACTTAGTCATACGCCTGGAGCAAACTCGATCCCTACCCAGTCCATGTCGTCTGGAAGCTCCATAGATCCGTACGTGGTGTCGGCAGTCCCTTTACCTCCACCGCCAGTCCCAAGCCCTGCCTCAAACAGAGCTGACGCCTTAGACTCCCCTTCGAGCTCGTCCACCAGCAGTGTAGACCCGTATGTACAAGCAGCGGCGGGCCCAAGAGGATGGCAGAATCAACCAGCATCTTCTACCGTAAGTTCTCCCTCCATGTCATCACAGAGCGACGTCGACCCGTACATCCAGGCGAGTACTAATAGACAGGCTAACAGACCTAGCGCCACCCAGCGGCCACCTGATGGACTGCACCGTCCAAGTAACAACTTGAATTCCTCATCAGACACCAGTAGAAATAGGGATTATCAAGATCCCTGGGTAACAAAGTAGATAGAGATTATCATATCCTTATGGATCATGCATATAGCAGAAAAAAGGTCGAAAAATGCATAAACATTTCGAGGCTAGGTGTGTATTTCTCTTATAATATATGTACTAGTGTATATTTCATAGATGGAGCTTGTTTTACTGACTTTGTACGTGTTGATTTTGTCCTCACAAGCTAGATATTACCGTTTTAAAAATACTGACGGGCAAGCCTGTACATATATACGCAAGGCCTGTTACCTAGCTTTGTCTATGCATGTCATTGAGGTACTGCCACATTAGGTTATCTGAGGTCAAAAAGTTTAAGCGTCTTTAAAAAAGATCCAAACTGTACTAATAAAAATGAAAGTACAGATATCTACATTTATTACATATCAACGATATAAATACAATAGATTACATATGTGTCAGGGTAGTTATGTACGCTCAAATCAAGACAAATGTGATAAGCCAACTTGCAATTGGGTTCAACAAAACCTTAGCCAAAAAGTCACAAACTTTTAAGATATATGTGGAAATAAATATCAGGTGTTCATTTTAGTAATACATAGTTATGTATAACGATCCATAAGTCTTGTTATATACGTGTATATATGTGTGTTAAACGCTTCAAAACTCTTGGAGATTATAAATATTAGTACCTCTAGACCAGCATTGTTGCCCTTCTGAGATGTAGAGATTTCTATTTTGTCAATTATTGCAGCAAACAACTATATCATCATCATCATCAACGACAAATATAATGAGCATATTACAGAGAAGGTTGATGAAATTATAGCAAATTTGATTGTTGATTTGGGAGCACTGACATATGGATATTCACAGTCCATTAAATATATTCTAAGTATGGACTTTTACGGGTGGATGTGCGCCATTCTATATCCAGCAATGTACTTAAATATGAATACTGGCTGTGTACAAATGTACAAGTATAATTAACCTGGTATACAGTCTGATTCGTGGTCGGGGCCGCAAGAGCTCTGGCCCGCCCGCATAAACCAAATCCCCGAGCATACTGTCTCTGATTAGCGTAACACTCCTACCGGGACGGTCTGTTGCACTGGGCGGGGGAAGCTCTTAGAGGCCCCGAAGACACAACCTGCCTAAACACCCCCAATCACGATCAGACTGGATACCAGGCTAAAGTATAATGAATGATCTAGAGTTTAGGAAACCTAGTCAAGTTGAATGTCATACTGTATATATGAGTATTGAACTGTTTATTTTAGTGGCCAATGCCGTAATCTTGCTACCATTCTGGTAGAATTTGTGAAGGAAGAAATAGACATCTGGGGGTATGTTTTAACTTACTGCCATGTATGTTTCTGCTAGCTATATGTGAGAGTAACCGCCTACACAACGCAGAAAGCGCGTGTATGCATATATGATGTTATTAAACTTATCCTTGGGAAGAAAATAAAGTCTGCGTCGCGTTTTATCATTTCTATCTTGAAAAATATCTACATCTAGACTCTATGACATTGTGTTTTCAATTCAATTCAAAACCTTTAATTTCAAATTGCATACCGTAAAATACTTGGAAAGACGAGGGGTAGTGCTGCAAGTTTTATTCAGTATATAACGCTACTAGCACACGAGAGGTATATTTTCAAACCTCATCTGACAAACCATCTGATCTGAATGTTTTATTCAGAATCTTGTATCAAAAGTGCACTTCTTGTAACTATCGCCAGGTGCGTCACGTCAGATACTAGTATGCTTTCGGGTCAAAGGTGAATGAAGTGAATGCGGAAGTGACAGGTGGGTGTAGCGTGGGTACGCCATAGACGGAAGAATCACATCAAATATCTTCTCTTGGAGACAACTGATGACTGTCATCACATGTCAACCGTCAGTGTAGCAATCTAAGTTCTTTCTAGTCCCTACCAAAACGCCCCTGAACAGCTCTGAGTGACTATTTTCGTGGATGCTGACGCCACCACCACAAAAGTGACAGTTGTATTTAAACATCACATGTGTGTTTTAAGTAAGTGCGACCAGACATCCGTTTTTTACATGATTAAGGTAAACGTGACATATCTGTTCCTGTGTTGAAGGTGGTCTTACATTGTTCTGAATGTGATATTTTGTACATTTTACTCATGTTGTTGTTGAATCGTACTGAGACAAATCTTCATTTCTCACTGTGACAACTAGACAGCCAGAAATTCCTCACACTCGAGAATTGACTCGTCAAAGGCAATGGCAGATTCGTCAAGCACAATAGTACAGCCGGTACGTATATTACTGTATAATATCATTCTTAGAATCCAACGTTTTGTAGCTTTGATTACCTTGGCTTTAGGCATGAGTTGCTGTTGTACAGTCAAACGTATTAATCATGCCAAGAAGACCTCTCAGGGGACCGCTAAAAATCTGGTCTACATGTGAACATGTGGTCACTATAGACAGGATTCTTAATAAATGTTTGTGTAAATGGGGAAATTATCAAAGGGACTACCAAAAAGTGGTCACATTGGCCAAGTAGCTCTTGAATGTAGAGGTCACTTACTGGTTTGACTGTACACTGAAGAAACAAAAATTTAACATATGTTACATTTAAATTTAAGTAATAATTCAACTGTGTAATTACATGTAACTGAATACAGAAATACTAGACTGGACGTTTTTTTTGTAATTTCACAACGGGTGTAAAGTTACATATGTAACAGGTTTTAGTCCCACAACCAACATTATCTGGCCAAGGATCTGACTTAATTCTTCCAAGGAGGTTATAGTGAAGACTACTAGTACAGCCTCCTTGATTCTTTCTTATGTAGCCTCTTTTTCCCTAGCCCAAGGACAGAAGGAACACCATCACAGTTGCCCTGTCTGCACGAGCGTTGTTCGACTTGGAGGCAGAGAACAAGTTCTTTCAGGAGAATGGACTAGAGGCGTACATACAACACATGGTGGAGAAGGAGAATGAAGTCTTGGGAAAAGGACCAGCTTTTGAGTTTGTGGAGGTAAGTATAGCTTTTTTAAGCCCTAAACAAAGATAATAGACGGTCATCATCTTATGTACAAGAAAGGGTTGTGAATAAAAGAACTTCACTATTCGATCGCTCACCAACCTGATAAAATTATTTTCGGATAGATTTCTGGACTGTGTGTGTTACTGTAATTCGCAATTCACACAATGCAGCATTGCCATACACCCCCATGTCTCTGCTAATTTTTGTCTGTAGATACTGAAAGAGTTGCATACAATACATCACAATACATACATTTACAGCCGAATAAAATATAAATAAATAAAGAGTTGTATATCAGATTATCAGTATCAGGGCAAGGGGGGGGTGAAGTCTGCCATCTCTGACTGCCATGTTATTTTTATGTTTCCCACAGTCTGCTCTAGCTGTCAACGATCGAATCCGCAAACTTGACCCAAAAGACAACGAACTGTTTGATATCGTGATTGTGAGCCGTAACCACGCCCAAGCAGCCATCAGAATTATCAACTCCATCAACCATTATGGTCAGTGATCTGGATCAGTTTTGTCAAACTCAAGACATAAGTACAAATGTACACTGATTGGAACATAAAATTATGAAAAGAAACATGGTAGATGATCATGGTCATAGTATGAAAGTATTGTTATAAATCATTTCAGAAGGCATTTGATACATGCTGTATCATCAGTCTGCTTCAATCTACATTGTGTACCAGTTCAAGTACAAGTTTTCTATCTGTTTTCTGTAGGTCTGTGTTTGGAGAGAATCACCCTGGCTGGAGGAACAGACCCGACCGCCTACCTGGGAGCCTGGAAGGCTGACCTGTTCCTGTCTCCAGATGAGAATGATGTCAGAAGTGCCATTCAAGCAGGTAAGGAGGCATTCTGGGACTCATGGGACGTAGCCTGGGAATGGGGTAAGGGGGTGGAGGAATGGTGGTTGTGAGTATTACATTCTAATTTTAGATATATACTAGGTGCTTAAAGTCTATATATTTCAGTACTATATACTACTTGTCATCTACTGTTAATCGCCATTTCTTACCTCTTTTTGAAACATCTGGAAACATAATTACATATGTACATAATTTGTGCACTATAGGTTCATTCCTGCATGATATCAAGTATGTGAATGTGTCCCGCTTTGACATTTTCTCACATACATACATGTAATATGTACTCAGGGTTCCCAGCAGCAGTGGTATACAAGTACAACGGTGAAGACCTACCCAACGACCAGCTGAGGATCGTGTTTGACGGGGACGCGGTTCTGTTCTCGGACGAGGCAGAGCGAGTGTACCAGCAGCGAGGGTTTCCCGCCTTTGTGGAAAATGAGAGACAGAAGGCTGCGATGCCCCTGGACGAGGTAAGAGTCAAGAAGCACAAAATTAGAATACAAGATACATATGTACAATGTATATATATCAAGTAAAGAAACCTTCAGTACTGCTGTCAAAAAAGTAAAAGGAAGATTAAAATTTGTAAATGCATTGGTTATACAATCATGTAATACAAAATACAGTTCTTGACTGAAGATACATGTATATCTACCTGACATCTGCATTTTATGGTTAGAACATTTGAATTCAACATGATAATCTGATTCAACATTTGGTACTACATACACATTCATAGAATTTGCCATTCTAAATTTTAGATAACACAGTCATACATGTACTAAGTCTTACATTATGGTTTTCTTATCCAATACTATCCAATTATCGGATGTTTGAGAATGCTAATAGTATGTATTATTTTATCATACCTCCAGGGTCCACTGAGAAAGTTTGCGAGCAGAATTGCAGCGATCCAGGAGAAGTTCCACACAAGAGAAGTTCCGTGTCCCATCCGTACGTACATCCTGACAGCGAGGTCAGGCGCCAGCGCGGGAAAGCGTGCGATCCTCACACTCCGCGAATGGGGTCTCAAAATTGATGAGTGCACGTTCAATGCAGGGGCCAGCAAGGCGGCCATGTTGAAAGCGATCAATCCGCACCTGTTCTTTGATGATTCACAGTCGCACATTGACGCCGCTCTGGAAGAAAACATCCCAGCTGCCAGGGTTCTCTACGGCATCAAGGATGAGAAAGTTGAGGCCAAGCCAGCAGCAGAGAAGAGCAAAAAGCGTGGCAGAGAGTCGGTTGAGAGCGAAGGAGCAAAGGGAACATTAAAGGAACATTTTCCTGTTAAGAAGACCAAGTCTTACTAGTAGTCTTTTCAACTGGAAAGTTTGGGTGCTTGGTGAGAAAATAATATTTTAACCTTGTTCTTTGCAATGGACTGCAATATTACATTCAAGTGTTAATCATTGAGACTTAAAGTAAGCATACCATTTATGTATGATATATATACTCATATAGATCAGGCCATAACTTTTACATGCAGTATTGTATGTATATGCCAGACTTTATCATTCCAACTTGTATAATGTTTCCTTTTTAGACATGAATTTGACAAATTTTATGAAAGAAAAAAGAGAAGACTAAATCTAATGTCTTTTTTACAACACTTGATGGTGTAGAATTCTTTCTTAACTACATGTAATGTTATCATGCATAGTGTATTTTAGTATCCTTTTCAGCATTATCTATATCAAATATACGCATTTTATATTTATAAGGTAGTTGACATTTCAGCACTATTTTATATTGTTACTTTATATACTACATTAATGTTCAGGTTAAGTAGTTTATATTTCAATACTATGATTTTAAAAAGCATATCTGAATCACAACTAACTAAGTATTGTATATCGGATTCATATATCTTGGTGAAAGAGGGCACAGAGACAATGGTATGAAGTTATTGATTTAATGACAATATCATTATAATGTACAAATGGTCTAGCTAGTAAAATTGAAATATAACTTTGATGAAAAATTTCTACCTAATTCTAAGAATCTTAACAGAACTTGAATGTTCCAAAGTTACATACATGTATTATATTTTGAAGTGTAACCATGGTACCTGAGTGGTTGGTTGACCATATTAAATATCCTGGCTGAAGAAAAAAAATATTACTTTGATGGTCATTTTCTCCTTAACATTTTAGAAACAATGCCATGCTTTTGTGCGTTCTTCATTTCATCTGACTTAAGTTACGAGGTAACATTGCTATACTTGTGCGTACATTTTCAAAGAAGAAAAGTTTGAATGTCTTCATCATCTCCGTTACTGCCTAGCCCTACCATGTAGGATTATTGGCAGCCGTTACGCATTGATTAGTTACAATTGTGATCCAGTACATAAAAACAAGGTAAAACAAGGATAAATGAGAAGGGAACATAAGACAACTGATTTTGTGTGTGCTAAAGACGGGACAAGTGCATTAGTGCGTTAGTAATATTTACATATATACAAGACATGATGGGGTGGCTCAATGCAGCAGGGTCCTCGCCAGTTCAGATTTGAACTGGGCAAGAGACCCCGCCTCCGCCGCACCAGGCTCAAGTTCATTCCATTCCCTGATGGTGCGGGGGAAGAACGAGAGCCTGTAGAAGTTGGTTCTGCTCGCGATGGCCTGCAATGTTTGAGTGTGATTGATGCGACGGGAGCATCGAGCCACCGGGACAATCCTGGTTGAGTGTGGGACGGAGACAGCGTTATGTATGATCTTATCTATGTCTTAATCTAAAAGTACCCATCTACAGTATAATAACAACTGACAATTGCAAGTTCCTTCTATTTTCTTCACAATCCCATCACGATCCCATCTCTTATCATTGCAGTAGTTTCAGTATGCCTTCGCTCCATATCTTTTCACAAACCCTGGTACATCAAACTTGCGTTTGGATGCAAAGTACGACATGAAGCGGATTTTCCCGTAGATTGGACGTTCTTGAAAGTCACGGTCGTGGAGTCCACCTATGGCCCACATACAACCTACAAAATGAAATTCATTCATTAGAAACAATGTTTATGTTTAGAAACAATTTTAACAGTTTTTAAAATATCAAACAAAATATTTTAGATCCTATTTTAACTTTTATGATATCTTAACCAGATAATTTATCTTAATTGCTACAATACATTTTTTACAGATTCTATGCATCATTTCAAATTTTAGTCTTAAGCTTACTATTAGATGAAACTGTTACATGCTGGCTAAGCTTAATGTTCTAGACACAAACTTCTGCATGGGAGAGTGTTGAGTTAAAATCTTTTTTACAAGAATACATGTAGTTGGTTTTTCTTCTGAAAAGCAAGAATCTGATATGATTTTCTCAGTTATTCTTGATAATTCATTGTTATTAAAGTACATTAAAATTGACTTGGAGTCAATCGAAAATTCTCCAACCTACCAGCATATCCGTTGGGGTCCCTTCCATCCAGGTTATACTTGTCATTGAGGTAGATAGCCTCCTGTAGGGCGACTTCAGGAGAGGGTGTCCACTCCAGGATCATTTTGGCCCAGTACATACGCAGGAACCCGTGCATCTTCCCTTCTCGAACCATCTGGATCTTCAGATGACATAAAAAATGAAAATTCATGAAATAAAACAACATACATTATACTTATATACATGAAAAATGGTGGGGAGGATTCTTACAGCACACATTTGTAGAAATTGATGGGACAATACCATACTCCATGAAAAGGTGAAAAATGTAATTCATCGTATCTGTATCGGTATAGCCAGTATAACTGCCATTTGGTGTAACATAGCTTGGCTTCACAGGCATGCAGTGCAGTGGCAGCTAGCTATACTACACCGGACAACCTGTTATACCCAATCTTTGCATATTTGGCAACATTTAAAAGGTTTTCATGTACAATTGTCAATAGGAAACCCCAATAAAAAAATAACAAAATGAACCTGCAGATGAAGTTGAGGGAAGTTTTTTTGGATACCTGTGCAGCATTCCAGAGGTCGTCATGTGTCCTGGCCTGTTCCAGCTGCTCACGGCTGTAAATGTACTGTCTCTTGTCACCTGCGTGGTCACGTAACGTCTTCTGGGCCCAGTCTGGCGCACCTGGGAATAAACACACAATGTCATCTAACTAATCGTTCGTTTGATTGTTAAACACCTAACCACAGATCAACAGGTTTTTGAGTTATGCTGTTAAAATAGAAACTAAACTGACAGTTACAGAAAACATAGCATTCCTTGCAAAGTCAACAAGGATCATGTCTATTCTTTAGTTTGACATTTGAGAGATCATAACCTATAAGCTAAGGAAGCAACTTTGAGGGAGGACACAAGAATAATAAATCCAATTTCAACCAAACACATGAAGCATACTGAAGCAGTTTAAAAATATACATAAATAAATAAATAAAAACACAAAATACAGTTTTACAAAAACTTATCACATTCTTGTATCTTTCCAAAGATTATTTAGTCTTACCTAAAAGAGAATCATATTTGTCAGGGTTGTAGAAAGCTGAGTTTTCTGCCATCTCCCTCCAGATGACAGCTTCATCGATGTACTTCTCCACAGACTGCTTGTACCGGTCCTCAAACTGTTGTACAGTCAGGATAGATCTCTGTACCGATACATGGCCTGGAGGGGGGTAGGAGGGACAATGTTCAAGTCAGGGAGCAATTTTTTTACCAATTTCTTTTAAATTTGTCTCTCTTTGTTAGAAAATGAAGCGTTTTCTTCTTGCATTTGTCTTTTGGTTGAAAGTGAGAGGTCATAACATCAATCACATTGCATGCCTCAAGTTTTGAACTCAAATTTCAAAGGACTATATGCACTGTACAGTAGCTGTTTGGCTGCTAGTAAATCATAGGTGATGGGAAAAAAAGCACTGAAGAGAAGATTAAACTAGTTTGACCATAAAACTAAAAATTAAAGAAAATTTACCTCAAATTCACTTCTCATCTAAAGGAATGAAATTTGAACAAAAGAGTGATCCCTTGCCCATTTCTATCTTTGTCAATACATGTACATGTATCTAGAAATGCATACCAATAAGGTACATATGGAAATTTGACCACTACATGTATGGATCTATACTCTGACTTACCAAAATGGTACCATGGTGAGAGGTCACTCTGAGCCTTGTGGTCAGGTTTGTTCCTGTCGGCAGCGTACACCTCCAGCCTCTCCCTACAGAACAGCTCCAGCTGACGCAGACCCCCCACGGAGCCGGGCGTGGCCCAGGTTACCTCGGCAACAGTCCTGTCCACCTGCAGGCTGACCTTGGTGGAAACCCAGTCTACTGGCTGGGGAGGTTTGGTGTGTATTAAGATACAGCATTATCCAAAGAAATATCATAAAAAATTGATTCAATCAATATTTGTTTTATAGCACACTTTAGGTCAAGTTCATTCAGTTCTTAATTGTTACAATTTTCCTGACAGTGGTCATTCAGTATGAATAAATAAAAGCAGGGCGAGACATACCACCAGTCCTGCATATGCAGGTAAAATTGGAGCTGTGCAGGTACATGTATTTCTGATGTCTGCCTGCACCTAACCTGCTCTGGTCCATTGTACAAAATGTGTGTGGATTTTTATGGGTTCACCACACCACGAAGTGGTGTGGTGAAACCATATTGCTTTTTCTGGTGTTTCTTCTTCTTCTCCTGCCATTTTTTAAATGGATTCAGCTTCTTCATTTTAGGGCCCAAGGTCCTGAAATTTGGTATGGAGGTACAGTGGGCAAATACCCCTAGGCGTTTTTTAAATTATTGTGATACAGGCTTTTAGAATGGTTTTATTTGAGTTTTTTGGCTGTGTTATAGCAAATGTATTACTGTGTTAGTTTGCCTTGTTTACCACGTTTGGGCATGAGTCATCACAATGGAATGCAGGGCATCAACCAATAGGCATGCAGCTTTCCTCTATACTTCTTGCTGATTGGCTGTTGGGATTTAACTTGATTAACACCTGCACAGAAGCATTTCCATACTGACAGTATGTCTGTATTCAAGTGTTTTGGTAGGTATTTCAAGCTTTCCTGCTCCAGCATTGGAATGCCGGGCATGGACGTTTTTTTTTATTTTGAAAATCAACAGTTTGCATTATGCAATTAAAAATCCTAACCAATAAAGTAGGGAATAGCTATCCAACTGTTGTTTTAGTTGTATTTTACTTCATATTATAGTTATATCAATGTAAATCATTGTTTTCCCTTGTGTTTCCCATTCTTTCCCTGCCATGTCGTAAAATGTGGTGAACCCATTGCTGTATTTGCTCCAAAGCAAATATTGGCCTTTCTAGTTATTTGCTACATTGACTGCTACCACTGATGCCGTACAATTCATCTACTACTTTTTGAATAATTGCCTGGCCTGTATCTTTTTAACATGACTTTTTGGGCTCAAATATGATTAAATGAGACAATGTGAAAAACCATATCAATCTACCATCTTGAGTAACAGTAATAAAAAAAGAACATTGGAATCTTTATTACCTGAAGTTTAGATGTTGAAGGATGAGGGTGTTTGCACACTGGAGGAAACTCGGTGAGGTAGGTTGGGAGTTTGTCCATGATCTTCCCTCGGATGATGTAGGCTCTGTGCTCCTGCTTATCTGAGGTCTCCCAACATGGTACAATGTTGTGTGCATCAACCTAAAATAGTTAGAAACCCATCAGTATACAAGAGATACGATACTGCTATTTTGTAAGATACTGGCACATCTAAAAGAAGAGCCAAACCTTGAGTCTGAGTGAAACAGAGTAGTCCATTGGTCTCTTTAGTCCATTGGTCTCTTTAGTCCATTGGTCTCTCGGTGTGAAATACTTGAGTCATATCTGATTCATTCTTTTTACAGCTTGTACCTACTTTAGTATCAACTGCAAGTGCAGTATTGGTGCATTCTACAATAAATCAGTTTACAAATTTTGAAATACAGATGCTGGTACTACATACAATATGCTTACTTTGGAATTTAATTGAGCAATAATCACAGCAAAAAGACAGCACTATAAATTTTTTTGTATAAACCTCTTTCTAGTACAAATATCTACATTATTTACGAACAATTACGACCGCAGGTTTGTTAGAAGTGTCAAATTTGTTTCAAACATCATGAGAATCTTGCTCCAAATGTGAGACTTAGTTTACCTGGACAAAGGTGACGTCCCTGGGAAGTTTAGCGGTGACGTCGCGGACCCATTTCAGGGGGGTCCTGAGGGGGGAGAAGTCAGTCACCACCCCTCCGATGTTCATCTCACTCACAAACTGGGGCAGGACGTCTACAGCGTAACCAGTCAGTAAGTTGAAACTGATGTCTAAAGTTTGTAGTTCCTAATAGAGAAAACAGGATACAGGGTAAGTGGTGAACTGGTTGACTTATCAACCAATGGGAACCAGTCATTTTATGCTGTAACTTAAAGATATGTACAACACAACCTTTTGTACAGTTACACAGCAGTTACTCTTCAAGGAAGAAATTCAGGGGTCTCTCCAGAAATTCTTAGGGGAGAGATGCTCCGGGGTCCCTATTCAGTTGAGGAAAAATCAGCGAATTTTTATGAAAATACGAGAAAAATTAAACTTGAAAATTTTGGCAGAGGTGCTAAGATTTTTGGGGAAAGGGGGAGCACCCTTGCTTCATTGGTTGGGGAGAGCCCTGAAATTAGAACAATTTTCTTTTACACCAAAAACAAATTTCATTTACCTTCTCCACTTCCTCCAGTCCCTTCAGCATGAAGCCGTAATGTCGGATGTTTGCCTCCAGGAACTTGGGTACCAGACAGAAGCACACGTACAGGGGGAGCTGGTGTGTCAGGGCCAGCCGCTGGGCATACAGCAGGGCCCAGTTATCTGTAAATAAAAACAACAACAGCGCATAACGTCATTAACAAAACATTTGGAGAGAACGTACCTAAATTACATCTTTTGTTGGTTACTCCAGCTGCAGGGTAAAATACACTACACTGCACTACCTGCCATCTGATTGTTTTGCAACTTCTAGTATTCTTGAAATACCCTTTTGGAGCAACAAAAGTCATCACCCAACATCCATACCTCACAGAATCCCCATTTTACTGAATGATAGATAATGTAATTAGCATGGATACTGACTGACCAATGGTGAAGTGCCATGATTGTACCTGGAGAGAGTTGTTCCAAAGACAGATCTGATGTTTGCATGTTAGCATTTATTCATTGGTTCATTCATTGGTTCATTCATTGGTTCATTCATTCATTGACTGATTGATTGATTGATTGATTCATTCATTCATTCACACATTTATTCATTCATTCATAAACTCACACATTCATTTATTCATTAACATACCTGTAAATACACTTTTAAACAGAACTATATAAAAACATCTTTTTTCACATTACACAGATAAATTCATTTATTCATTCATACTTATCAGTTTTCTGTACTTGGTCTGACCTTGAACTCTCTGATCCCGTGACATCCAGTAAACAATCCCTCCACAGTCTGGTTTGAACTCCCGGTTCACACTCAGCTTCCGACATCTTCTCTCGTTGAAGTTGAACTCCATAACCGAGGAACAAACCCTCCTCCTCTGGTCAGCAATCTGCTCCAGGAAGTCTTTACTCCCAGCTGCTAAACTGATACTTCCTGAGTCAACCTTCGTCATTTTGGAAGGTCCGCCGGTGGGTTGGTGGGTACGCTGGTTGTAAGGTTTGTATCCCCCGCGTTGGTTACGTCCGCCGCCTCGGTTGTGTGCGCCTCGCTGATTGCGTCCCCCGCGTTGATTGCCACCCCAACTATCTTTGTACCTTCAAATGAATGAAGTCAGTATCATGTTACTTATTTTTTTTAATAGTCATATGGTCTTTGCCATAATTTATGCAAAAATTGTACAGCACATTACAGAAAACTTAATTGACACAACAAAAGTACAACGAATTTCGTAAGCAATATAACTAGACATACAGACATGTGGGTACAAAAGAATTAACTTATGTACAAGACTATACAAAAAGTAGAGGAATACATTTACGACTAATACTAAATTCATTGCTAAATTTTCCCTTTCTTCCTCGGACTGAATACTAGTAGCCTGGGTGCCAAACCCATAGCACACTGGACACAAAGTGGCTCACTGAGATACTTTGTGTCCAGTGTGCTATGGGTTTGGCACCTAGGCTACAGACCGAACAGAAATTAATAAAACTGAATACCTGAAGTCATTTTTAATCTATAATACATTGTATATGCAATGATAGATAGAGTTATATAATGTGTAAAACACTACCCACTAACCAGGAGGGTGTCCAGGATCCACCTTCAGACATATTTCTTGAAGACACAGCGATGGATGTCTTGGGAAGGGCAAGAGTGCTTTTCTTGGAGGATAAGAAAGTTGAGGATGAAGATGAAGTTCTGTACAGAATGTTGTTGGGCTGCAAGACTGACTTTGCTGACAAACCTAAGACGAGGCACTGTAACGTTACACGCATTGATGCCTTCTTGAGCAGTCCTCAAATGATGTTACCGAGGTACGTGCACTTTGAACAAGCTCCTAGAAACACAAAAATAGTTGGATTTGCCTACTAGTTTAGCATTACCAAACACGAGTTACATAATTGATATTATGCAACTGAAAGCACTATTATGTAGCCATAATAATTTCTGTGCCTTTTTAGTCACGCAAGTGATAACGCATTTCGTTTCATAAAGATGAAATCTTATTGTAAGAAGTGGATACAAAAATGCAATTGTGTGGTATCTGGATTTACAGATAGCACCCAATAAGTCACAGTTAAACCCGCGTTATACAACAAACACATACTCACATGCAAGTTATGCAACTGAAAGCAACGCCCCCCTCCCCCTTCGGTGAAACTACTCCTCACTTCTCTTTCAAACGTCAAAAAAATCGCTTTTCTACATTCATCGGTCGACAGATGAACCTTGAGAAAATAAAACTACCATCTGTTGAGCTCAGGAAGCTTCTCTTAATTGCAAACGTAGAAAGAAGAGATCGTACTTACCACGGCACGGAGCTCCCCTAGTCCGGTTCGCGCCAAACAGCTGTTCCCGTATGCTAATCAGTTTCAATCCTCCCGCCTTATAAGGGGTTATCGACCTGGACTAGTCCACCTCACAACAGGGAAGGGCAGGTCCCTTTACAAGATTTAAAATGATGTTGGCTTTTCTGATGAGATGACTATACATGCGCATATGAAAGTTTTACCAATACCATGCTTACAGGAAAGGCGCAGAAAGTAATTTTTGTTATAAGAATGTGTATTAACCCATCACCATTAACAACTTCCCAGGTGAATTCAATGTCTTCATTGAATTGACTGAGTTGACCAATAACGTTAGGCATCTTAGAAAACAATCGTAAATTCTTTATAGTAACATCTTTTATTCACAAAGTTGCATTGTATTTCCACTTACAACAAAATAATTTCTTTTCACGATTTTTAATTAAATTGTTACATAATACTATACCATTGGTTCTTTATCTCCAATCCTGACTTGAGTTGACATTATCAATTCCCATGTTTTTAGTACAGAACAACTGGATCTGGAAACATCTGTTGTGAAGTATTTTCTGCTTTCCACTTTTTGTCACATTGGACGTGATTTAAGTGTCTAGTCATTCAGTTCTATCCATAAAGGAAATAAGAATATTTATATCTATTGGACCTTTAAAATACATGTAAACTGTTGTTCATTTGTATTTCACCAATATGCAATGATCTAGCGTAAATAACCTCTCCATTCCAGATGGTAAAAACAAGGTAAGCGCAAGAGACAAAAGAGGAAGATAATTTACTTTAATCTGTTTCAATATCTCTCTAATATGATCTACAAGTAATTTACGTTCCAAGTGAATCATCAAGTCCAATTGATAGCGAGGTATCAACAGTATAATACAGAAAAAAGAACTTAATGTCTGATGCCATTTAATCATGAAGAAAAATTTATAAAGATGAGAAAAAGCTATGTGAAGCCCCCCTCCCCCTCAAAAAAAAAAAAATCAGGATTCAAAATTGCACATGACATAAGAATCTGCTGCTATGCTGATGGGTGGTTATACTGGCTATACAGATACATGTAATGTGCACTGGCAGATGAAAGAATTTTAAGCAAACTACTCTTGCAGAGTTCCATGACTTGTGCGTATGGTGCAGGGAGACTACTGGGTAACTCCTCTTCTGAAGAAACTGGAGGTGTGGATGTCGAAATGGTCTGGCAACTTGGCACCAATACGGGAGTAGAATCTGTAGGGGACACAAAACAAGGAACATTTGATTTGACAAAACTGTAATAATGTTAGATAATTAGGGGGTGTGTGATATATCAAACAAGCTAGTATGGCTTTTTCTCCACCCCTGCATTTTTACTTTTCAATTGTATTATGTACTTTGCTTTTATTACATATGTGCAAATAAATCAAATCAAATCAATGGAATCTTGGATGACAAATGCAAATATTTCTTTCTAAACTCATGAAAAAAAGATAAGATTTATTGCTTACATAGCTTGCAAGCTACATGTAAAGATGTTTCATGTACTGCTATAAAATCTTACAATGACACTTTTAAGGCCTCTTTAAACTTCTGCAGACTTTATAAAAACATGTGAGTGTGCACGTGTGTGAGTGTACATGTATAAAGATCTTGTAAGTGAAATGTAACATGTACCTGTTCCTTAGTGCAAAAGCCGATCGAGGTTTAAATCTGACTCTTTCGTCCTGCGCTGCTTTAGCCTTCTCCTCTGCCTCCTCTTGTGCATCTCTTTCCCATGTGGACATGTTCAGGGCTCCTCCTAATGTACACAAATGTGGAAATATCAAATAAGTCCTACTGGGGACAAGCCAGTTAGGTTGAAAAACAAGTGGCAAAGTTTGAATTTACTTTGAAGCAATGTTGTAAATATGATGGAGAAACCTAGCCTTGTGTCTCCTCTTGGACAAAGACAACAAAAACAACTACACTAACTAGCTGCAATTTTCAAAACAAAACAATTCTGATATAAGTTTAGGTACATGTATTTTATTTTATCTATGTAGTAAGGTAAATATGCTTTAAATCTATTAGCCAGCTAAGGCCAAAAGCTAAATCTCTTCTGAACAACATGTCGGCAGAAAGTACTGTGCCTGCGCAAAACCCTGATTTTCCACTTTTCATGGTTTTCGTTGGATTTTTGGTCAACCGTAACATCAGAATTTTGCCTCTTGCAGACGATATCTTTTCTGACATAACGTTTGGAAACTACAGAGGGTCAGTGTTAACCTTATATATGTGAATACAAACTTAGATGAGACGTTTTACCAAAGTGCTATGCGCAATACATTACAGGTTCTGCGCAGGTGCAGTAAGTACTACCGACATGCTCTAATTATGAACCAAACAGAAGCTAACAAACGGTAACATGTACATTCTTTCATCATCAGTATAATAGAAACATAACTCACCCCGGACTGCATCGATCAGATAGAGCAGTACCCCTGCTATCAGTGCCAGACACAGCCAGGCCAGGAAGAACACCTCCAGCAGTAGATATCCCTTCTTGTCTACTATAGAGCCTGCTACGATGGAGATCACAGCCAGACCCAGGTTCTGGATGGACTGCATGAAGCCATAGGCTGTCCCCAGCTGATTCTCTGGGATTATAAATGCTACATGGAGAAAATAAAAATCATAAGTTCACTTTCATATATGTCAAAGCAACAAGGATACTTTAGAACTTCATATTAATTCTACTGTCTGTAATATGGAACAATTTTAAAATCCACGAAATATTGTCTTGCTTTCTGCCAATACTTTTCTTCTGGCAAAAGCACAATACAAGTCAAAAAGAAGGAACACATTTTAAATTGACTACTGTGTTATGATATTGTTTTCTTTTCTCAAAAGTTTTTCTACACTTCATGTCATAGTGTCTAGCTGCCCCACTTTCACACATAAACTTTTCTTCTGGAAAAGCAAAATACTAGCCAGAAAGACAGAACATTTATGACTACTTTGTAATGACTTCGTTTCTTTTCTACACGTTTTTCTACACTTCATGTACTGCTTGTGGTGACTAGCTGCTCCACTTCCATACATTCAAGTGTTTTGTAACTGCAACCTACATGTATTTAACACATTTAACCTACACACAAAAGCATACCCACCAACAATAGGCCAGAGAGCACATGCCAGCAGTGAGTAGGACACTCCCATGATGCTCATGGCTATGTAGGGGTTCCAGAAGGTGAATGCTAGCATCATGTGACAGGCCAGGGTGACCAGGATGGCCAGGATCACCCAGAACACGTTCTTCCCCGTCTTGTCCACAATGAACCCCAGCACGGGAGATGCACCAGCCGAGATGATGTACACTAAGCTGTTAAACACACAAATAAACAAACAAGAAAGTATTTAGTAACCTCTGTGTACAGAAGCTTTGTGCATTAGCTTGTGTCTCTTTAGTTAGTCTATCCACATAGTAAGCATACTAGGTACAGCATGCCTGCGAAACTGGTGTGTTACACCAAATGGCGGTTATACAAGCTATACAGCTAGAGATACATAAGGAGCACTGATAGGAAGTTAGGTCAAAGGTTCTGAAAAAGGTTATCTCACTTCCTGTCTTTTATTTCCTGTTATAGGCTTCTCAAACATGTTACTGGAACATTAATGCCTTCACTAACCTGTTCACTGCATTGGCTGAAGTTGGGTTCAGATCAAACTTCTCTTCAAAGAAGACACTGTAAAGAAGAGATAAGGATGAGCTGAAATTGTATACATGTTTCTCAAGTGAAGATAGGTAGAGGTAGTCCATAATGTCATAAAAAAGTCCTTGTATTGGTTCAATATCATCAGTTATTCTTGTTGTTGGCTATTTAAAAACAAGGATACATCACATAGAACTCACAGGCCCAGTCCGATGAAGGGGAACACAGCTACATAGTAAGCCACACAGATGACTGTGATGAGCCAAAATGTAGCTGGGAAGTCCTTCACATCAGTGATCCGGATAACTTCACCTAAAACAGAAAAAAAGATGGAAGACTTCACTCCCTTACCCACACTGTTTTGTAACCAAACATAGCGTCACTGAGTATATACATGTATGTCAATGCTGTATTGCTTTTATTGGGAACTGTGGAAACATATACAGATAGACACACAAACCAAAAACAATACTTATCTCATTCTATAGTCTGTAAATTAAAAGAGTATTCTACAGGGCAACATTTGCATTAATGGCTCAATAAAGCAATCAATTTGAAACAGATTACTAACTAATCAGCTCACGATCCAATTTTGCCACTAACTAGCTAAAAAAAACAGAATACTAACTAACTGGCTAACTAACCAGTTTTGCCACTAACTAACTAGCTCACTAACAAGCTTTGACTAGCTCACTAACCAGTTTTCCCGGCATCTCTCTTGAGTATCCGTGCAGCCCTCTTGTCGTAGTACCCCAGCAGTAGCCCACAGAACAGGGACAGTAAACAGGTCCCTGCCCCTACCCACAGGGCGTACCCCAGGGTGGTGTACCCCTCCCCCACATAAGTAGATATCCACTGGTACACCGGGCTCATCACATTCATGTTTACTGTGCTACCCTGGAATGGGAAAGACATCATTAGATCAAGTATAATTGCCTCAACACAGAACTTTGTATAAAACAAAACTGTGACTTACATGTATATGAAAAGCAATGGGACATACTGTCAACACTGGGACTTTAACACCACATGCACCCGTTTGGTGGAGGATGTTCAGATTTTTTATTTTTTTTACTAGTATGACCAGCTGTTGCACTAGAGGCATGTTGCAAACCTGGTTGCTTTCTTTCATGCTTTAGTATACTAAATTGCATTGGCCCTTAACCTCTTTTCACACTTTCATTTCACCATTGATTAACAGTGTATATATTTAACTTCATATATATTTCCAGATTATGTGGACAAAATAAAATGTGGACAAAATAAAAAGTAACTGTAAATACTAAAATGAGCTGGGAAGCACAAGACTATTTTCTCATCAACGCAATGATGAGATTTTCTTGAATATACTCACAACTCGAGAGAAACTGAGCTGGAGCCCAAACACCATGTTTAACTCTTTTCCTCTGAACCAGGTCACAGCGTACGTGTTCTGTGCAACAGCCAGGGACTCCCCACCGATCCTGCAAGCACAGAGGGAAGGTACAGGTTTACAAGTGCACCATAGACATGCAGGTATGACAAGAACCTTACAAGAGGCTGCCACCTACACTTTTTAACAGCAATTCAAAGTCCACAGCCACAATATATATCTAACTGGGAAAATTACATAACTTTGCATTGAACAAGACATAAAGGTACATGTATGTAACATTTTTTGAGTTGTCTTTTATTCAAAGCTGACTGCAACATTTATGATGCACAAACTAGATCTGAAGAATTTGAATTGCTGCTAACTTTGTGTATTTTGTTATATCTTAGTCTATGGCTTACCACTCTGGAAATGCTAACTTGAAGACCACAAGCCATGTTTAATTCTTTATTTTTAAACCAGAGGACTGCATAGTTGTTCTGGGCTATAGCCAGAGAGTCACTTCCAAGGCTAGAGTGGGAAAGAACCCGAACAAATGAACCCATCCATTTTTCAAGTATATTGAAGACTAGTACTAGTTGAAAGCTACTTGGAGTTTAAAACACATGCAGATGTTACACTATATGAGTACATGTACTTATATATAGTTGTCATTGCTCTCAGGATTATAACTTAGATTCTAAGTTAGAAACAAATACTAAGCATTGAGGCAATTCTGCATTGAGGTCAACTTACCTAAATAGTAAGATATCATAGAAGAGAACATTTTTTTTAAATGCCTCTCTTTTCCATGTTACTTACCCAAAGACAAATCTGCCAGCTTCCATTAGCCAGAACAGGTTCAGCTGGGCCCCAACAGCAAAGACACACTGGGAAAATATACATATAAAATTATACGATTACCTGATATAGTGGTTGAAACTTGAATGTTCTATGGTCATTTTACTAAAGATAAATTAAGACTTTTGTTGAACATTGAGTGTAGGAAATGTATAGTAGATTGTAGTTTTGTAGCAAAGCAGTTCACTGTGAGAATGCAATGTTCTGCTTCAAACCAAACCCATTGCTCTAGCTGTATCACCAAATCCTCACTGTGGGTGTTTTTAGTGAGGGGAATATGAGTGCACAGCATCAAAATTTAAACTGAAAGCCATCAAGTACTAATTTGAATGTCTCCCTCAGTAAAATGACTCTTTGGTACCAATAAAATGGTGCTTTGTTTATTCTTACCTGTCCAGCCAGTACAAACAAACTGAAGATGATGGTTCCAAGTCTGAAAAAAATACAGCAAATGAAATGTCATGGCATTGAACAACTTTTCCTTTAAGCAAAATCTTACGTCCTTATTCAACTTATTGGACTTTTATTCTAGAAAAAATAACATTTTCAGGAATTAAAGACATCACTTTTTTAAAATGGATTTTGATCAAAAGTAATAAAAAATCGACTGTACACTGTTGTAGGGACAATACATCATACCTGATTCCAAATACTCTGTCCAGCAGGAATCCTCCAAAGAAACAGAGGACGACGTTTGGCCAGGAGTACCAGGCATACAGGGTCATGAAGGTTCCTGTGTTCACATGCATGTCCTGGGAAATTAAACTTAGCATGTTAAAAACAGGTACAGACCGTACAGTCATTATTTTTTCATGAAGAAAGTAACGCAACAGGAAGGTTCAAATTTCATTATAATATTAGATTCACTTTTAGTCTTATTCAGTTTACCCTCCATGCCTTGCCATGTACACTTTAAAACATGTTTTTCTGAGTTAGAATTTCTATATGCATACATATAGGTCAGAATACTGTATATACATACCTTCTTGATTTGGGACTGAAGGGCTGCTGGGTTATCGTAGCAGAAATAACTTCCTGAAATGGTAGAGCACAGAGAAAGGAAAATATAATGTTACCAAGTTACCAAATTATCTGAAAAGTTCCATATTAGCTACCTGGTGTCCTGGTACATTTTCATTTCTTTCCATTTGTTCTTTTGATGTGTCAAGCAAACAAACATTTCATCAAGGTAACGTTACACACTTTTTTGCCAAAACAAGACCGTATCTTGTTGATCTTAGTCAAGTGATCATATCCCCCCCCCCTTCATTGATTACCGTATGTGGAAAAACTCACCAAAACTGAGGAAACATATGAGCCAAAGCACCAGAAAACGGTGCAGAGTTCTCCTGGGATCGCAGGCTGCACTGGCGGCGCATCCCGTCAGTTCTTCCTCGTCTTCAGACGAACTTCTTCTCGCCACAAGAGGCGATTTTTCGTCAGGCTCCGCCATTTTGGCAACTTTTGGGTCACGCGCCAATGGGACGATTCCAAGTCATATTGACGCAGTGTGTATGTGATACACAGACGTTGATGCAATATTGAAAAAAAAAAACGTATCGCAAAGAAAATAACAGCAAAAAAAATAAAAACGACACTTATATACATTAATATAAGCCGTATGTTCACAATACAACTGTAATAAAATTTAGCAATTATTTTGAAACCCCCTATATTTGAGTCAACTAGCCCGACTAGGTCACTGGCGGTTAACTTGAAGAAATTCCAAGATACGGGTCTGTTGAAAATATTAGAAGTTATAGAATATTTCTGTGGACCAAAGAAGAATATATCAAAGTATAATACACTGTTTTGATACAGTCTCTGTGTGTTATGTGTTTGGTAGTAAAACCTTGAAAGATCCCCTTTTTCAGAGTCGAATAGCCCAGTGAGGTCACTGGGGTCAACTTGAGGCGCGAAAGTGTTTTTGTGTGGCTTTGTGAATAAAATACGGGGTAAAACTCAATTTTTAAACTCGTAGTCTGCATTAAAAGGCGTTCGCAAGATGAATCCTGCATCAACAAACGTTAAGGTGAGAATTTTTTCTATTCAGTAGTCGTTACAGCAGCAATTTATACTGTCGTCCGTGTGAAAATTATGTTGTTTTCTTGCGCTGTTGCCCCCCTCCCCCTTGCATATTTCCCACAGGTATCCAACAATAACTTATCCAACCTTATATATGTGTGAGGCTTTGGCGACTTGAATTTTTACGGTGAATTTATGTTTCATACATAATTTTACTTAGGCTTTGTTGTTGTAGCCAGGCTACCATGCCATAGTGTATGTGTATATACAGTGTATGTATATATATATATGTGCAAATTAGGTGGTCGACTTCTTTGGTTTGAAGGGAGCCCCGCACAAGGCAGGGCAGAGAAAAATTAGTACGTGGTAAAAAATTTGTACGTGGTAAATGAAAGGAAACCTGAGTGATAAGTTCCCAAGGGACTCCAATTTCTCCACTACATAAAAATTACTTCTTCCTCTTATGGTAAAATTGCTGACACAAAATATTAATCGTTAGAAAACTGTACATCCAAAGTGTGAGAAAACATTTTCTTGCTTTGTAGATTTCTTCATCCTTGATTTCCATACAAATATACCACTGTGTCTTACTATACAATAATATTACTTTTGACAGAAAGCTTGAACTTGAATACATTAATTTTGTATTTGTAAATGCTGTTTGTGAAACAAAGGCTCATGGGAAATATGATAATTAGATGAGGATGGTCAATGTCAAAGGACAATGGATGTATAGTCTATTCTGATGATAATGTTTCCATCCTCCATGCGTGAGAAACCATAATTAAATGTATCATAGCCACTTCTTATACAAAATATAAGTCATAGGATGAGATTTAGGGTATATTTAAAATGTGCCTTCTTTTTGGTTAATTGTTTCCTCAGGTTAGTGAGATTTTCATGGCCGCCGGCCAGGCCTTCTCTAAGCTAGGAGAGATGTGTATGCAGCTTCACCCTGCAGCAGCGGAGGCCTCACCATCTAGGTAGGTTCTTCTTCTCTAACAAACATCTTTTGGGGTGCTTTTCAGCCTCCACCAGGCCCTCCTACTTGTGTTTTTGGGGTGCTATTTAGCCTCAGATAGTAGTATGGAAAGTAGAATTTGGTAAAAAAGGGAAGAATACTTAGCCCAGGAGAGTCAGTCTATGCACACATGAACTCTACGGTGACCAAACTCCCCTGGCCAATTACGTGTATTCTCCCTATTTGAGTAAATTTTTGTTAAAGCTAAAGCTTTAGTTAGTCTGGTAGAGACTAGGTGCCTGAAAAACAAGTTGTTATGTACCTGAGTGTTACTGCTGGTGAAGTAAGTAAACTGGAAAACTGTGTCTTCTTGTGTCCATTAGTGGGAGCACCAAGTGGACAGATGAAGAGATAGAGATGCTGAGGACGTCCGTGGCAAGGTTTGGGGATGACCTAAACAAGATCAGCGAACACATCAAGACAAGAACAGTGTAAGCAGGCATCCAATACATCATAACCTTTCACCCTTCCAAATCATTGTCACCTATAGCTGTCATATCTAGATTCAGTGTTTAGGGTTAGATGTTCAAAGATTAGATGTAACAAGTTGTTTGGTGTAATGTAGCCAGTTACCATCATACCACATGCCTGTGAAGCTGGTGTTTTATGCCATGGGGCAGTTATACCAGCTATACAGATTCATAAAGTTTCATGATGTTTTGTTTTTATTTAGGGCACAGATTAAGCAGGCTTTGAAGAAGAAGACGTTTGAAGAAAGTGGGGTTCCCTACAAGCCTCCTGTGGAACAGAAGTCCCCCAAGAAAGGAGGGGGTTTGCAGACTGCTGCAATAGCCGCTGGTCCAACAGCCACCACTACTCCCTCCCGGTCAGAGCCCCCAGCCAAGAGACAAAGAACAGGTATGAAAGATAAGAACTTAGTATGTTTATGATTTAATATGGTTAAATTTGGCGTCGTTTCTGTGAATAATTTCATCAGGTAAAAAAGAGACTTTAGAAGATGGGGTTTTCACATCTGCTGTTTAGGGGACCGGCTGTCACCTTTTTCAGGGCAACAATGACTGATGATTCTGATTCTTTATCATTACTAAGGATTCTGATTCTTTCTTATTTTATGTTGTATACGTTCTGTAATGACACTACATTTTGGGCCACATCTGTAACATTACAGCATCATCACCTAGCTGCAGTATATTCAATATGAAATAATCAAGAATCATAAGTAGTCATTGATAACATTGGATGAGAAAATCCCTGGTTGTTGAAGAGAGAATCTTTTTATAGAATTTATCATTAAATTCTGCATGACATCTTGTTTTGCAGATGTGGCATACCAGCAGTACCATGAGTCAGACAATAATGACACCCTGGTGGACATAGAGGGGCTAGAGGGGACGTCATCCGAATCACCCATCAAACATGACATCAACCTGGGAGTAGCACAGTCTGAACAAGGTAAACACTAACATTCTTAGTCAATTGCTAACATTCTTAGTCAATAGTCAAATGTTCCTAACAAATGATTGGAAACAGATGAAGTTTCAAGCAAGTCTTGAGCTTATTCGTAAATTAAAAAAAATATATATTTCATATTTTCCTGCATGATGACACTCCATTTATTTGTAGATGTAAAAATTAAATTGAAGAAGATCAGATTATGACATTTTCTGCACAGCCTTTGAATTTTATTTTGACAATTTCTTTGTGGTAAAAGCTTACTATCCCCTCTCCCTTACATTTAGTCTTCCTTATCCCTTAATCTTACTGAATGTACAGTCATTGAAACTGTCCTTTATACCATTGAAAATGGAATCTTCCTGATCATATATTTTGTTGTCTTTTCTCTGTACAGATCAGTTGAGTTTGGACTCAGGCCTGATGATGACTCCACACAGTGTACCTCTATCATAAGGAAAACTTTAGTCACATTTTATACTACTTACAACTGAACTTTTGTATGTATGAAATTATGTGTATTTGTATGAACTTTTACAAAGTATGAAGGTAGTGTTTTTTTTTTGTGAAATCCAAAGATATTGGATATATATGTTCTTGCAAAGTGTAAAAAAAAAACAACTGCCAATGTTATTTGTGACTTTTTATGTAGTATTACTGTCTATTATTATGGCTATGACTATATGAATATTGATACCATTGATCTATAATGCATTAGATTATGCAGATTAGTTCATGATAAGTATGGATAAGTATTTGACTTAAATTCTTGTATGCAGAGAATGGTACATAACACTAGAACACAGTTTCTCTATTTTGTCCTCCCGAGTTGAGTAAGTCATATACTTGTACATGTTCATGTATCTTAGATTTCAGTGAAATATAAAAGTCAACATTCCACTTTGTGCTATCTTTCTTGTAGCTGCTTGCACCATTCATGATAAAACTGTACCTCATACAACTTGAGAATGGTAAAAAAGAAACCTTACCAAAACAGCACGGAATGGTCTTGGAACAATGTTCTTGTTGAATGTGTCTGTGATTTTAACTCCATGATAATAAATTAGCAGCGTTCTTTGGTCCTCACAAAGTTCGTTTCTGGTTTTAGATTACTGTTTTTGTCCCATCCACTCATTTTTCCATGCGGATTCCTTTAGCTATAGCCCTGCATCATTCATCTCTATTGGTAACCGTCAGAATAACAAGCCATTCTTCTTGTGCCGGTTAAACTCACGCCCTGAAGTCACGACCGATAGGTTATTGTAAGTTTTCTCACGTCCACAAAATTTACACCATGACCCTTGTCTAATATAAATGCGACTATGCCATTTGCACCATTTTATCAAGGCATTCTTCTAGATCTAAAGATGTGTATAAGGTTGTTTCCATTGCGATCACGTTTTTGGATCATTCCAAGTTGTTAATCTTGAACGGTAGAGAGCGCGGGTTCAAAGAAAGTCGAACGGACACCCCTGTATTTACAACACGCTTGGTTTACCTCCGAGGGAGGGGTCAACATCTCAGCGTCGACTCTTTCACCGAAGCCTCTAAAAATCTGCTCCCAAATCTAGCCTCTACTACCAAGGATCTGCTTTACATACAGAGGGACGTCTGCGAAGAATGCAAGGCTTTCTTGGAAAGTTTCTACTTCGATGCCTTTTCCGGGATCATGATTTGAGGCAACAACTTCCCTTTGTCGGTGAAGTACCTATTTTGACTCTGTTGTCGAAAGTTTGGGAATAATTGCCAAGTCTTACGTGTACCCTCACTGATAGGATTAACCATGTTTATCGAGGTGTGGTGCAGACGTTAAAGAGCTGTGGACTAGACTGTTCTGTTGTTAACAAGTTAGCTGAGGAGAATCCACCCAGGAGGTCCTGGCAGCCCCGTACGGGGAGAGCTCACATCCTGTTTTAAACGGACGCCATTTGTCTCATTTTTCCAGGGCTCTGAACCTTACCAGATCGGCACAATTACTGTCCTTTTTGTGTCGTATTTTCTCAACAACATCTTAATTCTGCGAGAAAATTCCAGTTTGAAGCAGTCTAGTTGTATTTACAGTCAATGAGATTGGCCTTGGGCACGTTTTTGGTGGACACAGTTTGCCCGTCTCCAGGACTCTTGCTGCACGACAGAAAGAATTCCACCTCCACAGGACGTCTCTAATGTAGGCAGCCGCAACATTTACGTGTCCCAGGACGAGTCCTACACAAAACAAGGTAAATAATATCTGATGCTTTGTTAACATCGTTACCAACTGTTTGTAGTAGAATAGTCATTTGCTAATTGGAGTCTTTGTGCTGGCATTAGATAGTCGTAGATAGATTATCTCTCACTTTTGAACGTACATATAATAGCATGCATTTTCACAAAGACCAAGTCATTGGAAAGACTAACAGCTTTGAATACACTGTCACTGTGCAATTGGAGTCATCATAATGGGTGCGTTTTTGAAAGACTTTTAGGATCTGTACGCGTGAAAGGATGCTCATTATGCAACTGTAAATGAAAGATGTTCGCCACACCTAGCGTTACATCTTATTACGTGCACTACAGATTCAAACCATTTAATATATTGTTTTCACACAATTATTTCGAGGATTCAAAAATGTGTCCTTAGTCGAGAGGGATTTCGGAGTCCTAGTTTGACTATCTGACCCCGTCTGAAATGTAAGGTTACCAGTCGACCTACAGAATGCAATATATTACCTCGGGGTGACTAGATTTATACATGTAGGTCAAATCTAACCGCAAAAAATGCCACATTTTGATACATTCACGGTGTAATATACAGTTTGCATCCTCGGTGTACATTTATCAAGTTGGAAAGTGTTCAAGATTGCTGAGCAGATTTAAAATACGATGGTTGTCACAATATTTAGTGTTGAAATCCCCAGCCGTCTGCATGGAATTTTAAAGAGTTGCTGAACAAAGCAGGGACGGCGTTAGGCGGCATGGAATGTGACTCTGACTGTACTGGTGGGGTCGGTCTGTTGTTTTGGCAACACTTGTGACAAAACGTTTCTGGGGATAAAGAGGAAGGAATGCAACGAGCAAGACTGCTCTAGCTGGTAAATAGTTTATAGAGTAAGAGTTTTAACTGATGTTCATGTATATTTTTCTTGCTTTAAGATTAGCATCCTATTAGTTATAATTCGTAATAACACTTCCAACTAATATCTTGTTCCCGGATGGCATTTGGTCGTTAGTTCTAGCGTCTGGAATATTTGATCATATGCACTTGACACGTAAGAGGGGTAAGTACAATTGTTCTCTTTAGTAAACTGTACTATTACATGTAGTTACGTGGTACACTGAATGTGATTCCTAAGTTTCTACGTTCATCGTTCAGTTATAATATTCTATTATTGAACTTCTTTTGTACTTATAAACCTACCTACATTAATTATACCAAAGACCTCCTTGATAATACAGTATTTCTACCATGTGTTTTATAGATACATGTTTATTACGTCGTCTTAGGTTTGAAGTCAAAGATCTACAGTTGTTTTAGGGATTCAAACATGGACGTCACTAGTATGAATGTGAAATTCGAGGTGGACAAGTTTTGTGAAATATTGTTCATGACGTCAATGGAGGGTCGTCACGTCAAAGATCAGTTTTCACACTTTTAGAGCTCAATGTCAGTACAATATTGTTCATAGATATACAAGTCACATTTTACATGCACCAGGAACAATGCTTTCAATGCATGTTGGAAATTACAACGATTTTATGCATTTGAAATATATAATGCAATTGTTTCTTCTGATTCCAGAAAGAAGGAAAATCTTGTCCGAGGATGGACTGTGTGTATGATGCGAACCATGCGAACTACAATAGCGCCTACCACAATGCCGCCACCCTGGACGCCATGGCGAGGTCAAAGATCATCGCCACGGCAACCAGAGTCAGACGAGATAAAGACGATCCTGACATCACCGTCCTAGTGGCGGGAAACGGCGTGAACGTGGCGAGGGTTCACATGCCGGCAGACGTTAGGGTGGGAACTTTATTATGTTTACCGAAGGAAAACATATCTGATTCAGTGTTTTTGCTACGTTTCCTCTTCTTCTCCTGACCTGATTGTACCAGACGGCTGGCGCCATGGTAACTGGTGTTGGGTTACATAATGTTGCAATTTTACAGTAGGAAGGATTTAGATTCCTGTCCCCATATACGTATGTGTATATGTTTTGAGTAAAAATTAACAGAGCAGACGATATGCGAAGATAAACATTATGCATTTGCTTTGCAAACGTTCATTTATTGAATAATGCGTAATTATGATAACTGTTCCTGCACAGTAAATCAACATGAAGAAGCTAAGAAAATGATAAAATTATATTGGTAGAAATGATGAAAGAGACGGTTTAGATGTCAGGTATAAGGCACACTATCAAACAAATGACATTTCACTATTAAGTTAAACTCTTCTAGCAAAACCGGCTTCTTGTGCAAACTACCAGCAATGACGGCATTGTTTGTATAGAATAGCTTCTTACACATGTTTACTAAACGCAAACTCTATTAAAGTTGACGAGGCTCCATAATCTACTAGAATTGTGTGCTGCATGTGCTGTATTTCAGGTGACGCCGCTAGGTGTCGTGACTGGCGCCGTAACAGTGACAGCGGTTGGTCCTTACGGTAAAAAAGCGCACTGCACTCTCGCCAAACAGAAACCAGGCCACTTCCACGGAACTTACACACCGAACATTGTAGGCGAGTAAACACATTGATTTTTTTTTTCCAGAAAACCATAAGATATGTAAATTTATACACAATTCGAATTTACCCGGATCGAAGTTAGCCACCCAACATGGCGGACAATTATTACGTCATAGTCAAGATCTGATTCTTTATCCCGTTTTATTTAGTATACTGAAAAGTATTTGACTGTAAAATGCGCAAATCGGTATTATGGGGATAATTGTATGTTATTTGTATATCCTATTTTTTTCACCTTAGGCCAAAAAAAAAGTTTTCAACCATACTGTAAATCGTGCAAAACAGTTGCTAAATGAGCAAAAATATACCATAAGTTGCAAGGAAAACATTTAGAAACGATACCAATGTCGTAGAATGCCAAAACCAAAGGAAAAAAGACAAAAATGTAAAGAAATGAATTTGAAGAGTAGATTATTCGTCATAACATATTCTGTGCCATTTGTTCATCCTTCATGACCACGTAGATTTCATAGTAAAAGCAACTTTTTTTTTGCAAAACTTTTTTTCATTCGCATGCGCGCATCGGTTTTGGGGTTCCCAGAGGATGTCATCCATATAATCAAATCAACATGGCCTTATGTGCCACCACAATATTCTCTATATGGTGAATCAATGGGATAGCACCCCTACTATCCCCTTGATTCACAATATAGAGAAATTGTATATCTTCTTCTGGTAAATCAATGGGATAGCAGGGGTGAATTTCTACAATTCATTCAGTAATTGTGATGTAATGATCGTATGGAGAGGTGAAACTGAGTATTTTTGTTGTTATGTCGATCATTCTGTATCATATGCGATTTCTTAATATTGTATAGTCTGTTATTTGTGCTTTGTATACCCAGCATTGCCTGAAAAAACAGGTTTTTATGTACCTGAGTGTTACTGCTGGTGAAATAAATAAATAAAATGAAACTAAATACCACTAGCTCATGTAAAGCAACTATTTTCCAGGAAGTTGGGTGGTGACTATCCGGATCGACGGGAAGTCTGTTCCGGGAAAGAGGTTCACCTGCAATGTGTACGACCCCCGCAAGGTGAAGGTGTTCGACACGCAGCCGGGGATTCTGGGAAGGCTGTGTACGTTTGGAGGTGAGGGCCGTAGTGAAATGATGAACTCTAGAAGTGTCAGGTCAAATTAGATCAACCTGCTAAACACACATGCATGCGCCTCATGTGGCTGCGACGCTTCCGGTTAATATGGTTAATACAAATATAAATAAAATATGTTTTTGTTTTATCTCACAGCTCAATTCCCTTTGAGAAAAATTCAAAAAATGGATGACAGAAAAGAAAATGCATAATCTGCGAAAGTAATAAAATCACCTATTTGGTGAGGGATATTAATTTAACCCCAAGAGTATGCATCAAAATTACATATTTTGCATACTCTTATGCATATGTCTATCATTTTCAAATATGCTCAAATATTCATATGCTCCCTAAAAGTGTGTTTATTATTACATGTTTGGCAAATATTCCTTGGTAGAGCGATGGAGGTATAATATTTTCTCACCTCTTGCGGTTTCCAGGTAGACATGCAGTTACAAACAAATGAGTATCCAACAAGCCGTTTCCATAGCAACGACCTTTGCCATATAGTGAAACTGTATACAGTCGAATCTGATAGTTGAACCACTAAAGGAAGTGGGTGCACTGTTTCTAATAATTTCGTTGTATTGCTATAATATAACCGTTATATTTTGAAATAGCGTAATAGCCATTCGTTTTCGACACGGAGGCCATTGACATACATGTATATGTATATATATAGACTGGCTTATATTGAATGAATGCGCATGTGCTATAAAGGCATTTATTAATATCTTCCGTCCTACTTTAAGACATACACAATGAACGTAAAACACATCTTTAATCTGATCACCCGGTACTTGTCAGTTATGATCCTAATATAGAAGTCGTATCCAAGAATAGCCGGGTAGCTCCACCCACGATGAATCATCACCCATTGTCCGCCCGGTTTACCGATATTTTCCGCTAAACAAAACCATTGTTTACACTTAAAGGTCACCGCTCGCGTTTGTCATCCCCGTGTCACATTGACGGGGAAACCCTTTCATGAAAGGTTGTAGAAAACCCCGCTGCTCCGCATTTTCCTAACATTTCGATGTCTTCCTCGTTGCAACCGGCGGGCGTTACTCGAGCTCCTCGTCTGAACGTGAGACATGTCGGTAACTGTTCCGTTTTCGCTCGGCTGAAACTAAGTTGGAGTCCCGAGAGAGCTCTATAAATATCGCGGTGGATATTTGGGTGTGATTTTATGGTGAGATTATGAAGGTAAGTGGCGTTACCCTTGGTTACGCGTCACTCTTTGACTAAAACTGTCGTCTGCAATAATTTCTTTCACAGAAACCTTAAGAATTTTTCACTTAAGGTTGCTGCTTAACCAAACATTTCAGGTGTACGTTGCATACAGTGTTACGCATTGTCTAGTATCTCAGTTTTGATTTATGTGCCGCTATATCTTTTATGTCGGCTTTGTACTACTTTTAGCTGCAGCGTAATATGTGTATACTACGATATCACTGAATGGAGACAAGTACATTCCCCGCAGTAGTTTTTAACTGTTTGTATGTCGTCGTTTGAACATTCAGATCCTGTATGCATGTTGAAATTCTTGCCAACTTTGCACTTACGCAATGATTTTCTTTCATGTTACCGCGTTGTCAAATGTGGGGCTATGTTTAGTGATCGACCGCTTTAATGTCAACAAAAGATTATAATACTCGCAAGCATATAGAAAAACATATTTCATTTATTCTACGTCTAACAGTTTTCGTTCTTTCAAAATATGTGTCGCTGATAAAATAAAGGTTCTACGCTGAATACCAAGGAAAAGTTTAAACTTATATTAGTCAATATTAATGTACAATACATGTAGTATGAGTTGTAGACGGCCAAGTACGCAAATAATGTGTATATACGTATAGACTATAGCAATAGTATGCTTGTCATCCAAGAGACCGAATGTAAGTTTTTGAGCTGTGACAAGAAATGTCTGTTAAGATGAAGTCCTTATCTCTTGTAAAACTGCAATAACTTGCATATGTACATATGAATATCAGAAATATGATGTGTACTATATATATAGGAGGTATGGATAATTGGACGTAAACTGTGTGTTTGTAAGGCAATGATAACATTACAGTCAACATCGAAATGACATAGTATGAATGAATGAATGAACTTTATTGCTCGACAGTTGTACATGCATGGTACAGTTATGGTAACAAGAAGCTATTACTACAGATATATGAACGTAAACGGCGTGTTTGCATGATGTACGTTAAGGGTTTCTGTCTGTTACAATAGTTTCTCTCGTTTGTAAGGCACTACATATATATCTGTATCTGTATAGCCGGTATAACCGCCTTTCGGCGTAACACACCAGCTTCGCAGGCACGCGGCGCGGCGGCAGCTGGTTATATTACACCGATCGACTTGTTACACCTAACCCTTGAACTTCTAGCTCTAGACATTGTTTAAAGCTATCTATTGACAGTGCCCCTACTGTACTTGGTGACAGTGAGTTCCACTCTGCGATAGTTCTAGGAAAGAATGAATTCTGGAACACCTCAATCCTTGGTTGATAACTCTGGTACTTGAATGCGTGGCTATTTCTTGTTCTCTTCTGGGCTGGTATTAAGTACTATTAGGTATATATATTGGACTAAGTACGTAGATATGTAATCTGATGTTTGTTTTCCAGTCAACACTAAGGAGGCCGGGGAGGGTGACCTCTCGGTGGTGGTGATCTCTCCCAAGGGGCGGATCGCAAGTCGCGTGCGGAACGAAGGTCTCGGGAAATATCGCGTGAGCTTCTCACCGGAAGTCGTTGGGATGCACAAAGTTTTTGTCAACTACAACGGAGATGAGATTGCAGGTAATGGTAATAATATAAAAATATAATGATAATAATTAATTACTCTTTCGAACCTTTGCAAATTTATCACTGCGCAAAAAGCCATTATAGTTTCTAGCCATTCACCTCGAATTATCAACTACAACAGCGATGAGAGCGCAGGTATTGAAAAAAAATAGAATAATGATAATTAATTACTGTTTTTAACCTTTGCAAATTTGTCAAAAATGCTCACAGTGCAAAAAAGCTATTATAATTTTATAGCCATTCACCCTAAAATTGTCAAGTTACCGTTAAAAGATGCGTTCGGTAGACACCCTAATATAAACACCCAACTCAAATGAAATAAATGTATCATACAGATATCGTAAATGTGCATAAGGTTTAAAGCAATAATTGTCTAAAATATTGTATTCCTCTGGCTATGAATTCTCACTGACGGCGAATTTCGTACTGTCGTACATTGAAGTTACAAAGTTACAAAGCAAAATACTTCTATTTAACGATTAAGTGCTATTTTAAAGGGCAAAACAGTTACACTTTGCATGATTGCCCCTCAGAGTCCCCGTTTCAAATCGAAGTGGGGAACACCAGTGCCATATCCGCCCACGGGAAGGGCTTACAGAGGTGCCGGGCAGGGTCAAGGTCAACCTTCAAGATCAAAGGCTGCAGTGGAGGTGACGTCAAGGTCACGATAACAGGTGACGTGGCTGATGTTGGCCGTTTTCCGTTAAACTTATTATGCTTATTGTGTTTATCGAAGGAAAACATATTGTTTTTGCTCTGTTTCCTCCTCCTCTTCTTCTCCAAACAAATACACGTAAGGTCAATGACCTGAACCAGACGTCTGTCACTACGGTAACTAGTGGTGTTGGGTTCACACCATGTTGCAATTTTATAGCAGGAGTGATTTAAACTCCTGTCTGACCATATTATATATGAATGTGTTTGAGTAAGAATTACAGAAGATCATATTCGAAGGTAAACATTATGCATTTGCTTTCTTTTCTAGTTACATTATTTTACGAAATGACTCATTGAGAATATCAAGATGCAGTCTAGAGCACACTTTCAATAGCCCTAATGGGAACTAATTGGTAAAAAACCAATTGCTGCTGATTTCCTTCACAGGTCCCAGTGGAGCCTCCGTCCCCAACATCACTAACGTCTCGGGAGGAAACTACGTCTGCGAGTTCACACCGTTTGAAGCAGGTAAAGGGCTGTTGTTAGATTATCTAAATTTGCAGTATGTAATTACCTCGGGTGCCATCCTCCGTAGTTTCCTAAATGTATGTGATACGAAAGAGAATTTGTTTGAAGTATTCTTTCGGGTGCCTGTGTGTCTATCCGAACAGAGTCGACAGGGTAGGTTGACAGCATGTGGGTGGAAGATTGACAGGCAGAATGTCAAAACGTCAGGGGAAATGGGGGAACGTGAAGGTCTCAGAATTTGGCTGGGCCATCAGGAACATGGTTGAATTCAGGAAGTCATACTTCCCAGAAGTCTGAAATCTCCGGTTTTCGTAGACGTGTTGTTCTTCAATATTTCCTTACATGTGCAACATTGTGCAATGTGCACACTACTTTTCTTTCAGGTGACCATGAAGCTGATGTGCAGTACAACGGAGAGTCGATAGAGGGCTGCCCGGCTACCATCCAGGTGTACGACCCCAGAGCGGTGGTGATTCACGGTGTGGATGACGGTGTGGTCGGGCAGCAGTGTCTTTTCCAGAGTATGTAACGACGTTTCTGTACCCTGCCAATCAATAGAAATTAATAAAACTGCAATTCTATTCAATGTAAATCTTTGTAAATACAACTAGTACAATTTCAATTAAAAATTCCTCTTCATGCAACTTTTATAAAGAGGTCTAAATTATTTGCCACTATTTTGCATCTTTTAATGTTTGTAATATATAGGTATAGTCATAATTGTCCATTATAAGCTAATGAAGCATATATTCATGTAACGTTGTTAATATGATATGCTATTGTTACTTCACCACAAGCGAGAAAGTATTGTTTATTGTTCACAACATTTTAAACCTCAACTGTAACCCTAACCGTAACCCTAACCGCAACCCTACCCCTACCCCTCACCCTACCCCTACCCCTACCCCTACCCCTACCCCTAACCCTAACCCTAACCCTAACCCTAACCCTAACCCTAACCTACAGCTCATATTTTCTGTTTTGTCACTGTTACTCTAGTTGACGTGTCCCAGGCCGGAGCAGGTGATGTACAGATAAAGATCCTGAACCATGGTCGGCCCGTCAAATGGAAACTGTCGTCCATCGAACCTAACAAGCTCAACGTGTCATTCATACCGGAGAGGGCGGGGCCTCATGACGTCACTGTCACTTTTGAGGGGGACACGGTCCCAGGTGAGTTTGGACAAGTCCATAATGTGTTTTTTTGGGGGGGAGGTCTTACCACTTGTTTTAAATCTGCAAAAAATCTCCCCAGTTTGTCAACTCAATATAATTTGTACTAACTTTCATTTGTTTATTAAGTGAGATGAGAGAAGGATGAGAAGAAGTTAAATTAAAAAAGATTAATATGATGTAATTACATAATTTAGTTTATATTCAGAATGTGATTATGTGTGTAATAAGCAATAAAACCCAGTTTGTCAACTAAATATAATTTATACTAATTTTCATTTGTTTATGGTGAGAAGTTAAATTTTCAAACAAAATTAATATGATGTAATTATATAGTTTAGTTTATATTTGTAATGTGATTATGTGTGTAAAAAGCAATAATCACTGTTTAATCTTTGTCATGAAATTTTTGTCATCACAATGGAAAACGCTCTAAAAGTGCAACAATTCAGCCGTCTGCTGTGGGCGAATATAATGGATGCATTAGCTACGTTACATTTACAGTTGCTATGATCAAACGTAAACGGTTATGGTTTATTCATAACTTATACGGTGGATATTCATTGAGTACACGACCTTACGTTTGGTAGTAAATCCTCAATCAAAATCCTTCCGACCTCAGAATCTGAACCATTCTGATGTAGGCAGATTCCGTGGTGCGGTACAGGGAAAGTCACTTTGCACCCCTCCCCCTAGGGAGTGATTTCGTGTGGGTTAGAGCACATTCTGACGTCCGAGAACAATGTAGGTAGGGTTGGTTTTTCCTCGTTATGTTGGTGAGGCAGAGAGAACGGACGACTCATGCTCAGACGGGTGCTTTTGGTACATCTAGGTAGGTGACTCCATTGATCGATAGCCTAACGGTACCACTTCTTCGCCTTGTGGCATAATTAGAGTCATTTGTAATTACCACTCTCAACATAGATGGCTATCAAAATTTGATTCCCATTGCTATACACTAGCGTCCAGCCTTAGGTATTTCATACCGTTGGTGGGGGTAAACATATGCAAATTTCAGTTGAAATACATGTGGTATATTTCATCTAATAAGCTAAAGTATTGTATCAATGAGGTTTTAAGATGCCTTGTCTGGGGTAATTGCACCTTTTGGGTGTTAAGTGCCTTCATACCACGAAAATGCGTTTTTAAATAATTTATTTGCATATGAGCACGTGGGAAATTTCCTTTACTATTCTAAGACGTTTGAAATAATCACATCTGGAAATCTTTCATCAAGACGTACATCTTAAACAATCATGTATTTCGACTTCAATTTCTTCGTACTTTTTTTTTTATTTTAGGATTTTTTCCCTATTCCTGAGAGTCTATCGTATTGATTCCTGGGTTTTGTTACATTCAGTAATAGCCCTATTGATAGATCACTTTTGCTGTAATTATACTATCACCCTACATTGAATAGAACAGTTTGACGTATGAAACACACCATAAACGTTATTTAAAAGCTATCATACCCAACAAAGATTATACACTGTGTAGAGGATTCCCGCCGTAATGTCTGCTGGCCACTTCATAACTGTCACAGACCAGAAGCTGACAAAGAAACCGTGCGGTCTGTTTTGTATCTACGTGATAAGAGTGATAAATCACAGAACACGCAGCACGCCAAGGTCAAGTACCCCAGCGTGACTTCATGCAACATCATCACATAGTAGCTTGTATATGTTCAGCAATAGATACTACAAACCACTATAAACAGCTATATTTTCCGAGAATTTCCTAGAATTCTAGCTGAGCATGCCATTACATGGGTATAGTTTGAACCTCAAGTACTTCGTACTCTTCGTTCGTGGTACAGTAACTTAGCGTCTTTTTGCCTTCGACCTCCCTGCCCATTTTGATCAGAAAGGGATACTAATGTCAGACGCTTTTCATATATTTTTCATGAAGCTATATAATTTATTTGGGTCAGTACCTTAAGATGGTTTCTTTGTTATGGCATTTCATCGATAGTTTAGATGTAAATATTTGGGTGTCAGAAATTTGGCATCAAGAGAATATCGTATGTTGATCTGTATCTGTATCGGTATAGCCGGTATAACCCTTCGGCGTTCACACCAGCTTCGCAGGCACACGGTGCGGCGGTAGCTACCTATATTACACTGAACGACGTGTTACACTAAATCTTTGCACAATTAATTGCAGGGGTTGTTTAACGCTTTCTAGTGATGATGCCCCAACTGTGCTTGGTGGCAACGAGCTCCACTCTACAATAGTTCTGATATGACTTTTTGAATACCTCAATTCTTGGATGATAACTCTAGATCTGATATTTGAAGGCATTCACTGTTTCACTTCTTCTTTTCTGAGCTAGCATAATGATGTTGTTGAGGATCGTAACACCTCTCTCTCTGCTCCTAGGATGTCCGTTCCGCTGCAATGTGATAGACCCGAGCCGTGTGGTGCCCATCAAACACCAGCCCCGTGTGGCCACGGCAGGCCGCCTGACCAACTTCACCGTCACCACACGTGATGCCGGGGAGGGCAACACCACCTTCATTATCACAGGTCAGCTTTGCAACAATCAACTCTAAAGATTTTAAAGAAGAAAAAAAATTAAGCATTTTAAACTGTAATGTCCAACACAAGGGTTGGACGGTACAACAGCCATTGTCAAGGAATGAGCAATCCACTGCTTCCTTGACATCACGTTATGCAGATGACACACGTGACTCGGTGAGCAGTGGATCGTAAGTTGTAGAAAGTCTGTGTCGCCCTCCGTCTTTGTTGAGGGAAGGTGGCAGTGTGTTTGATTTGACAGAAATTTATCAGAAAATGAGCCACTGGATGACATTTACAACTAGTTCTTCTAGAGATGACGCCATGTCTAGGTCACGTGACCTCACTAATGGGTCAAAGGTTATCGGAAGTCTGTCACGTCCCCCGCCTGGGTTGATGGCTTATAGCACATCGTCTTCCTTTTTTACTCTCCACGCCAATATAAATGACATTATATTTTAAAAAACAAGACACATTATTGCCTTTCCTTACTTTATCTTTTACCGCTTCAACTTTCTTGTAGACCCGTTTGGCAGTGTGATACCATGTCGAGTGGAGAACGAACGGCATGAAGTGAGGGCACACTGGACACCGTCTGATGTCGGTAAGTAAAGACCACTTTTGAAATCAGCGATCGCCTGTTAACCTAAACGCATGGAAACATATCCGACACATCCTCAACAACATGTCAAACGTGACAGGGGCTTTTTCAGTTTGAAGAGAATAGACAATTGTATGCATGATACAAAATAATGTGTTTTTACAAACAGCTTTAACACGGAATCTTTATGTACTTACAATGTCTGTAACTTGTTCCGTTGCTTTAGAATTACCAAAAAAAACTAAAAGAATGATTTGATACCGTATGAGCTCGAGATTGGTAATTGCCTTAGTATATGGATTTCGTTATAAGATTATTGTATACTATCAATGTTCTTAGGTGTCGACTTCATTTAATTACAGATACTCTTTACCACAAGGGCATATAGAATAATACAACTTGGTACCATTCATGGGAATCACTTAGATTTATGACATTGTCAGGAAGAACAAGTCTGTCCACAGGAATTTCACTTCTTCTTTTTTCACAGTATTGATTATCGATTCATCATCCCAGAAGTCATTTAGGACAATCCCTTTGAGCTACGTTTGATTTAAGTCTTCCTGCAACCTGTCCACTCACTGGTCACACACAAAAAAGACATCAATAAATTTGTCATAATCTAGAATACATTTGCTCAGGCGTGCTCATTTTCATTGTCTGCTTCCATTGTGCAGTTTTTAGATAAAGAAATACTTTTACCTTATTTTTGGAACACGTTTTCATAAATAGTGTTATAATTCATTATTTTCATGTGGAAAATCACAGACAAAATCGACACTATATATAGATGAATGTGAAGGAAGTGAAAATATATTGGCAGGTATAAACAGCAAAATACACTACCTGCTTCGATTGTTTTCACACTTTGCAATCGATTGTAATTGTTTATTAAATATATATACAAAGACTTATTGTTATCAATACGTTATGATATTTTTGCTTCACCAAAAGATTTCTGTATGTTTTTAATGTGGACAGGGTGTGTGGAAAAGGCACCTGCCTGTCTCCCCTGCCTTGTCTTTGTGACAAAGCTCAAATAAATAAATAAAAGTGTCTAAATTTGTGTTGATGATTGTTGTTAATATTGCCATGTCTGTTTTAGGGAGGCACCATGTTCAGGTACTGTTTGGTGGTGTGGAAGTTCCCGGCAGCCCATTCGTGGTCCAGTCGTACGACGCCAGTAAGATATCGTTGGAGGATCTGGACACGAACGGAAGACCGGGGGAAATGGTGGAGTTCACTGGTAAGCAAAGCAGTACCTTTTTTTTTTATTCTGTCTCTTTGTATCTTTGATTCTCAATCACTCTGTATAGTATATTTGTGTGCGTGTGTGTGTGTGTGTGTGTGTGTGTGTGTGTGTGTGTGTGTGTTTATGTGTGTGTGTGCCAGTATGTGTGTTTGTGTGTGTGTATGCGTGTGTGTGTTTGTGTGTGTGAGTGTGTGTGTGTGTGTGTGTGTGTGTGTGTGTGTGTGTGTGGTGAGCGTGTAAAAGTATCAAAATGAAAATTGACAACATGTATAATGTTATTATCGATGATTGTAAAGAATTCCTACCAGACTATTCCCATTCTGTCGTTTTTTTAATCATTTATTGCAATGTTGCAGCAAACTCTAAGTAAAATAGTTTTCTCAGACATTTAGTTACAGGATGTGCCGAGTTGTAACAAACCCCGTTGGGCACCCAATCCCCCCTCACAGCTTTCTATTGAGATGTGCGTAAAATCATTGCATTAGGATAGGGATTTTATAACACGCGCCTCTATTCTGTATAGACATCCCCACATTTTCCGGATGATTAATCTGCGTGCATTATCACTCATTCAGAGATGCCCGCAAGCGTTCCCCCTTTATGAATCGGTATAACCGTATAAATAATGAATAGCGACTAAAATATACATAACCAAAAAGGAGCGCAGAAAGAAAAGAGAGTTATTGGGGTGAATGCTTAGGTCATGTTGGTCTAGGCGGTACTGGGGCGACTGCACGATTATGTGTTGTGATCCGTACATTACACTTAACGCATCACTTTTATCATGGTTATTACATATCAATTTGTTTACTATATCTTCATCTTCAATTTTGCATTCTTTGCCTTTTGATATGCATCTGAGCATACGAAGTAATGATAAATCTAGTATTTTCAAAAATATTGTATCAGTGATGGTTAAATAAAAGAGATCATCATTATTAGAGAATTTAACATAAGAATGCAGATCGGTTTTAGCTATATATGATATGAGAAATAAAACTTGACAAACAAAAAAATACGGACAAACATAGACATTAAAGCAATTATAATCATATCACCACTATTGTCATAATTATGATTATTATGATTGATTATTATGACTATTGTGATTATATTTATTATTACGAGTATTATTATTATTATTACTGTTATTATTATCATTATTGTTATTATTATTATTATCATTATTATTATTGGTGTTGTTGATATCATTATTATTATTATTAGTTTAATAATCATTGTTGTTGTTGTTGTTATTATTATTACTATTATTATTGTTGTTGTTAGCATTATTCATTTTTGCCTTCATGTAGTAAACACGGAAGGGGCAGGGGAGGGTGACCTGAAATGTCACGTGGCAGCAGACGGAGGAGCCACACACGTGAAGAGCACCGTGCGGAAGATCGCAGCTGAGCGGTACGCCGTGACGTTCAGACCCGAGTCGGTCGGCGAACACGACGTTAGGGTTACATACAACGGAGTGGATGTTCCAGGTAAAATATGAAAATGCATACATGTATACTTTTTTATTGTCTGTTTGCCAAATCATACGCCATACTGACTTATTAATATTACATAATATTAATATTATTGTTAAATGCCTTATGAATCAAATGAAATTACTTAATATTAATGTTAAATGACTTGTGACTTAAACGAAATTACTTCATATTACTTACTACACCATACTGACTTGATTATTATTATTATTAATTATTAGTAAAATTTATTCTTCATTTTAAATGAAAACATATTATACTGACTTGTTTTTTTCACTAGTGTAGTTAATTATGCAGAATATGCAGGGCAACACAAAATCTACATGTTTATCGAAGGGGTTATATACAGTTGATTTTATAAAATTACTTTTGGTCATGTTACTTTTATTTTGCACACTTGTATTGTAAATAAAGAAGAAACAAACACAAGGATATAGTATATCGGTAAGATATCGCATGGTGTATGATGTAGCAAGAATTGACTTGAAAAATTAATGGGTATACCAATAAAACCGTTTTTACCGTTAAACGGTAGAAAAAAGTTCACCATGTTTTCTATTCTATAATGTATCAGGGACTCCGTTTGCCTGCAACATCTTGAACCCTGACCGAGTGTCTGTGACCGGGGACGGGAGGAAGAGAGTTCAGCTCAACACCCCCTACCGGTTCTTCGTGCACACGCAGGGCGGGGGGAAGGGCACGGTGCAGTGTGCCGTCACAGGTACGTACCAGTAAAATGCGATCATCAGTTTTAAAGTGTAGGCACATGAGTCATATTCTCCATGCTAAATGGTTAAATTTGAGTCATACCTATTAAATGTATATATACAATTTCATCATAACGTGGCTGGGACTATATAAAAATTCAAATTTTATGTAGTCCCATTCATTTTAAGTAGTCATTTTCAGTGTTTAACCATCCAGCATGTCGGACAATGCTTACTTACGTCATAGTCACGTGAGTGCAAAATGATACATTTGCCAAACTATAGGACTCGTTCCCTAGGTAATTTTTTTTACCGTAGGATAAACCTTTCTGATGCAATGTTGTCTTTTTCTTGTACATTAAAGCGCCATGTTATTACTCTTGCAAGACTACCAAATACTAGGTTACCTTACTTGTTCTTATGTCCCTTGACAGGACCAGGACAAGTCCCTGTACCATGTAAGTTGGAGGACAAACATGGCGGCGACTTTATTGGAGAGTTTGTACCTGATGCCATAGGTAGGTATCATCCATATAAAATTGTTAACTTCATTTGTTTGTTTATTTGTATGATTGTACGCTTGTTGTTCGTTTGCAACATGTAGATTAAACATGTCATTTTGTTTAGGTAACTTTCAGATAAAAGTTCAGTTTGAAGGGAACGAGGTGGCCGGAAGTCCCTTTGGCATTTCCGCCTATGACGTCGACAAAATCAATGTACGGAGTACGACATATCAGGCCAAACTTGGGCAACCTGCTAGGATGCAAGGTAAGAGCCTTATTATACCTTTTTGTTTTAAACCAGAAGTGTCGGCGATTACTGCAGTGTGTAGAGTTAGAGAAGAATGGCATGTTCCACTACACTACAAACGATGTCGCAAACGATGCGATGCATATTCCTACTATCAGATTCTACAATTAGACTGCATAATCAGTATTTCTTAAGCCTGGGATGTACAGTTCTGTAGTATGTATATATTCATGCAAGTAAGCAGTAAGCATATATTCATGTATACATGTATGTAATTGCAATATAATGTTATGTGTTTTTAATGTAATGATTTTAAATACCAATACCATTCAGGCAACACTAATTCTATAATGTATGTATAAAGAATTGAATTGAATTAAATTAAATTACTATAGTCGACACCGGGACAAGTAAAGATTCACTACAGACCCGCGTAGAGACGAAAAACATAGAGAGAGACGACCTATCTCGGAGTGTCCCACTTCACAAATCTATCGCCATTGCTAACGTAGTGATGCATATTTCCCGATACAGTCGACACAGGGACGGCAGGAGACGGGTCACTACAGGCCCGCGTAGAGGCGGAGAACACAGACGTGCCCTGTAGTGTAGAGAAAGACGACGTGTCCCACTACACCATCGCCTTCACACCTAAAATTGCTGTCAAACACTTCATCTTTGTCAAGTTCAACGAGACACCTCTAAAAGGTAAGAAGGAACAAATACAAACAATCTTAAATTGACGTCCTATGGTGAAGGGCGTTGTTCTTGTAGTTAATCTAACCTTGGAAGGAGTTTATAAATTCTTCAGTTCTCAACTGTTGGCAAGTATACGTATGCACATTAGCCATGATAATGTAAGTCATCACTCAAGTAGAATCCTCGGAAAAAAGATGCAACGGTCCTTAACACACAATTTGGCCATTGTCTTTAAAAAGTGGTTCTCTGACACATCGCAAGAATGTATGCATCAGTATATCCATTGCAATGTGTGAAATGTTCTTGCCCAATTTTCCCCAGGGAGTCCGTTTAAGATTGACGTGTCGGACCCCACCAGTGTGGCGGTGTCCGGGGCGGGGCTGGGGATCGTTCCTGTCGGCCACGTCACTAACTTCGCCGTGGACACGGCACGGGCCGGGCTCGGCAGGGGAGGGGTGGACGTCAAAATATCAAGTGAGATAGTCACCTTAACCAAACCCAAACAAGACACACTCTGCATTACAATCACCAACAAGACACACTCTGCTTTACAATCCCAAACAAGACACACTCTGCTTTACAATCACAAACAAGACACACTCTGCTTTACAATCACAAACAAGACACACTCTGCTTTACAATCCCAAACAAGACACACTCTGCTTTACAATCACAAACAAGACACACTCTGCTTTACAATCCCAAACAAGACACACTCTGCTTTACAATCACAAACAAGACACACTCTGCTTTACAATCCCAAACAAGACACATTCAGCCTTTCAATCTTAACTAAGTCATATCCAGTCATTCGTATAGCTACTTAAAGTAACAACTTTTGACAGAAGTTCTCTTAGGCCACACCAATTTAATTTGTTGGTTCTCGGATTTTTTCAGAAAAAATATGAAGCGACAGGGCGAAAAAAAATAAAAATAAAAACAGGTCTAGGCATCCTATTATAGCCCCAAATGCTACAATATGAGCCATGAAGTCAACAAAAAAGGCTGGGTTAAAATCTAAAGTACAAATTTTGAACTTTTAATCAAACCACTGCCTTGATAGATGGAAAAAACTGTAACAACTAGGAAGAAAAGGAATTTCCTCAACTGTTGGGGGCAAAATATGAGCATTTTTTAGTTGATTCAGAACCAGAATTTTTTTTTTGCAAATCAGAAAAAAATGAAGAGGCGAATCCGAGAACCAACAAATTAAATTGGTGTGGCCTTATGTTTCAAAGCGAAGTCCTGGTAAAACTTGATATCTATACTAAATTCGGTGCTTTTTTTGGCGAAGCCTCAGGGAAGGAGCCTTTTAACACCCCTTGTTGTCCTTGTAGATGATCAGGGCCAGCTGGTGCCATGTGATGTGACGGAGGAGAAGCAGGGACTGTACAAGTGTAGTTATACACCACACAAATCAGGTAATGGAGAAATCTGTATGCTAATATTATCTGGACTGTGACATTAAGACATGGCTAGTATATTGTAAAAGTATTTCAAGCAGTTGTACATTCCAGGAATAAGTTCATAGCCACTGCCAATCTAATGAATCAAAAGAACTCAACATGATTTTTGAATGAAATACCCCATTGGATCCCTGCTTGGTTCCAAACGACAGCTGTCTTAATAATATTTTTTTCCAAAGGTTCGCACAGGATAGAGGTGTGGTATGACGGATCAGAAGCAGTGGGAAGTCCGTACATATCTGAGGCGTTCGACGTCACAAAAGTACATCTCGTCAACAGGCACCGTCTGGTCGTCGGCAAAGAAGCTTCGGTTGAAGGTACGCGTGTCGTCATTTTCATATTTGCCTAGTTCATAATAACCGTGTTTTGATGCAATAAAGGAAGGGCTACTTGTCTTTACTACATCTTTCTGGGGATTTGAATATATAACAAATCACTTATTAAACAACCTTTTCAGGCACGCAGCTTTGTCAGTGGTTCAAAAGTACCAAGAAGTTCATACTCTCCCTCTTGCTTTGAAATCCTTGAACGGGGACATCAGGGATGTCATCACTGTACAAGTCATGTCATCATGGGTTGTTCTTCTCCACTCGTCTCTGTGACCGTCTGTTACTTTCCTCAGGGCAATTCTGACTGGTTCACATTGCACTGCAGCACAGCCACAGGTGTCGCTGCTATAGATGCATTCCCAAACGTACAATATTTACAAATCTACACATATACGGGAAACTGTATTTATAATGCGGTCCCAAACGTACAGGATTCTCTTTAAGAGTCTCAGTGACTTACCAACCTGATGAAACTATTCCCGGTTCCTGATCTCCCTCATGCATGTTTGTCCATGCACAGTTGACGCCAGCCGAGCAGGAAGGGGAAACATAGACGTGAACGTGACGACGACAGGCAGGCGGGTGCCGTCCAGCGTGGCCAGGAGCCCGTCACAGACAGGCGTCTACACCGTCACGTTCTTCCCCGAGATCCAGGGTCCGCACGACATACAGGTTCTCTTCAACGGGATTCCCGTACAAGGTGAGTAAATTTACAGCATGCGTGTTTACACAGTGAAATACGAACATTGATACTGCGCAAACGCGCTTTAAGCAAAAACGAAATATCGCGAGATCATGCGCGAGATAAGACAACAGGTCGGTTGCATGCAATGACTCTAGTATTTGCACTTGGCCTAATTTTTAGGGATTTACCTACATGTAACATACCTTTCTCATTAGACATTACTATTTTATGTATCTGCGAGTGAAAAAAATAGCCTAGATGCTATCTGATTTGTAACAGTAACTCCGAATGGCACCCAGACTATGAAAAAAATGCCAAAATTCATGAAAATGTATCCTTACTAGCTACGAAATGTTATAGACGAAATATAAACACACCTGACATATTCAACGCTGAATCCAAACGCCTCATACAAACACTTTAAACTTCTCTACTTTATTCTCCAGGAAGCCCGTTCCGAGTGAACGTGCTGGACCCTGGCAGAGTGACGGCCTTCGGCTCAGGGATCCAGTCCGTACCCATCAACAGACAAGCGCACTTCACAGTAGACCCTAACGGTGAACATAGAGGCACCGTTACTGCCACAATTAATGGTGAGAACATTTTCTTTACAGTAAAGATTTGAAATTGGTCTACGCAATTTCAGATAGTAGATCATACCAGTAAAGATGGTTTTCGAGGTATACAACGTTGGCTTTTGAAGCCTATTGGCATGCTCTTGCTACATGGAACCTCTGGTACGTTCTTTTTGTTGTACTGACCATTCGATGTCCATTTGTGAACTCCATTTTAGATTTTTCAACTGTAATACGCAATTCCAGCAGATCATAACGTAAATCTTGGTTCCAGAGCTACATACGCTTTGTATTCGAAGCCTATAGGTAATGTCTTGCTGAATTGAGTTTTGTGTATTCTCGTACTGACACTTGGTTGTCGTTATCACGTCTCAGCCCCTAGCGGTAGAAGAGTGCCCTGCACCATCGCCCCGACGTATGACGGGACGTATGCCATTCAGTACCTCCCGACAGAAGTAGGTACGATCAGGAACGACTTTTGTTTGATTTCCTTTCTTTAACTATGTCTGTCTTGTCTTGTCTTTAACTATGTATATCAATCATATATAACATTTTCTGAGAATAGATAAACTGGATTGTCCATCGCTTGCTATACTGACTAGAAAAGGATTTGAGATTTAAAAAAAAATAATCGCTAGTACTATATATTACATTATATCTACAGCCAATATCTGTCATAAGAAACCATATTAGAAAAGTAGGCATATACTTTTTATTCACATGACAATGACCCGGAAGAATACAAGCATCTGTCTTAGAAGGAATTTCCCGCCCTTTTACTTCCAGGTCAGCATAGGATAGACGTGAACTTTTCCGATCATCCAATCAGCGGCAGCCCTTTCTACTGTAACGTGTATGATGTGTCAAAGGTCACGGTCAGTAAACTTCCGGGAGTGGGGTACGAAGGCAGGGAAATCAGGTTTCAAGGTAAGAAAACACATGTATTTTGTAACAAGGTTGGAAATGAGTTATTTGAATTGAACGGAAGACTCTAAATTGTAGTTTTCTAGTGGTGCTGTCCTTGGTGCTGATTTTACTATCTCGTAAATGGTACTAATTATAAACCAAACGTGAAAGCACACAAGGATAACTCATCTAAGCTGGAAATGAGTTGTATGAATTGAACGAAAGGTCTTAAATTGTTTTCTATTGGTGCTGCCCTTGGTGCTGAATTTACTACCTCGTTACCGTGAAACTTGTTATTTGTGCTGTAACAGTTGATTTAGGTCATGCGGTTATGGGGCAGTTACTATAAAACTTGTTATTTCTCCAGTTGATACAGGTCATGCGGATATGGATACTGTTACCGTAAAACACGTTATTTCTCCAGTTGATACAGGTCATGTGCGTATGGAGATTGTTACCGTAAAACTTGTTATTTGAATGTACAGTTGATACAGGCCATGCGGGTATGGGGACAGTAGACGTGGAGGTGACGTGTGAAGGAAACAGAATTCCACACTACATGAGCTCCAGAGAGGCGCCCAGGCTTTATAACGTAGGCTTCATGCCGGAGGACGTGGGGGTGCACAAAATCACTATCACATTCAACCAGGAACCTGTGCCCGGTACGTCAAGGTCTAAGTCAACTGTATTAGGATATGGGTAGACGTAATTTTATAAGCTTTGCGGACTAAAGATGTTCACATCAAATTTGAAGAGAGTGAATGAAAGCCATAGTCAGGGGTGCCAAAGAATTCATACGAATTTTACAGAATCCATTACATGAAAACATACGAATTTCACGTAATACATACGATCCATTACCAGAAACATACGAATTTCACGAAATCTATATGATTCATTACAACAAACATACGAATTTTACGGAATGCATACTATCCATTACTCGGAAACATACAATCCTTTAAATTCCAAGTAATGGATCGTTTGTGTTCTGTAAAATTCGTATGAATTCTTTGACACCCTTGATAGTAAGAACAGCATTTGCTCTAATGTTGATTTACGACATAAAGCTAGAATATGAGCTTACGAAAGTATATATATAAAAGTAAAACTTTTTTTTTTCGTTATATTCAAGGGAGCCCATTCTTTGTTGACGTCCGGGACAGCGGACACCCAAGGGCGCCGCCGCGGCGCTCCAAAACGTTCTCGGTGGGGGAGAAACACAACGACACGAGGGCCATGGTCGTCAAGCCGGTCGTCTCCAAACCCATCGTGGAGACGGTAGACGTCGGAGTTGGTTCGTTAAATATCCGTACTCTCCAAGCACAGGTCATCACGGAGGGTGAGCGACACCTTGCGGCTAGAATGCGCACTGCCAGTTTTGCAGATTTGCATGCATTTGCACCATATTGCCAAGGCTCATATAATAAGATATAGTAATTCAATAGAAAATATTGGAGGCCGTCATCTACATACGACACATATTTATTAAGACTGTGCAGACGTTAGGGTGGCTTGGTGATTAGAGATAGTTCAAGTCTAGTACATATCTTTGGCCCAAGAATTTCTAAAACAAGAATTGTCGGGGTTGTTTACGCACAATATAATAATAGCTTTGCTGGAGGTGCCATATGTGTGATATGAAATAATTTCAAAAAAGAAAGAAGACACGTCCTGCAAAACCTGTTTTTTCTTCTCGAAAGTTAGTAATTACTGACCAAAGCGGACAACAAAATCAGACCATTATTAAAACAGCAACCACATCTACATGTGTACAAGCTCTCTGTTGTCCCCGTGCAAGTTTACTGACCGTACTGCAAATAAGCGTGTGTTTAGACAGGGGAAATATCTTGTTGCCGTTGTTTCCAGAGGAGTTCACGAAGCTGAAGAAGATCATCGTCGGCGCGAAAGGCGGGAAGGCGAAGGCCACGGCTAGCGGGGAGGGGCTGTACAGGTGCTTCCAGAACACCCCTGCACAGTTCATAGTCGAGACCACAGACGGCAAATCAGACAGACTAGATGTCAAAATCAACGGTAACTAAACGGCAATTATTCAGCTATTCATTTATCTATTTATTTAGCACATTTCTAGTCATAAAAATACACCAGGAAAGACAATTATCTTGTGCGGTAGTGTGCTCGACTCAGAACCAAGAGGTCCCGGGTTCGAGTCCTGACATCTTGTTCCCTTGGTCAAGGCACTTTACTTTTAATTATACGACTTTTCTAACTCAAGTGAAAATGAGTATTGCCCTGTCCTGTATTTGTCATCATCGGCATAAAATAAGTTGAGAAAACTTGAGTGTGCCGTCACCATGTGTTGTCATGAATTGTTGGAATATAAAAATATCTTACCGCAACAACTAGTAACTTTAAAGTTCAACTACTTGACTGACCTAGAAAACAGGCTATATACTTTTATGACAATACATAATTCTGTTTGTACTTATCTATCCTTGACGTGCTTCACATCACAGGCCCCAACACGATAGCCAAACACAAGATCCAGCAGGACGGCAGCAGATTCTACGTCAGCTTTACTCCAGTGGAGGTCGGGATCTTCGACATATACGTCGGGTACGACGGGACAGAAATAGACGGTACGCCAGTTTTTTTTTGGCAACAGCTCAGGGGCGAAGTTTTTCTGTACTCAAAAGCTCAAAAAATATTGTTGAATGTTTTTTTTAAATCTCTATATCATGTTATATTTCTACTCTCAAATTATCACAGTTTTATGTTTCATTAACGTCGTCATTAATCGTGTCTGCGAAAGTTGGCGTCAATCTAGTAAACATGGCAATTGACAACTTGTAGCGTAGACAGAGATGCAAAATTTTAGCTCAACTTTTGCCCATGATTTCACATTTCAAAGGGAGCCCTTTCCACCCAGTGGTTGTCAACCCCTCCAAAGTCCAGCTGCTGGGAGAACTGCGCAGGTTACTTGACAAGAAGGGTAGGATCCTTCTCTTCATCCGGGAAACTTGCTTCATCCTGTTGGACACGGCGGAGGCGGGGCCGGGCAAGGTCAAGGCGTCAGTGCAGGGGCCTTCCCGTCAGACACCGGTGCAGGTGGGCCAGGAAAATGGCGGCAAGCAGAGAATAAGTTTCGTCCCGGAAGAAGAAGGTTGGTTGGAAAGAAGAATGTTTACCGGAATTTTTTCAGCTGTTTTTAGCGACGCCACAGGGACGGAGGCATTTTTTTTACAGTTGAAGAAGTGGAAGAGTGGGGAAGGGGGAAGCGATGAGGAGGTAGAAGAGTGGAGGAAGGGGAAGAGTTAAGGTAGGGGTAGAGTTAAGGAAGGGGAAGAGTGGAGGAAGGGGTTGAGTTGAGGAAGAGTGGAGGAAGAGGTAGAGTTGAGGAAGAGGAAGAGTTGGGGACGACACATACAACAATAATCATCCAATTGTCGCCATGGCAATGAGTTGTATTGTCGGCCTTGTTAGACATTGTTTTTATTTCTGTATTTATCTACTGCGTTTTCCCTTTTTTATCTGATTCTATTCATTATCTCATTATAATAAATTTGCTGAATTTTTTTTGCCTTTCCAGGAAAACATCTGATAGAAATTCTCTTCTCTGACGCACACATTCCGTCATCACCTATCTATGGTCTGGCCAAGAAAAGGACCAGTGCACTTCCGGTGGACCATACCAAAGTGGTGGTGTGGGGGGAGGGCCTCAGGAAGGCACAGGTCGCGCGGACATCAGAGTTTACACTGGATGGGTCTCAAGCTGGGAAAGGTAATTAGGGTAACTACCTTCTTCAGAAGGTTAAGCATTCGGTTCGGCTGTGGTTGGGTAAATGTGGATTTACACGGCATAACTTTTCAGGCCATGAATTGATGTTCATGATTTCTGGTAGGCAGATTACCACTGCAAAGACGAAGGTCAAGTTCGAAGATGGGCCTTGTGGGGGGTCCCTACGTCACTGCAGTAGACATTGTGTTTTTGATACTCATACTCAGTACTTTGATAATTTTGAGATACGTTGAACAACTTCTTATGACAATCTTATGTCAATGTATACCAGGTACTCCCAGTTGTATCCTGAATGGACTAAAGGCGGACGTTCCAGTCAGGATAGAGGAGATAAGGGACAGGAAAAATACATTCAAGGCGACGTACAAACCCGACATACCAGGTACATACCTTTATACAACTTTCTAGCATACACAGCATCAAGAAAATGTGTTACTGTCTCGTTTTACTCTCTATAGGTCATGGCACCTTCAATGTTTGTCTTTGCAACCTTTCTGGAGATTTGGTCGTCTAAGTTTCCATTTTTTTTTGTCTGCTGCAAAAGGATCCTACTTGTTAAACATCACGTGGTCTGGGAAGAAGATTAACGGAGCCCCGTTCAAAGTGTCGGTGACGAAACCTATCGACGCTACCAAGGTGGTGTTCTCGGGGCTGAAGTGGGGGTTCGGCGGGCAGGCGCTCAGGGCTACCGTCGACATCAGGAAAGCTGGCAGAGGAGGTAAGTAGAATTTCATCTAAAACCCCGTAGACAACCTTAATGTGATAGCTATTAACTGTGTAAATAGTTCTATGGTGCAAGATTTCTTTCCCTGAAAATTCACCTAAAATCCAATAGACAACCTAAATGTGACACTTATTAACTGCGTAAATAGAAAGTTTGTATTTACAGTCAGAACGGATAACATATAACTCTACATAATTATGTCTTTTTTTAATATCCAATACAGAAGCTAGCGGTACCGGTACTAATAGCATTTTCAAAGTTTTAAAGTTTCTAGGATGTGGATATTTATGACTTGTAATACTAAGTACGTCTCTAAGTTGCAAATATCTCATGTACCTATATTAATTTGCGTGTTTGTGTTGCTAGGAGCTTATATTATATGCCAATATGCCTGCAGTATTTTTTCACTAGTTCTGTAGTGTAAGACTTCTGTCACTAGAAATTCATCTAAAACCCAGAACACAACCTTAATGTGGTACTCATTAACTGTGTGAATAGAAAGTTTATATTCAGAGTCAAAATGAACAACACTCTTTATATTTCGTTTTTTAATCTCCAACAGGAAAGTTAGCGGCCAGGTGTTTAGGCCCGTCGAAGCCTGCCCGAGTGGACCTGACGGACAACTTTAACGGAACCTTCCTCTTGTGTCTCCATCCTGTAGAGAAAGGCAAACACAAACTCGAGATCAAATACGACGGAACCTACATTCCTGGTAACACATTGCCTTTAACAGATATTTTGAAGGTGCTGTCAGAATGGTGCTGGAAGCTATAACATAAGACTTGTAAGGCGTAGGCACGGATGCACACGTAAAATGTATTAAGTCCAATAGCCTTTACAAAATTTGATTCCAATAAGATACACAGTACCTTATCATATTGCTACGCTCACTCGGTGAATTGTTCGGTGGTTATCGCACCTCCGGAATCATCTCACCATATACACCTCGGGGCGGGGCATTAACCCTGCCCGAACACTGCACCAAGGAGGACCTGGAAGCCCTGACCCCCAGCGGAAGGGCATGAGGGGAGTATTGGAGGGGAAGAGTGTAGCAGTGGTGACCCGAGAAGAAGACGATTAACCCTTTATGATACTTCTTCCTACAGGGAGCCCTTTCATCGTCAACATTGTAGGTTACCCTGACCCGGCTAAAGTGAAAGCGTTCGGCCCGGGACTGTCTAACGGCGTGCTGGGCAGGTTCATGGGTGAGTTCGTGTGTGAGACGGTGGAGGCGGGGCCAGGCCAGCTCAAGGTGCGGGTACATGGACCGAAAGGTAGGCGGCGCACTTTGCTTTGGTCTTGATTCTTCAAAGAAGCAATATACGTATACCGTTTGTGCATTATATCGTATATACGTGTAGTATCGTCAATGAAGGTTTGACACCCAGAAAAACGATAGACAATTCAAGAGTAAAATTTACTACTGGACAGAATATGGAGATTATTGCTGGACATTGAAGTGGCATCCACGTCTTCAGCATCAGGATTAACTGGCAGAACTAGTGCGTATCCAATGCCCCGTTGCCTCTGCATGTTAACTATTCAATAGTAAGCCATGTAGTAGCCTTAATAAAATAATTCCGAGTTTTCCTTTCAAAGCGCACCGTTAATGCCGTTTTCAGGTGCCTTCAACGTTCAGATGACGCCAACGGGGCCCAAAGGCCGGACCGTCATTGTCCGTTACGATCCTACTGAGCCTGGCGAGTACGAAATAGACGTGAAGTGGTCGGAAATCCACGTTCCGGGCAGCCCGTTCCGTATCATCCTCGTGGAGTCAGAAGAAGAGTTACAGGACTTGGAGCTGGAAGCCCGCGCGGCGTCCAACCCGTCAATCAGGAGATCTCAGTCGGGAGACTCCATCGCATTGGACGCTGACCTGGAGGAGGAGGGGCCAGAGAAGACGTCAGCGACACTGACAGCCAATGAGTGGCCGAGGATGCGGTATGTGGGAAGGGCCATCAGAAGGTCAACGTCTGAGAGGCTGTTGCAGAGGCCAACGAGAACGAGAAAGTTTTCATTCAAAAAGGCTTTTAGTAAGCCTAAAATGTGAGGAAGGCACACATCCATGAAGACCGTCGTTTGCTTGCGTGTGTACCAAGGAAAACTTTTCTCATGATACGTGTGTTTTAATGTGACAGAGGAAAACAAAATGGACTACAGACCTTAACTCATCATTAAGAGTCTGACTAAGTCTTTTATCAGTATTGCATCTCATGTTTCACGTATGAGAAAGAATTAATATGTATACTCTTAAAGGCATTTGTCAATGGGCAACTGGAGAAGTAGACTGGTATATACTGTCCTTTTTGTACAAAAGACGTTTGTATCAAATCTTTTTTAGTAATGCTGGATGAAATGTAAGTCCCCATCGAGTTAGCTTTCAAGATAGTAATGATGATGATTATGAATATCAGTCCCCTCTATGTTGGCATTGACATGTGCATATATAACTCACAGGCGGTGACGCATTGAAACCGCCTCTAACAAGGGCTCGTGTACATTAAACGTGTAGCTACCACTTATCAACTTTGTAACGTGAAAAATTACTAATGTCATTCTTAATGTTGTAAAGTTTCTAGGATGTGAATACTTATGACTTTTAATATGTTTTTAAGTTACATACATTTATCTATATTTGCGTGTCCAAGTTGCTAGAAGCTTATATGTGCAGTATTTTCCACTAGTGTAAGATTTCGTTTAAGTTCATTGCTAACTTCATCAGTGTTAAAGAACAATTATCTTTGTATGTTTCGCTTGAAAGTCACTTGTAGCATTCTATATCATGTGCATAAGTATGTCGCCGTGACAGAAACATGTACTATGTTCATTTACTAGGTTCTTGTAAAAATTGGTCAACTTATTCTGTTGTACATAGTGTTTTAGAAGTTTTAGATAAACTGTATAACCATATATGTAGTAAGTCTAATGGTGTGAAAGTTTTAAGATATATTTAGGAATCGAGTACATATAGATTTCATTCAGAATGTCACAGAGGCCAAATTGACAGACATTTTTGGGTCCATGTTAGATTGTGACACTTTCTTTGTATAATCCTTTGGAATAAAACTAACACTATCAACACAAACAACGTCTTATTGTCTTTGGGTATATCAAATCCATCTGTAGGTGTACCATAAATCCCAGGAACACAAAGATTTGCCTAAAAAACTTGCCTCACTGGTGTCACAGTGGTAGATTTTATCTGTATGGCTCCGTGTTTTGTCGGGTTGGTTGCAAATGTTCTTCTTTTATTTCAAACGTAAATAGATTAGATTGTGGACGCGCATTTTGCACCCAGATATACTAACTAAAGTTAACTGATAGAATCCTTTAACTACCCAACAAAGCTAAAATGTAACCTTTGTTTGTATATGCTGGTAGAATTTTGTTTACGGGAGATAATTGTTTTTGAAACTAGGTACCACTCAAAGGTGGCATTTACCTTTTCAAAATGCAACGATGAATGGAAGTTCCGGTATAACAAATGAACCGTAAAGTCTCAATGAACGTTACTCCAACACAGCTGAACATTGACCAACACTCTGTGAAACCAAATCATGCCAAAGAACGCCAACAATTCTCATGCTAGAAGCATCTGTCCGCAAATATTCACCATGCCACACTCGAGGGGTTAAAACACGGGCAAACCAGTCTTTCTTCTCCTTCTTTAATGTTCTACTTACTTATGGGAACAGCCTGGAGGAAAATGCAAATAAGGCACGTGTTTACATAAACGCTGATTCCCGACTTCCAAGAACTTTCCAGATCTTACCTGCCAGTTTTTATCTGAGGCTTCGTCTTATCCTGACCGACTGAACACTTCGCCCACCGTCTTTAAGAAAGACTCTGGGCGTCTTGTGTGGTACGATGAGTAACTGCAAGTGAGTCGTCTTGTTATCTAGATTGTGCAATACCTGTGTCCCCGACCCCTTGTTTAAGCCGGCTTCTGGGGTGAAATTACGCGAAGACAACATCGAGCCACAACCTCGTGGGATGTCAGCGCAACACCATCGGCTACGCTTTACATCTTTACAATGGTACAGCGGACTTTAATGTGATAAAAGAGGCGACCATCTTTGACTAGAAGGCGGGAATTTCTGGTACTAGCCTCAGCATGGCAGCAGATCGTGAGGTGTCGGTCCGCATTCCGAAGAGGGCGTATGTGCTTGTGGAAACAGCTGTTTTAGGTAAGGGGTGTGGTGGTCTGTTTTTATTTTGCTTGATAGGTTTGATAGTTTACCTAAAGTGATAAAAGTACAGTTTATGTAGATCAACTATTGAGCTAAGGTACTTTTTTTAGAAAGGCTACATTTTGGAAAGGAGGCAGTCAATTTTGCGTTCTGTGATATTTACTTCAAGTTCTATATTACGTCACCGTGTAAACATTTGCTAATAGGATATATTAAGACAAACAGTGGTCTTTAAACACACCTTTCAACTACAACTGCAAATTACGATGATCGTTTTAGAATTGGGCGATAGTTTGAAATGTCACTTGTGTAGCAATGGGTTGTCAGACGACAGAGCAGACAGGTGCAGATGTGCATATTATGGATTAGGGTCAAAGGTCAGAATCTGGCAAAATGGTAGCCATGATTGATGGGTTTATGAACGGGTCAGGACAACACCTTTTGTACCAGTTTGACCTCATTTGTTTTGCATGTTGATAATCAGTCCAATCGGCTACATGTATGTGAAAAGTACTTTGTCTACTACTTTGCTTACGACATGTTTGAGACCCTTTTAATTTTTTTTTCATTTTCTCGGTCTAACCGTTTTAAGCTATTTCGAGTGGATTTTGAACGAGGTACTTGAGATACGATGTCAACTGGTAGTGATGAAAAGTCCTCTCCACATCCGAAAAGGATCTACATTAAACGTTACCGACATCTACAGGACTCCGGATCAAACATGCTTACGGTCTGAAGTATCGGACAAGCTGTTCTTTCGAAAACAATTACGCTTTACATCTGGATTATGAGGTCTGTTATTACGATATAGAAATAGTCCCGAAAAATAACACTTTTCCACTTTTCTCTCGTGAAATTGAAGATGAATCACCTACCATTTTACCTTATATAGTACAAAAATAGGTCTTGAACTGTTGCTTGGAAGGCAAGACTGTTATTTATTTGTATGGGTAAGAATTTCTCCTAAATGTGCCCAAGTGGCATGGCGACCTTTTGCATACCCTATCAGTTACACCTGGTGTGGTTTCAATGCCATAAATGTATTCAAAGACAAAATCAGATGTAAAACAATATAGGACGGCGTCGAAGCATATCCAAGGACAGCCCTTGTAAACCCAAACTGTCCAAATAAGAGGCCGACTATCGGTATTCGGCAAATCTGGTAGAAACTTCAAACGCTGTTTTGAAGCACTTGGAGGTGAAGAGGTCGGAGTCTGTTTCATCGAGAATCGATGTAATAGTATCGAGGGTCTCTTGGTTTTCATTGTTGGTACAATGTGGTAGTATGGTAGTGAAGAAACGTAGGAACAGTCACGTACATTTCGCGCTACTAGGGATTTACGTTCATTGTGTAAGTATATACACCTACATTCATACATATTTGCATTGCTAGCTTACCAAAAATGCAGTTACTCAAGCGACTGGATTATGATTTCAGTCACTGACGAAAGCTAGTGACGAAAGCTAGTGGATGCTAGCTGAAACGTCTGACCGTTTCCAAAATCATAATCCAGTTGCTTGAGCTCGAGAAACTGCTTTTTGGCGTATCTTATTACCTGGATGTTTAACCTTCATCGACAATTTCTAACTAAGTTGAACAGCCAAATCATGTTGTTATCGCTCTTATCGTTGTTGTTATGATACAGTTGATACAGCGTCCATCGCAGGCGTTCCAGTAACGGTGGAAATCTTGTACAAGGGCGAGCCTGCCGTTCAGTACCGCAGTGTTGGGAACGGCAAGATTCTACGGTTTTCCTTTATCCCCAAGCGTCTAGGGGCTCACTTCGTCAACATTCTGGTCAACGGATACTCTCTAGGTAATGTTGGCCGTTACAAGGAATACGTACAGGCCAGGTATTGGCTGTTAGTAGTTAATGGGAGCCAGGCCTTGTTATGGGGATACTGAGAAGCCACTCATGGCGCTTGATGCCACCATTTTTATATCTTAAAATGTGTCAATTTACCTGTAGGCCAATATGCTCATTCCCTTAAATGTGGCTCCGTCGACTTCTGGGAAATCCAAGCCCTCTTTCACGACAAAAGTATTACATTGTTTTTTCCATCAAATGTCATATCTTACACGTGGTAGTTTTAGACATTTTGAGCTCTCGTACTAGCATTCCACGTTTGGCGGTTGAATACTATGCTAGAATGTGACATTAAAGAAGAAATTTGGAATGAGTTAAAACTATGTATGGCATGGTAACAGTGTCCTTTGATATGCGAGTGTTTGAATTAATCTAAACTTCAAAGTTACAGTGACGCTTAAGTATAGGAAATATCTTGTTTTGTCTCCACTAAGGTATATTTTCACGTGATTTGCTAAAATCTGAAGTTATGAAGCTTATGATAATCTACAACCAGTGCTGTTGTCTCTACTCAAAGGGGACCCGGCCCTTATCGACGTGCGGAGCCCGTACTACCCTGACGCCGCCCGGGTACGGGTGTTCGGCCCGGGGCTGCAGCACGGGGACCTGGACACGTACCGGGGGAGCGTCGTGTGTGAGACGGTAGATGCCGGCACTGGTGTGCTCATGGTCAACGTGCTGGGACCTGCAGGTAGTCTTCAGATTAGCAATTCTGTTAGAAGGATTGTTTTAAAAGTGAAATGTAATGACATCTTAAACCAAGACTGTTTTCAACGTCCTGGGTCCAACTTTCAACTCTGAAATTCTGTTAGAAAGATTGTTTGATATATAAATCAATGTAATATGACACCCTAGACCAAAACTGATTTCATTATAGAAAGTTTATGCATCAGATTTCAGTACATTCCAGAAAATGATGATGTTGCATTTCTATCTGACATAGAAGATAATTTACTTCATCCTAAGGGAGAGGCGTATTGTTCTAGCTTGTCTGTGTGTCTACGATTACACATGTAATGTAGATCTAGAGTTGCAATACACCACCATGGCATCTGCTTTGTTTCTAATTGGCGCAAAGCAATGTGAGTATGGGGTGAAGTCTGCCTTCTTTGATTGCCTGGTGTATTTTGTCAGGAAATGTGCCGGTTATGACGACAGCGTTGGACGGCCCAAACTGTCCCGTGGCTGTGTCCTTCCAGCCGCCCTCTGCCGGAGACTACTACATCAACATCAAGTGGACCGACGACCATGTACCAGGCAGCCCGTTCAAAGTCGAACTCTCGGAAAGGAGGAAACCAGGACTGATGTCAAAACTCTTCTCAAAATCTCCCAACCAGGATGCTTCAGGTCCCGTGGCCGGTTTCCCGCCAAAGGAAGGCGAAGGGGACGACAGGCCACCCGAAGGGCCGTCGTACGAAGAAATCGACCACTGGGTTAACACTGGTCTGTGGTCGCCGTCAAGTTCTGATTCAAGCTCGTCAGGCAAGGAGAACAAGCCGATCACTCCAACCATCGAGGCGGAACAAAAGGCTGACGTGAGTGCCAACTTGAAGCGCCACCAATCGTTCATCACGAGGAAGTACAGGGCGATTGTAAAACGAGAGTCCAAGAGGGAGCGTCAAGCACCCTTGCAACCTACTACAGAAACCTCTGAATCCGACGATAGGGTACCAAGTGGTTCGAATGAGCCGAGCCATGTTGCCGATGAGGTCAAAGGGCAAGCTGACCCAAATATGGCATCCAAGATGGCGCCTGACAACAACAAAGAAGACACAAAGCCCCGGTTTGTAGCAGGTGTGCTGCGCAAGAGTTTAAGAGGGAACAGAAGTTCATATGACTTAAACCACGATGACAGTAACGTCAAACCAGACCGACGAATGAGCTCTCAAGGGATGATCAGTGATTTTCATGATACAAAATTAAACAACAGACTAAGCCAGTCACAACCAGACATTACTCCTAACAGAAACACACAAGGATTCGTATTCCTGGGAAAGAAAACAGAAGAGGAGATCCCTCCAACATCAAGTCCCCAAAACAACACAGATGACCACGGTGCTAAATCTCCTTCAAAGAAGATGCAGAGAGTAAGCTTTGTGGAAAATGAGGAAGTAGCAAACGTTCCTCAGGAAGAGGAAACAACGAAGTTGAAAGCTCAGGATAAAGATGAGAATGAGAAAATAAGCACGCCAAACGATTCAAATGTACAAAAGTCCATCGAAGAAAATAAACATCAAGGAAATGAGAAACATGAAGTTAAGGAGAAGACTACATTGTGCTTTCCAAAGAAGAGGAAATCTAAGAAGAACAAAAGTAGTCCAGTGATAAGAAAAACCGACAAGAATGCCCTACCAACTCCGGCACGGTCCCTTTCGTCTATGAAACCACTCAGTAAAAGCGTTGAAGGGCTCCCGTTTCCCTCAGATGTTGAGAAGGGCAAGGTTAGTCTGGTCAGAGTGGAAAGTATAAAATGGTGAGAGTTAGCTACATCTACTAGTCATTTACATACTTCTCAGGTATCATATACATAGTTGTGTTTGTATGATGAATAAGTGTGAACTAATGTTTTATACCGTACAGTTTTGACAATCGATTGTGTTGGATTGAAGTGTAATTTGATATTGTATGTTTACTAACTGTTTTGGTGCGTTGAAGTGTTTGACCGATTGGAAAAAAACATGAACTGGGCAATTTTACAGAAGATTGTTTATATATTTTTTGTTGTTGTGTCTAACCATGAAGCTAGTTATAACGAATTGTAAATAGGTATATACTAGTACTAATTATTGCTACGAGTAGCAACGTTCATAGCTTTTATTGGCAAAGTAGTATCTTCAAACATAGAATTAAGTCATCTGTATATTAGCTACTTACATACCCTCTAATGCTGCTCTCAGGAACTGATGATGAAACAACAAATGTTTACTAACATCATCATCATCATGTCGGGATATTGGACGCAAAAACTCAGTGATTAGATAGAGATGGAGGGTAAACCGTTGCATTTATGACATAAATGTACGTCTATTCTTTTTACCAGCTGTAAATATCATCCACTTTCTTATCTACTACTTTTTTTTACATAAAAAAGTGCTCATTCATATATTTAAAGTCAAATGGCATAATGATCATGTCAATTCAAATATGGATGATCCTACGCTATAGACCCAAACGTGTCAATGATTTATAACGTGAATCAAGTCTTGTTTTTTTTCACAGTTTTTCATTATTTCTTATTCTAACTTAGCTGCTAGGTGACCTTTACCCTTTGTGTGTGTGTACATGTATGTACCCCCCTCCCACAGCTCCCCTCCCACAGCTGCCTTGTTGTCCCTGACATGACGATGCTCCCAGTTTTATGGGTGAATGGCTCGGGTCAAAAAGTAGATCCCACCTGGAGAGAAGGCAACTTTAAACACTTAAATTTCCCCGGCGATGAAAATGTTGAATTGAAAATGCATATGTGTTCAATGTGTCATAGTACTACTTGTTAACTAACAAAGAAGACTTGTATATACATTATTGCATAATGTTGCACAGAGGTCACTTCCTATGAGACAACGAGCTATTGAGGCGAAACGACCCGAAACGGCTCACGAGTAGAAAAACTAGTTCTTCTAGTGATTACAGCAGAGCCTGTCAAAATAGCTGCCAATTGTAGAGCTATGTGGGGATGGTTTATACACAAAAAGACAAAAGTCTACCCCTTGGCGAAAACGTACGACAGGCCTAAGTGTACTTGATGGTTGAATGCACAGGTGTAGGCTCGTACACTGTGATACTGTAGTATCAGAAAGATTGTAGAAGGATGTTTATGTTTCCTCTAGTTCCTTCCACTTGTTCATAAGGCAGGCATGGTGAAATTTGATCATGGTGTATTAGGACTGCTCATCCCTTCATGCATTCCTTTGTCTCTCTTCGGTAAAATTACCCTTAGAAAAAACCAAAACATGCTTTACGAAGATGACGAGATAAGACTGTTGAAACAATGGAGACAAAAATATGCACAGGATGACCTTCGGATGTCTGACGTATGTATGGAACAGGTTTACGTGACTCATACTACATCAGCTAGACAGAAGGGTTTGTCTTAGTCAACAAACCACGATTTTAACACTTGTAGCGTCTAGCTTACGGGATTAACATACAATACTTAAACACGGATGGCACAAACCCAATGTTGACAATACATAAAAAACGATGATGTTGTAAATACCCGAAAGACATTTGACCTCACGTGTTTAGTCGATTGTGCAAAAGGCCTGGGTGTGACAAGGAAAGGGAACAAAAGATTTTGGGGAAATGTCATTTCATCTTACAGGAGGCTGAATCATTCTTTACTCCATGCTTTCTTGATTTTCATAGCTATAGAATCGTCATTGATTTTAGAGATAAGAAATGTAAGTACCTATGACAAGCTCCTGGTGTAATGGGCATTCGATATCAAATGCAATTGGCAAATCTACAATGATCCCCACAACATTACCTGAACCTTCCCCCAAGGACTCAGTAATCTGCCTCCCACATAAATATTTCATGTACCCTTTAGTGTAGTTCTGGGCACACCGGCACAGGTAAGTCCGCCAGTTTTTATCAAGCGTTGCACTGTATCCGCGTCCTTCCTCTCCTCTGCTTTGTCTAGTACTACCTACTGCTATCTAACGCTCGTAGGCAACTGCTAGCCAAGCGTGGGAATCTACAATACGGAGGGATCTTTGAAATATTCTTACTGTTTGTCTTTCCACTTGACCGACCCTGGGCGTCTTCCCATTCACGATGGTGTAGTTGATACTGTGTTATTCTCACCCAGATATTGAACAGTTAGATAGGCATCGCATCGTGCACAACAGCTTGCATATTTCACACAGGTGCCCAAAGTATCTAGTTTTGGCATTTTGGTACACAGAATCATGAAGAATGCTGGTGTTCTCCAATTAGGAAAAGGGCGCGAACATGACGTTAAGCGTTGGCAACATGGGGGGAGTATCTTCATACTTAAAACAGTGTTTCTGTGCATAATTACTTTGTCATGATAAAACGTTCACACCAAAATCCGCCTAATCATCAGATTAACGGTATTCTAACTGACCTCGGCCTCGCTTAGGCTTTATGTCTCTCGATAAAGGTTGAAGACATTTAAAGCCTTGCTCCGCAAGGAGGGACAAGTCAATTATATCCCTTTAGCTTATCCCTTAGGCGACTTCGTCACGAAATAGTCGATGTTATGCATTAGATGTTGCTGTTAAGTTGTCATAAGGTCAACTAGAATTCGTATGATTTATTTCAATAATTTCGTCTTACGATTAAGACGCTAGTTTGACCAGAGAGGTTATAATGTCTTGAAGGTTAGTACTTTTCCCTGACCAAGTGGTTGGACCGGTCAACCGATGAACTTTGACAAACGCTACTGTAATATCATGGTCTGCGCACGTTCAAGAATTTGACTACACCCAAAGGAGGTATTCAAGGGCGTTGCTAGCGTAACCTATCAGTTGTGATATATAAGATAAACAATAAAAACAGACTCTAGAACCACATATTTGTGATGCTTAGGCCCCCTGCATTTTGGATCAGACAAGAACTCATTACCACATGGAAAGCACATCAGACCTCCAGATAGTTCTCAATCCAGCGAAGAGACAATAATTATATGGGGTGTGTCCGATCAACGTGCCCCTCCTGGATTAGTGGCATGTTCTTGTTGCTTTTTACAATAAATGCATATTTAGATACTAGAGCTGGGGTAACTGAGTACACAATCAAAATTATATATATACCATTTACTAGCAATTATACCGATAAAAGTGTAACTAATTGGACAGAATGTTTCAGGTGTCGTAGTGGGATTAAGTAATCTCATTTGAATATTGAGATTTCGAAATGATAACATATACCAAGTTTACATCGAATAAAATATTTAATAAAAGCTACAACGGAAATATCTTTAAATGTTTTCCATCTTTAACTTGTGTAAGTGCTATTACTTGGTGAATGAGCTTACAAAGAAAGTTTTCGTAAGATGAAACAAGAAACTGCACTTAGTATACATATCTGTCATGTACCTCATTTCTGGGCAAAGCTGTAACGCGTAAAGAAGCGCGTCTCTAGCTGCATTTATTCGCTCTAAGCCTTTGCAAAGATGCTGTGAGATAAAACACTGCCACTCCTCCCCTACTCACTGCTAGGTATATAACTTGTTGAGGGCCAGAGTCAGACATGTCTTCAACCGCGGTGGTGGGAGAGTATTACCTGAAAGATCCCAATGATGACAGCAGGGTCAAGGTTGGGAGCTACTCTGACACCTCGTATGATCCCGGCCCGACCAAAGCAGGGTTTTTCACGGATAGTTCACACCGGGGGAGCATGAGTAACGGTTACAGCAACGGGGACAGTGTCCGGCGGGACTCCAGGCCGAATGTCCCGTTTGTGTCCGGAGATGGCGTGAACCAAGCCCGCGTCAACGGACCGGCTTCTGTGAAGGTCAGTCCGCCATTTTGTATTTCCTTCTACCAAGGACTTCTACCAAAGTTTACACTGACAGAAATGCACATATCAATCTGCCTGTTAATCATCTACTTACTTTAAGACAAAAGCCCTAGATAACCAAATCTGTAGAAATTAAATGCATGTGCTCAAACAGCATTAAAGGCACGCCATGATACATTTGTATCAAGAAGGGGTCATTCGAAGATGTTTTTCTTCCGGTGTCAAAGTTCACACTATCATAGCTGAGTATTCTATCGTCTATTCTATGATCTTCAAAATGTCTGAGCGCTTTGACATTCTGAAAGGAAAGATATGATGTCAAAAGACGGCTGACTTTCCGATTTACAACAACATCGAGTTGTCCTAACCTAAAAGTAGTGTAAAGGGTTGTTGAGGTACGGATACAATAGATAATAAGCTTACGTGAAACGTCAGTATTGTAGTGGAAGAATACGGGGTCACACCCACAGGTGTGGCTGTAACATTCCTGAGTATTAGACCCTCAACATGTCACGTTGTACACTATACAGGGATCCAGTAGCTCAGACATGCAGATTTTGGTAATTTGGGTAATTACTGCTGTGTTATCAGTCTCCATTCATTCCCATACACATTTCATACATGTAGCAAAAATCAATAAAATTACCCACATGTTTCAACATAGAAGTACAGAGTTTATAAAATTTATAAAAAGTCATTTAAGTGACATTGTTAGTTTCGACCTACGTACTCGTTTTTTTGGCATCTAATTAAAGGACTTTTTCTGAATATTATTATTTTTTTGATAGCACATATTCTACTATCAAAATTGCACTTTTGATAGTGGCGAAACCATTGCAGTATTCCGTGACACCATAAGTAATTCCGATGTGTTTTGGCAGGTGTTACCCTATGGCATGGTGGGGGACTACTTCACTGTAGAGGCGCAGGGTCCGTACGACACCACCGCCAAGCCTCTGGACCTGAGGAAGGAGAGGGATGGCCAGATCATCGGCAACTACACCCCTGACAACATAGGTAAGCTTTGTGCATATATATGGAGTTAGCATGGTGCATAGGAGATAGCATGTGCTCGTAATGTCAGCATAGATCAACAAGTCTGGTTGCACACGCTAGCTCGTCAGGCATCTATGTAGTTTCACAGTATGTATGAAGCACCTTTATGGTCATTCATTGTTATGCAACCTGGAGGTCACTGGCCTCATTTTACGAGTGGATAAGTTGCCTCGTGTGAAAGTAAGGGCTGCAATAGTCCCCTGGCTCCATACGTATCAGCATGACAATTATACTTAAGAACCTAAACCTAAAATTGTGTCATTTCGTGGCCAAATGGCCACGCACTCAATTATATGCACATTAGAGGTATCCGTTGTTGAATTTTCTCATCTGCAACAATGCACGATGTGCATGTTAGCAACACTAAGTACTTGAACGTAGGCCTGGTGACATCTGTAGATTGAGGCATGTGGTGCACTTAAGTGTGTAGACAAGACCTTGACTTAGAATATAACAATAACCATTCCACACGCTGCTCTCTTTGTGGTGGAGGCTATCGTCTGCGGCGCCGCCTAACTCGTAGCAGAAGCAATCCAAGTGTGTATAGTGGTAGGTGGTGGTCAAGTAAAACAACATTGAGTTAAAATGGCTTCTTTCAATGGACGGCATGTAAAAGTGATTGTGTTTGAACTATGTTATGGTAAAACATTATGGTTTGTATGCCGAGGGATTTTTTGCAGTTCTGAAGTTTTTTTTACTGAAATCACTTAGTCTTTTTTACGCTTGCTTTATACCGTGACAACCCAAAATTGTGCATGAATGTTTGATTGGGCTTTTATCAATACAAAGGCTAACATAATTGATTTGTATCCATTCTCAGGGCCATGGACTGTATCTGTGAAGCACGAGGGAAGCCACATTCCCAACAGCCCCTTCACGTGTGAAGTGTACGACCCAACGCAAGTGGAGGTCAATGACCTGCACGACGACATCTTAGGCAAACTCGTCAAGTTTTCAGGTAAGCCTAGAAGAATCATTAGATACGATAGAAACATGTTTCATATTACATTAAGAATCTGTTTGTAATATCCAATCACTTTACACGTGATAATCCATATTAAGCTAATTTGTCTACTTAAATGACTTGGTGTAACGTCTGTATTATTTGTCAGAATTGGATGTGTTCGAGATACATTTTCCATCTGGCAATATTTCTGGACCAGTCAGAACAAAGGTCCAAGAAACTCCCGCTGTACATTATCAAAACTGGCCATGATATGTGAATAATTAATGACCCCAATCCCATCGCTGTGTCCCGCAATCAAGGTAATTGGGTGATGATGAATGTTTGTGGTTTCCTAGAATGATGGGGCATGAATCTCGCACTAGTTCACAATAGCAACGCCACGACCGGCGCCTGAATATTACATTGTACACTTAACACACTGCCAGTCAAGTTGATCTCACTAAACTACTCAATACGGTACAGCTAGCATTGAAATTACTTGTTCATAAATTGACAGTTACACTAGGGCAGGGATAACAGTTTTTAAAATATTAAGTAATGGGAGGTTTTCACTGACACTGTAACATTTCCTAGTGCTAACTATTGTATTGTGTGTTCTTATAAGAGCTGCGCTATTCCTATCCACATTTTCCTGGTGAGTAGTATAAGGTAGTACAACCCTTGGCACCAACGGCTTCGCGGACACGTATTCTAGTCATCACAGTACGAATTCTCACCTTTCAAAAACACCTGTGTCTGCATATACTTCCTATGTTCTGTCTTGTATTTTTTTGTAAACAACAAATTTTGTACAAATTTTGTGCCTACATGTTGACACAAATAAAATATTTCTGTTGGCACATGAAGCTTACTTAGAATATAGATTATTGGCTGATCACAAGACAAACGCTTAGGCTTTTAATCTCTTTTACCCTCCCCATCGTTAAGTATTCATTCAATCGGAAACTTCTAGTCTGTGTCATAAGTTCATCTCACCTTGGGGGTCATAGTTGAGCTGCTGATCGACAAAGATCAGTGTTGTCGAAGGTAACAGGGCGAGAATAGACCCTCAGGCAGTGTCTCCTGATCTGTGTTTTATAAACATTGTCTACAGCCTGATGCATTCTAGACGCGAACTGTAAACATTCGGTATCTATCTAGAGATTAGGAGGATGTAAAACAATGAGAAAGTGCAGCAAAAATGTTACAAATACAGTTTTTCTCCAAGTTCAACTAATTACAGTGCAGAGACCGTTTACTTTTTTTTAGTTCTGGCGGCTGAAAACTTTAAGAAGACATGTTGTAATCTTTAATATAATTATCATATGATGGCGATTTTCATAGGATTTTTATTGGCAAATTATATAGCCATTACGTATGGTAGAAAAACTGATACCTAATCTTGTTTGAGTAGCTTCATTGCGTATGTACTCAAGATAGCCATTATTGGTGAAGATGAACTGCGTAAATGTTTCCCTGGGGCAAAGTAAACAAACATTTTCCCACGACAATCACGAAATAGGACTCCCGGGGACCATAAGGAACATTCTTTAAAGGACTAGTCTCCCATGAGGTTTGTAATGTGACTACAGAGAAATAGATAATGATCCACACATCAAAAGGGAGGCGATTTGAAACTAGAGGTACTCAGACTGACCTTGGTGAGGATTATACTTTCTTCTTTGTGTTCTCTGCAGGGTCTAAGATAGTGTGAAATAATTGTTTCTTAACGCATTGTCATGTTATCGCATAATGTGAGGGTTCACTCACATCTTTCCTTGTTCGTATGTGCCTTACGTTACATATAATTAGTGATGGCTTTGGTAGTCATGGTTCAGATTGTCTCTTATTTAACCATTATAATCTTGCAATACATAAGGAATTACTTACATAATATATCATTCATACAAAAGAAAACCCATAACGCCATCGAACGTCATCGAGAGGAAACACGTTCTTTACTTTTGCCCCCTTCCCCCCCTCCCCAGTCAACACGGCCAAGGCTGGAAATGGAGACCTGACCGTCCACGTCACTGGGCCGGACGGGCGGCGCGTGCGCAGTAAGATAGAAGACGTGGGTCCCCACAACTACAACGTGTCGTTCTCCCCGGACACCACCGGCAACCACAAGGTCGAGGTCGAGTTCAACAATGACGAAGTCAGAGGTAAGAAGATTCTACTTAAAAACGTATTTCAAATATTGAGCAAGATGTGGCTGGTTCAAATATCTGCTGATTTTTACTGTGAGGTTGTATGTATTCTTATATGGTAAACTGCCTGTGTCAGCAGTTTCCTTAGATTCATATTGTACAATGTATCATGTTTTCGTATTCAACGCAAAGCTGAGCTATGCTGTTGAAAACAACACACCTGGTACTGATGCGCCATGTATGGTCTATGTATAACCTCTATTACAGAGTGGAACGTATTTTCTTTACTCGCAGGAAGCCCATTCAACTGTCACATTAGCGAGCCTGATCTGATTGAAGCAGAGGAGTCCCACTCAGTCTCTTCACACCATCATCATGATCATGACCATGACCATGATCACCATGACCATGACCATGACCATCATCACCACGATCATGACCATGATCACCATCATCATGACCATCATGACGCACCGGTAAGAAGCTCCTATTCACTTCAATGACAAACCAATACTAGTGAATATGCTGTGTCCTCGCTTGATGGATCACATACGGAGGAGAGCCCTGTACAGCCCCTGCATCTTTCTGTCTCATCCTGCACATTATTTTGTTTTATGTAAGTTGTTTGCCTTTTCAAAATACATACAAATACAATACGGCAAACTGTTATACTTCATAATAATCTCAAACATATTCTACATGTATCAATGGAAGACAAATTGACGTAACATACAGATAAGGATGACTGTTGTCTGATTATACAAAATTGACCTAACATGAATATATAGATGCCTGTTGTCTATCTTTAACTCATTAATTGGAGTAATAGCCTGTACGAATATTTGTGACACACTACAAACACACGCGAGAAGCAGGTTTAACAAGGTTCAGCCAAACTTAATGACGTACATGACCATATTTGGAGTTGGGCGCGTTACATACCTACATACGCCCTTGATAAGCAGCGATAGTTTTGACCATTTGAGTCTTGGGACGTCGGCACCATGAGGGACCGATATGGACACCCTGTGGTAGGTTTCTGACCTTTCCAGAACTGCATATATGTCGAGATATGCATACATGTATCTGAAGTTTCCTCATAGTTCATCTCATGTGGTGTAACACCCTGTTCTGCATTGTACTGTGTATAAATGTGCCTTAGGTATGTAGGTCCAATTACCAAATGCTAATAGCTAGATACTAAATCAAAACATACAGGTAGTTTTGTTTACATACAGGCTGTATTCACTAAGCATGTTCGTATTGCTGTCTCTGTTGGGAGCCGTCATCAGCCTTGGCTGCCTGTCTGACCACATAATGTCCTTGGTCTGACCAGTATAATTTTCCGTCACATTATCAATACAACTTCTGTTCTTGTTTAGTACTATAACTTCTGTATGTGATGTTGACACATGACTGTACTACGTACTGAAGATGGAGTTTAGATTGAATCCTGCTATGTTTTCTCCACAGGCCACCTATACCGTCACAGAGTCCCGAGTTCTGGAGCCACCCAAGAGAGAGGTTATCGTCACGGCCATCCATGGGGCTGTTGTTGATCGCCCAGCCGGATTCTTAGGTATGTACCACCCGCCTTCTTAATAATCACAACGTTTCACATACCCCTTTAACATTCTTTGGCCCTCATTATGGCAAAGATCAAGCAGCACTCGTGGCATGATAAGTTTAGAATAATGAGTTAACCATTCATACTAGGCTAGCAGTTCAACAAAGACAAGAATGGGCGTTACCCTGAAGAGGATAGCCCCATTATATTCGACCTTGCGACCAGCAAAACAAATAGCAGTGAGTCCTATTCAATACGATTACACTACAACGATACAGGTCAAATCGTACATTTGTATTAACGTAATACTATACTAATTGTTTTACTAGTCGATGCGACCCGTGCCGGCGGCGGTGACTTTGACATCACGATCACTAACAACGAGCACCCGGTGCCGTACCAAGTGGTCGGGGAGAGGGAACCAGGCGTGTTCGAGGTCACCTTTCTACCCAAGGAGGCGGGAACCTACAGAATCGATGTGTATTATGACGGGCAGCCTGTCAGGGGTAGGTACTAGCTAGAAACCTAGTATGTTTGGAGAACAACTAGTCTTGGCTGAACGACACGCATGTTGCACAGAAGGGTTTTATATATATTGAAGGCAACAGCTTGTCAACTTCGCAGATATGCAACTTATGCCATAGTCTGAAAGGACATTTGATACTATGTAAAATACAAGATTTTTTCATGGCAGAAGTACATACCGCATCTGCTACATTAAAAAGCATGGCCTTGTCAAACCAGCCATCACCTTAACTTCATTTGTCGTGTTAGTCTAAGAGGTTGTCCGCCTTGCGTTGATAAATGTTCTGCATGCTGTATTTTTTTTTCACGACATTGGCTGAAATTACAGCGAGAAGCTTACCCAACACAGATATTTAACTGATCTTATCTCAGTAGTCATTAAGTTCTTATCATTTATTCCAATTCTGGTGTACAAAAAGCAAAAATGCAAGGACGTCAAGCAAGTACGTGTGACTGTGTTCTATCGATATTTAGTTGACTCTTGACGAAATGCACGCTTTTACTTCTTGACAAGTACATTTTCTCTAACTTGTTGATTAATCCAAAATATAAAGCATGCATACACGCTCTTGTATTTCGAACTATAGTTTACATCTATCGTCGTTTTATTCGTTTGGGGAGTGGGAAAGGGATTCTGTAACAGAGTAATATTTTCCAATAGCAAAATGGCATGGTATGACAATCAACTACATGTAAGTTTAAGAATACTGTTATACTTTGATTTAATACAAACAGAAACTTAAAGATTATTTAGGCAACGTCTATTAGAAAGCTTAGTGTATGCATGTTAGTAATATTCGATTAACAGACACATGCTCATGTATATTGACTTTTTCTCAAAGGAAGCCCATTCTTCGTACGTATCCAAGATTCGGCTGACATCGAACACTTCATCTACGTCCCTTCTAAAACCACGGTGTACCAAGAGGTGGAGGTAGAACAGCCACGCTACTCCGTTGGTACGTCGTATTATAATTATCATTCTACTACTAATAACTAACAGTTTTCAAACGATTACGTCTTAACTAGTTAGGATTTAGTGATGTAATCCCCCTGACAACAACATACACCGAACTCAACATCAAATGGATCACGGATTATATCAACCAATTTTGGCCATTCCAAAAAATATTTGGACAAAATTTTTTGAATTGAATACCTGATCGATCATGTAGATCGATTATTCATGGTGTATATCTCTTTGATATAGTTGAAGACCAGCCTGTTTACCGACCACCTACACCGGTGTACCGCGCCCCTACACCTCCACCGGTCGTCTACAGGGCACCTACACCTCCACCGGTGGTGTACCGGGCTCCCACACCTCCACCAGTGGTCTACCGTGCCCCGACTCCACCGCCAGTGGTGTACCAGCAGCGCCGGCAGTCAGCCCACTACCAACAGTCTGCCGCTCCTGCAGTCAACGACCGGTAAATAATGATCACACTACTTCGCATGGGCCAACACAACCTGTAGAAAACGACCAGTTTAAACTGGATTAATTTGACTGTTTACCTACATCCAGTACCTTGGATTCCTTTTAAAAAGTGGAAGACATTTCTCTCAATAGGCAAGCAATCATTGTTGGACGTCTCTTTCCATTAGAAAAAGGGGAAGCCATTTCTTTCATTATGAAGTTTATTGCAAATTCATGCCCGGAGGCTAATTGCAAATTACAAACATAAAAAGAGCATTATTGGAACAGAGTATAAGATAGCTAAATTCTACATGATGAATGGTAGCTGTCTAAAACTATAGCTATGTCTAAAACTATGTCTGAAGCGTTTGACTTCTCTTCTGTAAACCATGGAAGACGTAATATCCCACCTTTTCCAAACTTTGTGGGTTTTAGGAAGTTAACAGAATTATGCATGCAGTCAATGTTGGACGTCTCTTTCCATTAGAAAAAGGGGAAGCTACATGTATTTCCCTCATTATAATTAGGCATGCAGTCATTGTTGGACGTTTCTTCCAGCTGTTATGCACATGGAGAAAAGCTTCACACTGCCTTTAAGAACCGCCATGCTGAGTTCCCGATCAGGACTGAGGACACCATGAACATGAAAGAGATGGACGTGCAGATTCTTGGTGAGTAAGGAGGAACTTTATGAACATTATTAGTTGTGTTCGACCACCCCATGTTTCTCTATGTCCTTTCGCCGTCAGTGGTTTTGTGGTATTTTATATGAAATTGACAGCAGCCCTTAGCTATCTGCTTGCCATATTCCACTTTGTCGTGCAGCAACAACAATAGTCATCATATATTCTAAAGTAAGTATGCGCATAATCTTTGTCTACTCCAGGCCCAACAACCAGAGCTCTGGCATCGCTGGAAAAGGACGCCGACACCACCGCCAACGTGAGGTTCGTGCCCACGGAAACCGGCCGGTTCGACACGTCCATTAAATATTACGGGAAAGAGGCAGAGGGTAAGTCGTAGTAGAGTGATTTTTGCATAGATCTTTAGATCCATTGATATATCGAAAGTTTGAAATAAATTATATCTAACTCATAGCAGGGTCCAGACATACGTTTTATTTGTAGCTACTGTTCAACGAAGCATCGGCAATCGTGATGTTTGTACCTAGTAAGTTTAGTCATGGAGGTAGAGACACAAGGTTCCGATCTTTTAACTCCATGGTACTTTAGTCAGAAACAGATTTTCAACTGTTACATAATACTTCCCTATAACACAGTACTGCTTGACCTAGTATTTCTGTCATAAAACGTTCGGCAGTTGTACGCGTACATTTTTCATGCATAGCATTCGCAACAAGGCAATTAATACTTGTATTCTGATATTGGATTTATCTTCCATGTTATCATTTTCTGACGATGTCTGTTGTGTTTGCAGGCAGCCCGTTCTCCTTCACCGTGGTGGACCCAGACTCCATCACCTGCCTGCACCCTCCCGTGGGGGCGGACAGGTCCTTCACCTGGCCCGTGGACGAGCCGGTCAAGGTCAGTCTGGACACCTCCAAGGCCGGGTCGGGTCGTCTGGGGACGAAGGTCACTGACCCTGTTGGATCGTCCGTGCCCACGGACTTCGACCAGGACAACGCCTTCCAGTTCACACCAAGGATGGAAGGTACAAAAATGTAGCTTATATAGTTAATTCTTGCTCCGGTTATTCTAAACAGAATCGATCATTAGAGTGAGTCGGATATACAATAAGGAGAATACTAAGCTTACACTATTATAAAAAATGACACTTATTTTTCCAAATCAAATGTCCACCCTTTACCACATACGGGTGTGCCAATATTTGCTGAAAGGTGTGTTCTCAGGTGGTGTTCTAATAGAAAGATCCTTGTTTCTGCAAGGTCACGTGTGCAAGATTTGTTACACGTATCGCAGCGTTGTCTTTCATCTGAAAGTCCTTAAATACTATATGCGGTGTATGTTCACAGCCAAAATGAAAATATATACACTCTCGTGACTGAGATTGTCATGTTATAAAGTCACGAAGATTATATACTTTAACTCTATATCTTGCACTGTATCTGTTCTATAGGGAGGCACCCCATCAACCTGGAGTGGAATGGCGCCGACCTGGCCCCTATCTACTGTGACGCGTATTACAACCGTGGGAGGGCGCCAACACCGCCCAGCCCGGTCTCGCAGTCGTACAGCCCGCCCACGCAGTCGTACAGCCCGGCCAAACAGTCATACGAAGTCATCCTGAAAGGCACGGGCCTCCAGCGGGCCATCGTGGACGAGACCGCGGAGTTTACCATCGACGGGACAAATGCTGGCGGAGGTTAGAACAACTGTTTGCTTTTTGCTAGCTACAGTAGGTCTGCACCATACAAGATCGCAACCTCTGCTTTTCGGTGATGGTTTATCTAGAGCCACACGCAGTAAAGGAATACACTTAGATAGAAAGGCACCACCGTGCATGCTTGTGCGATTATTTCATACAAGAACTACTTGTAAGTTGTAGACTTGGTATAGATCCATTGCTGGTGTCATTTGGAATCTACTTTGCACTCTATAAAGAAGAGCCAATACATAAATATCACCCTAACATTGTCCATTTTCCCCTCACTCAAAGACTTCGCCACAGATGTAGGCACAGGTTCGATTTTTTTTTCTTATCGTTGAATACTGAATGCTTGATTTGGTTGCAATGCTTGTGATTTTTAGTCTGGTGAGAGCAATGTTTTCTTTACACATGCTGCCTTTGGCAACTCTCGCGATGTCTCGCGATAATCAGAGTCTCGCGTCGCAGATGACGATGAGGACTCAATCTTGATGCTTTTTGATGGTGTGACACATTCAAACTATCCTCTATGTCTAACACTTGTAGAATGATTCAAGATATCCATAAGCAGTCTTTAAACTTATTTTCAACCTTGGTGTCAGTTCATAGTGATTTATTGCTTGGTTTTGAACGTTTCTTGGGTGATATATTGTTAGCCTGATTTGATGGGGAAATCATCAAAATTTAACTTAATCGTGTTTTATTTTCATGTTAAGGTGATGGCTACAGCACAGATGGGAGAGGTGGGAATGTTTGGATTCTTGACTCCTGTTTGCTGTGATCTAACAATCTTTGTTCTCATCCCTTAACTAACACTGTTTCACCTAGACGTCTTTTCCGGACTATGCTTCAACAATGTTTTAAATTGCAGTGTCTATCTGAATGATTCAATCTGTGTTAAAGTTAGCATGGCTCAAACGAACTGATGTATACAAGACACATATGTTATATATCTTCCCGGCTTTTTGGAGTCCTATAACAAACATAACTGTGATATAGTTTTGGCTTTTCAAACATTGTGAAAGACCAATGCAATTATTCATTCTGGGATCAATGAATCTAACATGTGATGTGATGTTAATATATCTACAGAATTCAGTATAGAATGCATTCTATTGATTGTGCATGCTACCGGTAACACATTTCACACATGCTATAACGTGTTGTAACCAGGTACCCCGGCCTGTAGTGTGACCGGTCCAGAAGGTCCGGTTGACGTATACCTACAGCCCCTGGACGGCCAAGGTGACATGTACAAGGCCAGGTACACACCTAAGGTCCCAGGTCAGTAATCACCTTCCAGATGTAACCCAGCTTCATATCGATACAGTAGACACGTTTGGTGTATTATAAATTATCGTATTTTTAAAAGTTCATGACAACAATTTGTTTCATGTCTTTAATCTTTTATTGATAATTGTTACCTGTTGTTTAATGCTGTTATTGCTTTAAATGTAAAAACACAGATCTCTGTTGTGTTAATCATGTAATATGTATGATTCTGATGTTAATTAGCATGGTACTTCAGATTCAACGAGGTACGCAAGTCTACTTTTGCTATTAAAAGTCACGTTATGTTATGTTATGTTATGTTAAACATAATATTATGACAATAGGGCTACGACACACCTCTGAACTTCATTCGTACGAAGCTGTGAATTTTTAATGAGAGAAATATGATTTTTTGCACCCATGGGTTATAGGTGTGCATGACCTGGACGTGGCCTGGTCCGGACGTCCGCTAGAGGGCTCTCCGTACAAAGTACAGGTGGAGGGTGGGGAGAGACGCGACGCGTCCAAAGTCGAGCTGGGCGGGTTGGACAGGGACCCTGTACTGGTCGGGGAAGCCGCGTACCTAACCGCTGATCTAAGATCCGCTGGGCAAGGAGGTAAGACAGACGTTTTAATGGCTCCATGAAAAAATGGAAGTATTGTTTTTGGTTTGTCAACTGTGTGCGTGTTTGTGTGTGTTTGTGTGACTGGGTTTGTCTGTCCCAGAGTGCGAAAGCCATTAGTCACTTCTATATCTGTTAGCGCTAACTGCTTTAATAGGTGTTTTTGTTACATGACCTCCTTGACAGCTGTTTTCCTTGACGAGGGTTGCATAATGAGTTTGTAAACGGGTTACGTTGCATCAGTTGTTATCTAGGCAAATAAGGCCCTTTTACAAGAGAGATTTTCAACGCCTCTTAAAACGTCATGACTTGTAGACACCATGGTTTCATAGAGGTCTGGGGTCACCAAAATCTGGCTTAGACACCTAGGAGGACCAGGGAACCTCCTTGTAATCAATGAGTAAAGATGGTTCGTTTAATTACTTTTTTCAGGGATTCTGTCTGCTCGCTGTAAGGGACCTTCTCAGAAGGCCAAGGTCAACATGCTCGACAACGGGAACGGCACCTACAACTTAGAGGTCATTCCCAGGGAGGAGGGCAAGCACAGGATGGACGTCAAGTATGACGACAAACAGGTCAAAGGTCAGTATTAATCTCATCCCCAGGACACTGTCCGAGACACTTGGTTTCCATATCCAGCTATTATATATTGTAGCTTTTAAATTAGTTATTTGTCCCATTTTACTTAGCGCGTTTTTTAACGACAAAACTTTTCAGCTCTAACTACTTTTACATGGGATAGCTTTAGGTAGAAAATTCTATGCCATTATGCCACCAGAACTTTTTATATGGTTCTCTATATGGTAAATTAATGGGATATCACCCCTGTTCGACCAATCTTGTAGACATAACAACACACACAATTCCCACATATTTCTTGTGTCCATGCGCATTTGTCGTGCAAATTTAACGTGCACCTATCAATATTACTTTTACAGGGAGTCCCTTTAACTTCAATGTCGTTGGGCCAGTTGACCCGGGTAAAGTGCGCTGCTTCGGGCCAGGTCTGGAGAGCGGCAATATTAACGGGTACAGGGGAAACTTCGTCTGTGAGACAAAGGGCGCTGGGAACGGAAAGCTACAAGTCAGGGTTCATGGACCGAAAGGTCAGATATCTTCATCTTCATGCTTGAGTGCAGCTTGACCTGTTCTATTATGGTGCGGTCACAAACCTCTTTGAGGGGATAAGACTCACTACCAGGCGATGCTCAGGGGTATGGGTAAAGATTTGTCATGAGCAGACTATCTTTAAGGTTCCAAGGCCAGCGATTGTTAAACCTTGGTGAGATCTGACCATGGGAAATGGCCACCGGATTTGTACGTAAGAAAAGCTATAACATTGCTGTTAAATAACATTTGAAAACTTCAACATTTCAGGGGGGTAATACGTCCTGTAAGATCATGATAGAAGCTACGTTTAGGGGTGCGGGTAAAGATTTGTCATCAATAGGCTATCGTTAGCACCTCCATGATCAGCAATTGTTAAACCTTTGTGTGATCTGGCAGCCAGATTTTTACGTAAGAAAAGTTATACCATTGCTGTTAATTGACATGTGAAAACTTCAATATTTCAGGAGGGTATGAAGTCCTGCAAGATCATGATAGAAGCTACGTTCAGGGGTACGGGAAAAGATTTGTCATCAATAGGATATCGTTAAAACCTCCATGGTCAGCAATTGTTAAACCTTTGTGTGATCTGGGAAATGGCCGCTAGATTTTTACGTAAGAAAAGCTAAGTTATACCATTGCTGTCAAATGACATGTGAAAATTTCGTCATTTCAGGAGGGTTCAATGTGCGGATGACTCCCATCAAGGACAGCGGTAACCGCACCATCGCCGTGGAGTACGAGCCGAGGGAACCGGGAGAGTACCACATCGACGTCACGTGGGACAAGCAGCACGTGCCGGGCAGCCCGTTCTACGTCAGGATCGACGACGATGAAGACGTCATGTACGAGCGGAACGGCGGCGGAGACTACTACTACAGCCAACCCGTGATGCGCACGCCGTCGTCCCGCAGAGCCTCACAGCGCAGCAAGACCGTCAGGTACCCGAATTATGGGTACGCGTTGCCTGGCAACTACAAGGAGAAGGAGAGTATCTATGGTAGGAGGATAGAACGTGACAGAGCCATATCCACATACTACTAGAAGACCAGCTCAGATGCATATTTTAATGAGCCTTTTTGATAAAACATTTGACAAATTTGCCATGGCCATTGGGGAAAAAGGAGACAAAAAGGCCGGTCTCATACCTGAAAAGCATCAGAACAGTTTGTTTCTATTTATGGATAATGTGTTTCAAAAAACGATGTTTCTAAAATCCTTATATCAGCTGGAAAATCAAGACAAGTTCAAGTGAATGATACCTAGATGCCATGAGCGTTCAATGTAAAAGAAAGCAACCAACAACCGTAACAACATGCCAGTAGCTTCTATAGATGGTTGCGGTGGATTATGTTTTAAAGGGAACATTTGTTTTAGCTTTAAAAAGTAGCTGCTCTGTAGCTATGCGGATATAAAAACACTAGTGATCCTTTGTTGTAAACTTTCCTTATTCAAAGTACTTATATGTACTTCGTTCGTGCCTTTTTGTGTTATAATTATCTGTTTCATAGACGAACCTGAGTATCAGTGATTAGTTTATCATTTGGTTCATTAATTTTCTACTGCCTTAAAAATAGTTAACCATGTTATTTGACTTTGTTTAACTTTTATGCTTGATAAGCAACGCAAGTGCCATAGGCCCTATGAGGGTTTGTATTTACGCAGTAGAATACGATATGTATTGCATTTTAGTCTAGAGGTACCTATTGATAAAATGCTGGCTGTAAACTTGTCAAAGGAGTGGAGCATGAATGATCACGATGCCTGGACTAGTATAAACCATTCGGCATGCATAAAAACTGGCAACAAAAGAAAGTATTGTTGTAAGAGCGTCTAGTTTATACGCCAACTGCAACAGACATTTTGGTTCCGACCATTTTGATCCTTCGTGGACTCTTTGCGACGTTTATTTTTTTTAATGTTTTGGTTGCAGCTTATTTCATAGAAGTGGTGTTTTAAAAAGGACATAATATGGCTACAAGAACCAAAAAGAACATATCAGGCTTACTTGTAATACGTGCATTTTGTAAGGGAATAAAGGTAATGGGTTTGAAATAGGACCGGATTTTAAGGATTTATATTAAAAGACATCTCACTAGTTCTTATAGGGTGGGTATGGTTGGTTGCTCTGAATATGTCACTTTCTACATGTATCTCTTATTACAAATATTCATTATACAACTATTCTATATTTGAAAAAAAAGACGTGTTGGACTTTTCATTGTGTGTTGTTTACATTCAATTGTGTGTATGTGTGTTGTGTGTGTGTGTGTGTGTGTGTGTGTGTGTGTGTGTGT